GTTACGGCATTCCCCTGGGTTTTCAAACATCTGTGTCTCTGTAGTGCTCAACCCTGCTGGTGTGGTCCGAGAACGCTGATTCGCGACCTAGAACCACGAACACCTCACTTGGCGTGAGTCCTCGTCATCGGAGTCATCCGCGATAAAGAGGCCTAGGTATTTGGCGCGTATAACGACATTCGCGTCTGCGCTCTCATTCAATTCCCTTTTGACATAGTCAATCAGAGTTTCCAGCGGCGACTCGTGCTGAAGAGAACTCGGAGCACAAAACAAGACCATTTGGAACTGATGCCGCTATTAAACCGGTCGTGAACTGAGGGTTATTCGTCCGACATGCGAGATTGTATTTAAAACGGGTTGCGTCTTAATTGGTTGTTCGAGCTGTGGGAGGAGCGGAATGGTGATAAAGCTGATGCGGCAGGATATTCCCAAAAGCCATAGGGTTGTTACTGTTCTTAGAAGATCTCCCGCGTCGGCCGTGAAACATCAATTGAATGGCAGACTGTCAATCAAATCAGTTGGAGTTGTTTGATATCAAACGCGCGCGTCGCGTCGCGGCGAGGTGAGAGCTGATTGGACAAAATCTTATTGCCGCATTAAGGCAAAGATCTAATGACATAATCTGACTCATTTAAAGCAGCACAGCGCTAAATCAGACATGGTTAGCGCGCTCGAGCTTGAGGCGCGAATTTGAAGTTGAGCTGCTGCTTGTCTCCCTCTATCAACCGTCCCTTCGCTAACATTCGTTGCCCCCTCCTCTATCAAGCATCGCAACTGAACAATTTCTCCGGTGGATCTGCCTACTTTGAACAGTTACTTCCCGGTGATCGCACGCTTACCGCGTGGGATTTGCGTTGGTTGGCCGGCCTTTGAAAGCTTGGGCGATTGAAATGGAGGATACAACCATGACCTCCGGTGACATGGCTAGTCAAGGTAACCCGACGCCTGCTGGTGAGGATGGACAGACGGGAAACGGCTCTCGATCACCTAGTATGATTGTCCATGGGACCATCTGATCCATGGCAACTGTCAACTGACCTATCATTTGTTTCAAGGTTCGCAATCGAGACAGTTATCTCCCAATAAAAACGATCAAAATGGCGCCATATCAGATAATCCACTTGATGCGCCCACCTCTCCAAAACCGCAGAACGAGCAAGCTGATCTGGAGGACGAGGAGATGGGCGGAACAGAGCAAGATGGTGGAAAAGATGCATCTGGCGAACCTACAGAAGTTACCGCTTCCCAGCAAGTAGATGGCCCGAGCGATATGCCAAGCGATGAAACAAAAGCGACTGCAGAAGCATCTGCGCGTTCGAATTTAATTTCTCAGACCCATGCCATCATTCTCCCTAGCTACACGTCTTGGTTCGACATGAACATCGTTCACGATATAGAGAAGAAAGCACTACCAGAGTTCTTCAACAGCCGAAACCGAAGCAAAACGGAAGCAGTCTACAAGGATTATCGTGATTTTATGATTAACACTTATCGTCTTAACCCCGTTGAATACCTCACGGTGACTGCCTGCCGGCGAAATCTTGCAGGAGATGTTTGCGCTATTATGCGCGTGCATTCCTTTTTGGAGAGTTGGGGTTTAATCAATTATCAAGTATGTCAACCGTTCTGCCAAGGACGAATTTACGGCTTACAATGCGTTCCATTTAGGTTGAACCCAACTCTCGACCATCAAATATTGGCCCACCATTCACTGGCCACTTTAAAATCATTGCGGATACTCCTCGTGGACTCCAACCTTTCCAGCCTGCACCAGGCGCCTTTGTTACCCCTGGAAAGCCTCATCCATCCACGGAAAAAGCTGCCGTATCTACACCATTATCGAAGGCGGATTTGAATCTTGAGATTCGACGTAATGTTTTTGATGATAAAGGTAAAGAGGTTGCCAGTGACGATAAAGATAAACAACCCAACGGTGATAAAACGGTCACGAATGGCACAACTACCGACCCTGCTTCACGAACGAAGCAAACCGTGAACTGCCATTCTTGTGGGGTTGACTGTACGAGAATCAGGTTTCACTATTCAAAATCTGCCCCCGTGTCTACAAGCGGCAATGCATCTGATTTGAAATATGACCTGTGCGCCACATGCTTTTTGCAGGGGCGATTGCCCGCATCCCACCAAGCATCAGACTTTGTGAAAATGGAGGACACCAGTTACACAGCCATTCCAGACCGCGATAGACCTTGGTCTGAGCCTGAGACGCTTCTACTCCTTGAAGCTTTGGAAAACTTCGATGACGATTGGCGTAAAGTAGAACGACATGTCCGCACTCGTACCGCTGAGGAGTGCGTTATGAAGTTCCTTCAGTTGGAGATTGAACCTAAGTATGTGGATGAAGCCACAGAGGGCGATCAGTTTGAGCAGGCATTGATGAGTGGACGGGACCCGATCAGCCAGTTGGAAAACCCAATACTTTCCGTTATCGCACATTTAGCCCAGCTGGCGGAACCTTCAGTTACGGCTGCTGCTGCGGGGCGATCTATCGAAGAGATCAGGCGCTCTATGCAAAAACAACTAGAAAAAGGATTTGGGCCGCCATCTGCTGGGGGTACGGAGAAAGACAAGGAGAAGGAAATGGATCAGGGGCAAGAGACAACGCAAGCCGAAGATTCAATGGATATAGATGCTGCTAACGAGGATGAATCAACGGCGATGGTCCCAAGCTCCTCAAAAGAGAAGCGACCGACACCTTCCATTCCCTCCATTGCTATTGCCACATCTGCAGCGCGCGCAGGTGCGCTGGCGTCCCACGAAGAACGAGAAATGACCCGACTCGTTAGTGCAGCTGTGAACATTACCCTACAAAAATTTGAACTCAAGTTGGCACAATTTTCAGAGTTGGAGCAAATCCTTGAAGCCGAAAGGAAGGAGTTGGAACTTGCTCGACAGCAGTTGTTCCTGGACCGAATGGCATTCAAGAATAGAGTCAAAGAGGTACAAGACGCATTCCAGGCGATAAGTCTTGAAGGGCCAGAAGCAGCAGCTGTAAAAGCCGCTCAAATTGGTACTCTTCCGCACGGGGCAGAACAATTTCAATTTCAGACACCAGGTGCCCAAGACGGAACGGTTCAACCCCTTAGTGCAGCAGGTGGCGATTATAAAACTTTGGAGCTGTGATGGGATAGGACAACTTCTCTGCAAATATAGCAGGATCTCAATGCTTGCTCCACTTGGTTGCCTTCTAGAACGAGTTCAATGTGACAACTATTTCAATATCCTCACGGGGTTTTTCATGATGTTCCCATGGTAAGGCGAGTGTTAGGTATGGGTTTACGGGGTTAAGGATTGCTTCAAGCTGGTGGCGCCTTTTTACAATTGGGTGTCTAACTGACTCCTTTGGACTGTTTTGTTTTGTTTTTTTGCGGTTTGCTGAGGCTGACCTGCGCTGATACTTACGAATTTGTGTGTACTACCAGAAGTTTAAGAAGTGGTGTTTATTCATGTGTGCTATGGTGCTGGATGTCTAAGCTAATTATTAAATCTCATTTGTGTTAAAGCCTTCTAATTCAGTGAATTTTGCGGTCGCAATGAAAAATATAGAATATCATGAAATCTGGTTTTAAGTATTTGAGTGTGAACTTCTGTGTCGTGCACGGAAATTTCGCATCGTCTAGAGTCCAAGTCGTCTACACATATAACTTGGATAGTAACCCGTAGTTATGTATCTGTCGAGAACGCTGGGCCAAACTTTCGACGCTTCCTTTGCCCGCCGTTGATTTCCTGGCCAAGCGTTTCCCACTCCGATTGATATAACAGCCGGTCCCGCCAATTGACAAGCTCCTGAGGCGATTTCCGTTTTGTAGTCGGCCTGTTTTGCTCCTCTTCATTGGGTTCTAATTTGATATTCATACCTGATAGAGGAACGGGTTTGTTGATTTGCGCCCACAAAGCGGATTCCTCCTTGCGGCTAGCTTCGCGGTCCATAACGTTGGCATACAATTCTTCCGGGTCAGAGAGATCTTCATCATTACCCATGTTGTCTTGGGTGGGAGAGTACGTGCTGGTATTCGAATCAAAGTCGGAATCTTCAGTCGGCTCTGTGGTTGTGCTCGCAGACGGGGATTCAAGCTTGATATGGCGCGGGTTCTCGTCCAGTTGTGCACCTAACAACCGCTCAACCTCATCGTAGTCCAATAAAACGGTTTTGTACTTTTCGCCACTCTTCGGATGGCGGACGTCGAGTGCGCAACGTCGAGCTACACCTGCCCAGAACGCTTTTGCATCGTGCGCCATTCCGAGAACGTCCAACGCGGCTGAAACATCTTCCTTTTTCACTAATCTTTTGGGGTTAACGTGAGAACGCTCAACCGCCCGAATCCTAGACAAAGCAAAAAATATAGAGGACTGTATAACCCGACGAGTAATGCTTATGGCTAGAGTGTAAAAGTCAGAGAATGCGTCACAGGTAAGTGCGGGCGTTTCGTCCTGGAAACACAATTGATTCCAATTATCTTCGAACCTTTCTCGTCCAAAATTCATAAAGAAGTGTTCAGATAGGTGGATCCAATTGGACAACTTTAGTAGCTTTGCTGTAGCGAATATGCCATGCGTCCTAACACTGCTGTCGTTCTTGCTAGAATCCTCCCCGGTTGGAGGTTCTGTGTCTGGGAGAGATCCTAGCTCTGGCGCTGGCTCTGGTTCCAGTATTGGATCGGGCTCTGCTTCTTCCGGTTCCGCTTCCGCTTCGGACTCTTGGTCTTCTTCGACAAACGTAGCAATTTCACGGTCCACAAGCCAGAAATCTCCATGCTTTCGTTTTCCGGCAACATTGTGAGTCTGTTCGTCTCGTAGGCACAATGCCTTGGCAACACTTTCTAGAGCGATACAACATTCATTGCTGATCTCGCATGCAGCGGGAATATCTGATAGGATGATGTTATGAACCTGCTCTTCTGCGACATTGCGGAGCTCAAAGTTGCGCTGTAGCAGGTCTAAATAATGTCGCACTTCCATTTGGCTTTTCGTACCGATAGAGGCTGCAATCTCCGGAACCGCGTCTTTGCCCTTCTTGGAAAGCGCCATAAAAAAGGCGGCCTTTTCTTGAGATGTCCATTGGATGATTCCATACTGCGAACGGAAAAGCTGTGGCGCACCATCACAATCAGGTCCTACAAGCACATTGTTTAACGATTCCTTGTAAAGCTCCAAGTATTTATCGACTGGCAGCCTTGCAGCCGCTCGTAAGGCAAGGTGTCGAGGCTTTACACGTCGCCTTGCTCCTTGCTTGGGGGCCGGGTTAGGAATGCCATCATCAACAGAACCAGAGTTGGATTGGAAATTCCGATTTGGGGTTAAGGGTACTTCGGAATCTTTCAAACGCCTGAGTTGTTTGTTGGCGTTTTGGCCGTGTTCCTCCTCTTCGTCCTCCGGTTCATAGCTCATCGAGGAGTCGCTCATGGCTGATAATTGATTTTAGCGCAGGGACCCGATTTCCCCTAGAAAGTTTGAAGCGCACCGGAAATAGTGAAGTGAGAAGATACATGGCACCACGCCCGATGAATAGGTAAGCCGATGGTTATTGCACGCAGCAGAAGTCTAGGATATGAATCTCTTGCCGGACATCAGTCTCAAAAGAAATCTTCTGAGCTCAAGCTCCTTGTTTGCAGTGTTTGTCTAGGAGATCCTGTTTGCACCAATTGCACTGTTTGTACTGTTTGTGTCATTTGTAGCATTTGCCGCCAAGCTCACCGCGAACTTCGAAGCTCCAACAGTCAGACCAGCACGACAGTGAGAGCGCTTTCAACCCGCGAACATGGGAAATGCAGGGGATCCTACGGTTAACGGGATTCAAATCCGCCAAAATACTCTGGGCAGTAGGGCCTGTACTCCGCAGGGCATACTCTTCCACTTCCGGCCATGGTGGAACCCTTTTGATCCCGAACAGCGAGATTCGATTGCGTGACTACCAGGAGGAATGTATTCAGTCCGTGCTCTCGTACCTTGGAAAGGGCCACAAGAGACTGGGAGTCTCTTTGGCTACTGGCAGCGGAAAGACTGTGAGAGATACGCCTCTTTTTAGAAATAACGAACTGTTACTGACCTCCTCGTTTTCCAACTTTGCAGGTCATTTTTACACAGTTGATTGACCGAGTGAAGCCCCGCGAACATGATGCCACACAGACTCTCATTCTAGTCCATCGGAAGGAGCTCGTGGAACAGGCGGCAAGACATTGTACGCTTGCCTACCCGGACAAGAGTATTGATATCGAGATGTCAAATAGCCATGCAACTGGCACTGCGGATATCACTATTGCCTCCATCCGCAGCCTTCTCTCTAAAGGGCGCATAGAAAAGTTTGACCCAGCCAGATTCAAACTTGTCCTGGTAGACGAGGCGCATCACATCGTTGCACCCACGTATCTTGAGGTTTTGGAGTACTTCGGTTTGGACAAGCCCAACAACGAGGCACCGGCGCTGGTTGGGGTTTCGGCAACATTTTCCAGGTTTGATGGCCTACAGTTGGGTACCGCAATCGACCACATTGTATACCACAAAGACTATGTTGATATGATTGGAGAGAACTGGCTAGCCCATGCGATTTTTACTACAGTCCAGTCCCACGTGGACCTATCCAACGTCAAAAATGCCCCGAATGGAGATTTTCAAACCAAACAGCTATCAGCCGCAGTCAATACGGAGAAGACGAATGAAATAACTGTTAAAGCCTGGCTTTCTCGGGCGCAGGAAAGGAAATCTACCCTTGTCTTTTGTGTTGACATTGAGCATGTCAGATGTCTAACCGAAAAGTTCCGCTCCTACGGGATTGATGCTCGGTATATAACCAGTCAAACTTCAAAAGAGATTAGGACGCAAGAGCTAGACGCATTCAGAAGCCAAAAATACCCTGTTCTGCTTAACTGCGGGCTTTTCACTGAAGGTACTGATATACCAAACATCGATTGTGTTGTCCTTGCCCGGCCTACAAGGTCAAGAAATTTGCTTGTGCAAATGATAGGCAGAGGATTACGTTTGCATCCAGGAAAGCAAGACTGTCACATTATTGACATGGTCGCAGCACTGCAAGCGGGGGTTGTAACAACTCCAACTCTTTTTGGTCTGCATCCTAACGAAGGCCTTGATAAAACCTCAGTCGATGACTTTGAGAAGCTCGCGACGAAGTCCGGGATAGGTCGCCCAAAAGGATCGGCTCCCGACCCAAAGGGTGATGTCGTCGTTGACTTTACTGATTATGATTCGGTTCATGACCTTATTCAAGACATATCTGGAGAACGGCATATCCGTTCAATGAGCAAAAATGCCTGGATCAAAATCAACGATGACCGGTACATCCTCGAAGCCCCCCAAGGTAGATTGGTTATCACCAGAGACGATTCAGATTTATATTCGGTGCTGCAAATCATGGCGCTTCCCTCTAGCGCAAAATCGAAGAGTCCTTACGGGCGTTCAAAGGAAGTGGCATCGTCGTTAACGCTAACTGAAGCCGTGCATGCTGCTGACACTTTGGCCAGTCGTATCTTTGGGCCAATATTTGTGGCCTTATGGCAGCCATGGAGAAAGAGACCGGCAAGTTTGGGACAAGTTGCATTTTTGAAAAAGTCCCTTGGCTTTGATGGCGAGCTTCTTTCGGAGCATATTACAAAGGGCCAGGCTGCTGACATGATAACCAAACTCAAGCATGGTGCAAAAGGGCAATTCAAGGATATTCTTCTCATGAAACGTCGGATAGATAGAGATAGGGTGAGAGAAGAAAAACTGGAAGAGTTGAGGAATCGAGAAGAGGTCAAAGTTGGACAGTTGAATAGTCTGCCAGGGTAGCGTTTCTGGAGCGAGATTACCTGAAAGACCTGATTGTATATTACGCATAGACCGTGGGATACGAACAGCACATATAATCTCTAAATATCAGATTGCTTCTCCCAAACTCGAATGTCATGTACTGTTTCTCGACTCCGTAGACTTTTCTAGCCCCTGGTGGTCCGTGCGCGAATTTTTGGTGCTGATCGGACTGCCGTCGTCGTCAAACCGCTCAACTGATGCGAAGCGTCCTGCGCAATCGCTCTGCTCCGCCCATCGGGTTCTTGCTGCTTGCTGCCCTACTTGAATGAAACCGTACGGACATCTAACTCTTCGTTCTTCGTGTTAATCCAGAGTTGCGCGACTGGGGGCAAGCCAGGGTGAGCGGATGCGCAAATGCAAGGACGCCCCGACGGAGCTTCAGACAATCCCAACACTACCAATGATACATCTGTGACCATTGACTCTGAACTCAACAATGGAAGCAGACATAGAACCTCCGAAGCTCGCGCCCCTTCGATGTCTCGTATAGCCTCCGAAAACGATATCTTCTCGAGCGACGGGGAGAAGGCCGGCTTGCGCCTATCGGCGGAGGACGACGTTGGGACCCGGAAGCATCTCGCGCTTCCCAATACTGAATCGGTCACGGTAGCGAATTCGAGCATCTCAATGCCTCTCGAAACCCAGAAGCGACGGTTGCCGATGGACAGTTACGCGGAATCCCACAGAGTGCGCCGGGCGAGAACGCGGAATCCTTGGATCTGCTCCGGGTTGATATTTTGTGTTACAGTGTCCGCCGTCCTCGTTCTTTTGACTATTGTATACTCCTACCGGAGCCTTCAGATCGATCCGCAAGGGTGCAGAACGCCTAGCATGCGCCCAACGTACATAAAGCTTGTTGGGTTCGATTCGGAGCACACGCGCTTCGCGAGCAAGTACGGTTTACATCTATACCGGGAAAGAGGGGTTGATGAATATAACGAGGGGGATATCGGGGTATAGTCCTCTCTAATGCTTTATTGCAGCTTGGGAAAATGGTCTGACTTTCTCGTGCAGATTAAAGGCGTACCAGTGCTATTTCTACCTGGCAATGCAGGAAGTTATCGGCAAGGCCGTTCGCTCGCATCCGAGGCCTCTTTATATTTTCATGAGGTGCTACAATACCATCAAGAACGGCTTCAAACGGGAGTACGGAGCTTGGATTTTTTCATGGCCGATTTTAACGAGGATATGGCTGCTTTTCACGGACAAACTCTCCTTGACCAAGCAGAGTATGTGAATGATGCCTTGGCCTACATTCTTTCACTATACCATGACCCGCGCCGTCCAGGGAGAGACCCTGATCTTCCCGATCCCACATCAGTCATACTTATCGGCCACTCAATGGGCGGCATCGTTGCCCGTACCGTCCTCACCATGTCGAATTATCAAACCAACTCTGTCAACACAATAATTACGATGTCAACGCCTCATGCAAGGCCTCCTGTCTCGTTCGATTCTGATTTAGTCCATACATATAAACAAATTAACAACTACTGGCGCGAAGCTTATTCCCAGAAGTGGGCGAATAACAACCCCCTGTGGCATGTAACTTTGATTTCGATCGCCGGCGGAGGCGGCGATGCCATCGTCCCGTCTGATTATACAAGCCTTTCTTCTCTCGTCCCTAAAACGCATGGCTTCACAGTTTTCACGACGACCATACCCAATGTTTGGACGGGGATGGATCATTTATCTATTGCCTGGTGCGACTCGTTTAGGAAAGTCATTGTACGGTCACTATTCGACCTGGTTGATGTGAGGCGGTCTTCTCAAACCAAGCAGAGAGCAGATCGGATGAGTGTGTTTAAGAAATGGTATTTGACAGGGATGGAAGCTTCTGCGGAGAGGAGACTTCCAGGAAAAGGTAGTTTAAGCCCCCTTTATTTCCTTCACTTGTGCTAATATTCTATAGAACCTACGACCCTTTTAACTCTTGGTGACGACACCAAAGTAATACAAAGGCAAGGCGAACGGCTTACTCTTCGCGGCTTTGGTCGTCGCAAGGTGCCAGAGTCTCACCTCATGCCCATCCCTCCGCGAGGAGGTGTACCGGGGAAGAAATTCACCCTTTTAACAGACCAGAAACTCGACGCTGCTGAAACTAACCGAAAATTGGAAGTGTTATTCTGCAGCGATTTCCCGCTACGAGCCGGCCAATCGGCAACTCTGCTTTCTCTCAACCTCGACCTGTCTGGGGACAGCTCGGGCTCGATTAGGCTGGTTTGCAAAAGCGCTGTGGAAGACATAATTTCCCTTCCTGCTTCTACGCCGTCATCTAAGTTCGCGTTTGATAACGTCCCTTCCTTTTCATACTTGCAATATGACTTGGAAGATCTCACAGACTACCAGTTTGTAGCAGTTGTCGACAAGGCTGAAAATCGACATCGTGGCTGGCTCCATGCAGAATTCTCGGACAGTTCTGATTCTGTGATTCCCACCAGAGTCGGATTGGGAAGACTACTTAGCGCAGGCCTGAACGTCATGCTGCCTGCGGGAAGGCCCATGGTCACTGAGATAAAGGTTCCCGCACTCCATTCGAGCTTACTTGCATATAAGATGCATATTGAGAGCAAAGACTGTGGAAAAGAGCTTTTCAAGCCAATGGTTCGCCAATATATTTCCAATCCACACGAGTCAAAATATTTTGTAAACGTCAAAGATGCCGAAATCAATCTTCATGGGATCGCACCTTTCATGCCCCCTCATCTTCGAGACAATGCTGCCACGGCCGGCCTTTCCTTCCAGCTCTGGTCCGATGGATCTTGCAATGCGCCACTTCAGTTATCGCTCAAAGTGGACGTTCTCGGGAGCATGGGAAAACTCACTATGCGCTACCGTACAGTTTTCGCTGCCTTTCCCCTGCTTGTTGTTGCCCTCGTTTTGCGGCAACAGTTCAAAGTGTATGACCAGACAGGTACGCAGATCAACTTCTCCCTACACATATAGAAACTGACCAGCCTAGGTGTATTTATAAGTTTTATGCAAGCGCTGGACCTATCCATTCGATCTTCGATTCCATTACTTTTTCTCGGCCTCACATTCTTGGCTTCATCGTTGGCGACGTCAAAGAATGCCGTATCTAGGGGTGCCTCTTTGCCCACTAGGTCAAACTCAACAGAATCTATTATAGACTTTTCAAAAAACGACCTCCTCCTAGGATCTCAAGATGCGTTCTTCTGGTTCCTCGTTCCGTTGTTTGGCATAATCAGCATAGGTACCTGTGTGATTGTTAATTACGTTGCTATGATTCTTATCCATGCGCTCGGGGCGATCCGCGCAGTCCTGATGTCCCGGAAAGCCTACGTTAAACATGATGACCGAGGGTAAGCCAGTCTTCTTCTAAAGCGGGATTTCCTGCTAACGTTCATAGCAGTAATTTGTCGATATTTTGGACTTTGTCAACCAAAAACCGAATAATAAACACAGCCGTTTTACTCCTTTTCGTCGCCACCATCATTCCTTATCAATTCGCATATGTCGTTGCATGCGTAGTGCAGCTCGCCACCTGTGTCCAGGCGTCCTGGCATGCTCGAGAAACGGTAAGAGTTTGTCTTCCATTTACTAACATTCTAGCTAACCTTGAAAATAGCGGTCGACATCTCATTCTAGCTTTTACAACTATGCACACTCTATTTTCATCCTTATGCTCTGGATCCTTCCTGTCAATGTGCTTGTGCTCATTGTCTGGGCTCACAACCTCGCCGTCCACTGGCTTACGCCCTTCTCCTCGAATCATAACGTCTTTTCCATATTGCCGTTTATTCTTCTTGTCGAAACCCTGACATGTGGAACTATGGTACCGAGAATTACGACTCAGTACGTAAAATACACCCCAGAAATCTACTTTCTGCTAACAAGTATGCTCAATAGTTTGCGACACATCACCTATCTTCTATTCTTTTTCCTTGCTGCCTACTCCGCTATATATGGCGTAACATACGCATATCTTCTCCATCACATCACCAATCTCGTTACCGTATGGTTGGTGGGAATCCATTTCTTCGCAGGCGGGTTCTTGTTTCATAGTCTAAGTCGAGTCCTCTACGGGACGGATTCAGCACTCAACGGCACCCCTAGGCCACGAGGGCACACGAAAAAATTGCCATGAAACGACAGATGTCGAATGTGGCATTCGCTTTAGATCGTTTTACTGAAAAATATTAATAATAATAATAATATAGACATTTCTTGCATGGATTGCATGCTTAGGAAATTAAACTTGCTTCTGTACAATATTTGACCTCTTGCCGATATCCATCTTCGATCATCACTTTGGCCGAAATGCCTCGCCTGCACGTATCCATGCGTTTTTCATAGGCATTGTATGTAATATGTCTTATTTTCTTTCTGCATTTGCGGTTAACACGGCCGGCTACTGCTGCCACAGCTATCATGTATCCTGCGCTACCCTTCCAGGATATTTTCTACTTTACTTCTAGCAAGTCTTCCCTTAGCGATGGCATGGAGTTACAAGAAATTCGAGTCTGTGGCTAGCCTTCGCAATCAGCATCTTGCGCCCGGGGCACGGCCTACGCATTGAATCCCAATCTTTCAGGGAACGAGTACTTGCTTGGACACTGTGCTTTTAGCTAATTTACGCTTTAGCTTTTGAACTTTGTTCCATCTTACATTATCCTGTAGTTGGCAGTGTAGCTATTAGCCAGCCTTGCTGCTTGAAACAATAATATACATTGTTGTCTCTTATATTCAAAACATGATCAGTTTCTGTATAATTTGGAACTTCATTTCCAATAGGCTATAATGTCTTTTACTCATCTTTTTCTTTCTCCGCCAGTGTAACCCGAAGATATGTATTTATGAGGTCGTCAGATTTTGCGTCAGGAAGGAAAGGAAAGGGGGGATAAAATGCCGAGTTAAGAAGAACATATGGAGAAATTGGTAAGAAGATGGAAGACGCATTGCATTGACTTTGGATCCTATAAAATAGCGTGTACAAAATTATCATCATGGCCATTCGAAATTTCCAGTTCCATCATCTGGCGATACTCATGTATTTACCGTTGCTCATATCACAGCATATACTTGAACAATGGTGAGCGATCTCCCATTTTCTGCAGCTGTTCATCAGTATACTTCTCGTGCACCTCTTCCCGAGTCATTTGCGCCTTGCGCTTGTTAATCCTAATATATCCTAATTCCAAGATGATGGACGCTATAATTCCAGACCCTGCGAAAGCAAAAGAAGATCCAAAGCCCGTCGGGTACTTTGGCTTTTCTGACTCGATATAGATGAAGGATCCCGGAATGCCAGCTAAGTTACCGATGGAAATCATAAATGCGATACCCATAGCCTTCTTTCTTGCGCCAGCAAGGTTGTTGACTGTCCAGGCGTTTATACCAGGAGTGATTGGATAGAAGCCAATGCAGGAGAACATGACCGCAAAGTAGCATAAGCCGACGTTATCTTTGATGTCCGCGGCTTTGGAAAAAAGAATTGCAAAGGCGATGACAATACAAGTTTGTCCAAACACAAGGAAAGGGAAGCGCCACCTGTAGCGGTCTGATAAGAGCGAAGACACGTAGGCGGATATCGCGCCAACCATATACGGCGGGACCGTGAGTAACTGAGCTTTGGACGAAGTATATCCCATGTTCTTGATGATTTGAGGCATAGTGAATTTCATCCCGTAATTAGGCACCGCAGACGACCAGAAGTTGATGATTTGCAGGTAGAGCTGCCAATCCGTGACGACTTGCCATAGAGTGGCCCGATCGAATTTTCCTGGGTCTTCGTCGACAACAACACGACCTCGCTCGGCACGCTGGCGAAGCTCGAGGAATTTGATCTCATCTGGCTCTAACCAGCGTGTGGAAAGGGGCGCTGAATCTACCAAAAGGAAGAAGCAGCCAATCCCTATTAGAACGGAAGCAAGGCCTTCAACGATGAATATCCATCGCCAGCCGTTATAACCCCCGAGCCCCCGCATCTTTGCAATAGCAAAGGCCAGGAGTCCTGAGAAGCCTCCGGACAGCGCACTAGCACAATAGAACAATGCAATTCGAAGGTAGGTTTCGCTCGAGATGTACCATCTAGACACTAGCAGAACTGCACCAGGGAAAAAGCCCGCTCTATGACGGGGAAAATGATCAGTAAGGCGTATTAAGGCAAGACGATAATGCGATACGTACTCAAATATTCCTAGAACCATACGTGTCGCGACCAAGCCTCCGAAATTGTTAATGACACCGGTGAGGGTCATGGCCACACCCCAACCGACTGTTATAATACCTATATAGGTGGAAGGTCGTTTAAACTTTGAGAGGATGACATTGCTAGGAACCTCTGGGAGCTAGTCAGTATGACTCTAGGTGCGCGATTGGCAAGAATATATCGGGTGAACAATACGGTACATACCACATATGACATAGGGAAGGAAGAAGATCGAAACCGCGAAATTGTATTGTTTGCTACTCAGCCCCAAGTCCTCCACGAGACCCTCGATTTTGGCGTTTCCTATCTAGAGTTAGCTGCTACATTGCCTGAATATGACATTCAGCACTTGGTAATAACAAAACACCTACCAACATTGGTCCGGTCGATGTATGCACACAAATACAGGATCATGAGCATAGGACATAAACGCCAGTCGATCTATTGGAAATCAGACATTTGAATGGTATGTCAAGAAGGGAATGCTAGGCGAGAATATTACCTTCCGGATGCATTTTTTCCTTCGCTCTGGGGAGAAGTTTGCGAGGAATGAAGCCTCCTCGGGGGTCAGCCCAGCGTGAATATAGCTTGTCTCAAGCTCAGATTCCACAGTCTTTTCGTCATTCTGCTCCAAAGATATATTTTCAATTTCCTGGACTCTAGATGTTTTGCCACCCATGTTAACAAAGCTTGCGATGTTGTCTGGCGCAGTCGCAATTTGCCTGTGCCGTATCGCAGCAAACAAAACGGAACAAAAGCTGGCGGTTGACCGCGTTTTGTAGGGGCCTGTGAGCTTGATTCATCTGAGCCTTTGACAATACCCATCTTCTCAGCGGCCATACGGTTTGCGGGGTAAAATGGTCTGAGGATGATAGACACCCCGGGATTTTGGGAAAACCGGGGAAGCCAAGAGTTAACTAGCAGGAGGATATAACAGATCTTGCCGACTCAGCTACAATTCAGAGCGCAGTGTCGTCGAAGCTAGAGCGCTTCCCACTCCTAGGCCATGCGAACATTCACGAATGGGCAGGACAGGAAGCCCTAGGCATTCGGCGCGGAGTTAGCGATGCACGGTGACTGAGGGCCGAAACACAGTAGGCTGCGTGGAAGTGATGGACGGATGTCTTTTCAAGAATTGGGATTGAGCTAGGAGTTTCAAACAACGAAATGCCGTCTCTGGCGAATCAATTGGCCCTATTCCCGCGGCCGAAATGTCGATCAGGCCGGCAATTTGGCTATATTTGTGATGTTCAAAATCATCGGCCGTGTATTCACGATGATCGCGGGGGAGCCCACATCGAGCATGGGCCTTCGGGATGAAAACGGGTATCCTTTGTGCCTGCGGCCACTCTGATCACTCGAGAACTGAGTGCAGATCGACACTTCTCCATTTTTTAAGCCTATTGATACTAGTTAACCTAACTAGCAAAAACCATAGGAATCAGGGCTAACGGTCAAACTTTGGATCCTGCTGACGAGAAGTATACGGCAAGAAATGATGGCTGAGAGTGGAATGACCACCGCCCGGTTTCATACTGGCACTCATGGGAAGATATCTTGATTGTCAGAGAGCCAGCCTGGAGGTTCTGCCATTCTCTCAGCATGTCTTTGTGAATGGGAAGGTCGGCAAGATGGGATGGAGAACAGCAAGTGAGGTTGCGGTACATGTCTTGGCGGGCATCATTTTGCTGACAGTGCTCGTTACCCGGCAGCTCAAGATCATTCTTCGCATGTTCATCCATTCCAATCACACATTAACTATGGAACATGCAAGAGCTACATCTTGCTGAGGAATGGGGATTATTCACCAATCCCAGTACTCCTAAGTGAATTGGATTTGCTGGTTGCATGCATGCCTCTGTTTCACTCAGCCAATTGACAAAGTGAAGGCGTGTTGATGCGGAAATCTCTTGAGGTGCTGGGAGGTTTTCACCAATTATCTATCAAAGGCATAGCCCCTTAACCGGAATCCTCTGCTATCGAGTTCAGGGATCTTCAGGTCTCAAAAGTCGAGGTCGAGGAACGAAAGTATCAAAAGCAAAACTTAGGCTTGTTCAGTTTGGGGTTTAAAGAGGTGAGGCCTAAACTATGCTTAAACTACAATGAAGACCTCTACTGACCTCAAAATACGCAGGCTAATATTTGAATAGAAGAAAACAGAAGGATTGATTCCCAACGCTACACAGAATTTATAATATGAACATGCTACCTTTCCCTGGACACCTTTGATATCAAATAACTCTAACATTCACTTTCGATTCTTCCCGTCGTACCCGTTCCCCGAGTCTCCATGGTAGGCCTAGATCCGACTTATTGCTTCACGGCAATGGAACCTCGAGCGCTGTCGTTGCTAAAACCCGGTTTGCCATCCACACCATTGTACCACCGGGCAACAGCAATATATACCACGGCGTGTGTTTTAAAACAAAGGGTCCCGTGTCTAGTGTGAACCCGGCCTACGCTCAAGTCAGATGGTATACTAATCAACAGTCCGCTATTCTCGAAATACGGTCAACTTACCTAGCTCCAGCTCTGCAGCTAGTTTCCTCTTTCCCTCTGGCTATACAGCGGTGGCAGATGCGTCACTCTCATGCTTTCTCTGATTCTTGATGTAGTAGTAGAGTGAGAGCAGCGTCGGCGGACAGGCGACAAGGAGCGCGACAAGGGCAATAATAGCCTCGGATGAAAGACCCATACTCTGATTCAGATTAACGGTGGGTACGTACGGAGTACACGACGAAGTTCAAAGGGGTGGAGTTCAACGGGTTGCGTTCCATGGAAGAATCAATAGATACAATGTCTACTTATATACTCAATCACTCCAGACTCCTTTACCCTCCTCCAGAACAGCAGCAGTTTTTTGATAGGCCGGTACCGTTTCTTTCCAATCCTCCTCTGAGCTGGCTGCGCCTGGCCTGCTCCGATTTCTGGAATCTAAACAATTTCACACAAAAGCTCGAACCTGACTTCGAATTTTCGAGTCGCAGTCCATTTGATTGGGGGAAACCAGAACATCCGCCCGTCGTCCCTGGCTCAGCCTGGTGCAACAAGCATCTTAGACTAGGGATGTTGTTGCTTGAGCTCTGGCAAAGATGAATCAGAACAGCCATCCTATCCTGTCCCGTCCGGTACCGCCCCGTTCGATACGGCCTAATCCTTACCTCCTCATGATGGCCCACGTAGGCATATATCTTGCTTCCTGAAGCGCAATGGCATACCCATTTGATACGCTGATCCAAATATGTTGCTTTTCCAGTACATGTACTCGAAGAACGACGGCAGATTTCTGAGTAAAAGCCAATATCTCCCGTGTCAAATCCCCCAACCTAGAAACCGGAAACCAAAAAACCTAGTTGTTTATGTCCAAAAAATAACCCTACTAAGGGACATTAAGCAGAAACTCATTTAGACTCCTATAAGGGATCACTTTTTGATGGCTATCGCAGAAAAGTCACTGCCACTCGACCATACCTAACTTAGAAACCGGGAACTAAGGAGCCAAGTTATTTGAGCCCAAAATATCATAACTATCTATCTTCTAATGACAGGAACGCGAAAAACATCAGTTAGGTTAGTATGACGGAGCACGGGAGCAATGCTTGATGGGTGGTGCAGAGGGCAGTTACCACCATTATGCCATATGTATCCATTAGGCCGCCGTAGATAGTCCGTCTCTCTTATGTGCCTTGATAAACCTGGCAATGGCAAAATGGCCGTTTTGGATAGCCAGCCTTGCAGCTCTCTTCTTTTTCAATCCAAGGTCCTCAGTGTCTGGGTGGTAATTCAGCAAGATATGTAGCGCGTCCAACCGCCCGTGCTCAGCTGCTCCCTCAATAGCTGTTCGTCCATTCACCATTGCTGGAGCGCCATCAACGTCAGCGCCCGCCGCCAGTAGCATCAAAACGATCCGGATATTCCCCGCAGTGGCCGCTCCCTGGAGAGCTGTAACTCCACCATCTTCACAGGCTGGGGCATTGACATTGGCACGGTGTTGGAGCAGGAGGTTTACGAGCCCTATGTGCCCTTTACCTGCTGCCGCCTGAAGTGCTGTCCTTCCATTTTTAGGGCTCCCCGGGGCATTGACATCTGCGCCGTACTTTAGTAGAAGTTGAGCGATGCCAATGTTGCCGCTGAGCACCGCGTATTGTAGGGCAGTGCCTCCGGAATTTGTGTTCGCGGGCTCATTGACGTCGGCGCTTCGATCAAGTAGGGCTTGAATGATATCGACATGTTGCCTTTGAACTGCTGCTTGAAGTGCGGTAGCCGGGCCCCATCGGCTCTTTAAACGGATATTAACATTTGCACCTTGCATCAAAAGCATCTGCATAAGGCTGAAGCTGCCCCTGCTAGCAACATCATAAACAGCTACCTCCTCGGCCTCAAGTTTCTGGCCGTGACCTATGCTCGGGTTAACATCCGCACCCGCCTTAATCAGCATTTCGGCCAAATATTCGTCAATGCTCCATGTTTTCGTTACGATGTTGAGAATCCCCATTTCTGGCGTTTCGTCAGCAATGGCAAGAGTGGCGCCGTGGTCAAGTAAAAATCTGGTAAGCTTGCTATCATTTTTTCGTACTGCAGCTTCAAGAGCAGTCACCCCGTCGGTTGAAGCTGCTGAGGCATTTATATTGGCGCCTGCCTCAATAAGTTCCTCTACCACTTGCAATGATCCGTGCTCCGCTGCAGCTTGCAACGCTGTTCGGCCACCTTCCCAGGATGCTGGCGCGTTAACATCGGCTTCGCAGGTAAGTAGTAGCCGAATTAAGTCAATATTCCCAATCCTAGCTGCTTCCTGGAGTGGGGTCCATTGGGTTCTGTAGGTTCCGCAACTGTTGACAGCCGCTAAATTGTTAGGATCAGCACCCTTCAAAAGCAAAGCGGTTACTGTAGCAATACTGCCGCTGAATACTGCCTGTGAAAGGGCTGTAGAATCAGGAACGGCGCCGGCATTAAGGAGGAGCTCAACGATCTCCAGGTTTCCATGTCTAGCCGCTAATTGAAGCGCGTTAAAGCCACCGTAGCTTGGTGCAGCATTAACATCTGCTTTTTTCTTCAGCAAAATTTTCACTATCTCGAGAGCCGTAGCCTGGACACCACAGGTTATGGCCGCTTGCAGGGCCGTTTTCCCATCCTTGGGGCAAGGGTACGCATTAACATCTGCGCCTGCTGCAAGGAGGATTTGGACTCCCTCCACATTGCCCCTCCCTGCTGCAACCTGTAACGCGGTGTGGCCTTCTTGGTTGCCGGCATTCACATTGGCTTTCTCCTGGAGCAGAAAAGTCAACAGCTCTGTGTTGTTGTGGTACTCTGCTGCAGCTTGAAGAGCAGTGTAGCCATACAACCGTCCAGCAGAGGCATTGATGTCTGCCCCATTCTGCAACAAAACGCGAACCAATCCGTCATTCTCAGTCAAGACAGCAATCTGGAGTGCAGTATGGCCGTAGTCCTTCAGTAGCCTTGCATCGATATGGGCACCCACACTCAGAAGCAAACCTACCATGGTAAGATTATTTGCTCTCACAGCAGCTTGCAACGGGGAGAACACAGGGGGGTTGCCGAAGTGACCTTTCTTGTACAATAGCGAATCTAGTAAAGATTTCGGGATCGTTAAGTCAACGTCCGCCCCTTCTTTCAATAGCACTTGTACTGCTTCCCAATTTTCATGGTCCGCAGCAATGTGGAGTGGCGTTTGAGAGAGCATGATTCTGTCGAATTCAAAGTCAAAAATGACCTCGTTGTCACCAAAGTTGCCGGCTTCGTCAGTTCCATCCTGAGAAACAGCGTTCACCTTCGCACCAGCACTAATTAACATCTCCACCAGCTCTGAAGTTTCCAGCATGCATGCCATTTGTAAAGGTGTGGGGGTTTCACGTGGAGAAAAGCAATTGGGGTCTGCTCTCGCATCTAATAGGAATTTCACGACATCAGGTCGATTGCTTCTGATGGCATACTGAAGCGGAGTGAGAGTTCCGCCAGCCGGTGACAGGTTTGGATTTGCACCTGCATTGATAAGCATCTGCACGAGATCGAGTGTTTTGGGTCTGGTAGTAGTCTACTTCCTGAAGTGGAGGGTTCCCGCTTTCTAGGCCATTAAGGATTTTGCTCCGGCGTCCAAAAGCATCTGAACCAGACGAGTGTTTCTAGACCCCCACTGCCGCCTGAAGCGGAGTCTGTCGGGTATATAAGCCGCTTGGGGCATCAGCATCCACTCCTCCTGGCTAGTAGAATCCGTATCGTTCTAACATCATCTTGTTCCACCGCAGCTAGCAACAAGTTGGAAGCGAATATTTCAACAGTGGTTGAATTCAATTGCAGCATGTCCTCCAGCATATACCGAAACCCGTTGTCAGTAAGCCAACTGAGAAGCTCGCGCGTTTTCGACCTCGGCATCAAGTTGTTTGACGACAAGTAAACACAAAACTGGATAAAGTGGAACAAGGTCTCTGGTTTCGATGACCCAAATAATTTTTTGATACCTCGCGTAAGGTCCCCGTTGGCCTGTTCAATCATAACAGATTCTAGAGATAATGCGATAGTATCGGCATCATCAGCAGTGAGCTCAGAGTTGCTATGTTCCTTTAGACAATTTAAAAGCAGCTGTCTGGCTTCTAGTATCGGCTGTTCAGGCATAAAATCAAAGACCTTAACTGGTCTTGCGCCGGAGTCAATCGTACTGGGTGATATGAAGCCCACTGGGTCCCTGTCTGGAAGTAATGTACTGTCAAGACCGAAAAATGAAGTCGGAGAACCCCACACGCGCCGCATTTTCGAGTCAACTATATCCAGGTTCAGCAAAATAAAATTTCTATGTCAACAGTCACTGAATACACATACACCAACTGTGGAACAGATTCTGAAATTGAAAGCAAGGGAGGCTTGTCAACCCCTGCGAGGCACCCGAGTAGACAACAACAGGTGAGCCAACTGAAATTTCATTCAGGACTTCACATCCTAGAAAGAATAAACAAGAATTGTTGTTAGAATGGCCCGTTCTTTCATAGAATATTCGCCGTTTACCATGATCCAAGGAGAAATCGTTCGCACCAGGGTTGCAGACTAGGACGCCTTCAGGGGTCTGCGGTTCTAGGTAGGCATTGTATCAATCATTAGTTGGGAAGCAATTCCCCCTCAAGCAGACATTAATTATTACCTGAGCCACATGTATACGCATAGCTGAGAGGAACGTGACGCGCGATTTCCTTTCTCAGCTTCTTTTCAGGAACGAGGGATCCATCCATGTAAACATCACTCTCTAACCCTTCAAGCTTCCGTTTTTGTACGCGCCCGAATACGAACTTCCAGTCATCACCGGTTCGTCGCTTTTTGATATTCCATTTTTTAAACTGGGCATAATATTGGTTGTTCCTGTACTATTAGTCAGTCTTGCCATTGATTCTTAGGGGTGGAATTGTGAGGGTGAGGAACCAACGTTTTACAAAATCCATAGAACCTTTCCATGTGAGCCTTGACTACGTGGAGAGGTTTTCCTTTCTTCCCTTCACGGAGGTATAGTTGGGTAATCTCCGCCTTATAGCGTTCCCAGTCAGTATCTGCTCCGTTTTCTTGAGACATGGTTCAAGCCAAGGCAGACAAGCTTCTTTCGCCAGAATATCTTGTGCACGAAAGAAAGACTGGGAGGGCATGATGGTTTATAAACATCTTGCCCAAATCCCCAGCGTCTTCAACCTCGACAGTCGCGACCCCGATACCAGCAAATTCTGCTTTTCCTGATCTTTTACTGGTCAGGGCCAGATGTCACACATGTCTGCATGAATGGCTTGCCAAGCATGCATGCCCTGATCGTGGGGCCTTTTTTGAGTACGAAAATCCACTATTATTGGCTCAGACCATGACTTGGGCACCTTTGTCATCATATTCCTGTTGGCACCAGCCTTGTGCCTTTAATGGTGCATTCCAGAACTGTTTCGGTGATCATTTACTTGCCACCGATGCGGTGTGGATGACTTGTGCCAGCGGTGGTGAGTTGGTGGAGCCGTGCGCCTCACCAGAAGATGACCGCTTCCACACCTTCCGCTCTTCAGCCTCACGAGCCTTCTCTTCCTTCATAATCGCACGTTGAAGCTTCGATTCTTCGGACTTTGCAGTCTTATCATGTTTTCAGTCCCCAATTCAACAGCACGTTGGCGAGCGGCGGAGGTCTTACGAGGAGATTCCACGCTTCCGGCGCTTCCGTTCAAGCTCTAAGGCTGCAGTTGATTGTTAATTCGCATGAAGAAGCAGTTCCTTCTCCATTACAAGCCTCTCGCTAGCATGGATAATCGTCTTTATCTGGCCACTTAGTCCAAAGGCATAACTGCTCTATCCGTTCGGCGAGGACGCGGACTATGCTGTTTTTTCATCAGGATGGTAATCATCAAGCCAGCTATCCTGTAGACTTGTCCCTTGAAAATCAGTGCTGACGGGATCCACAAGCCATCATCGCTGATGCATGCGATCAAAGAGATGAATTCCCGGTTTCCAGACTAAATAGCAGCAATTTTTCGAGATCTCAAGGCTTCAGTGGTATATTCGCTTCTTAACCTGCCCAAGGTTACTTATAAAGCCCTTTCCATCGCAGTTATATTCCTTTGACGGCTCGATGTTGTATTTCTCGGTGATCTCGTTCAACTAGGTAGTCGTAGAAATCAGCATTTAAAGAGTCTCTACTCCGTAGCAGTCAATTCAACGCAAAAAAAAAAAAAAAAAAAAAAAAAAAAAAAAAATATAATTAAACGCGTAAATAGTAGTCCTCATAGTAGGAAGAGATATCTGCTATCTGTCGCGTATGATCAGCTGCGCGTATATTGATGCTCTTCAGCTTATTCATGTAGCGCTCTCTGGATTTGAGACAGTTTGGCCTTGAAAGCGCCGCGACAACTTCTTCGGTCAATGTCGTACTGTTTGGCAGTCAGAGTATAATTAGGAGTCTCTTGCGATCGCAAATATATAATTGCTAATTGTATAACTTCTTACTTGTATTCATACCAAGATTGTCTACCTAGCCAGCTCGGGAACTGCCTTGGGGCAGCTTTATCCAACTTGGCACTCTCCCCTCGCCTCACCCTCCCACCTTTGCTTGGGTGAGGCAGCCAGGTTAAAGCAGCCCGCCTCCATCGCTCCCCAGGACTCGTGCTGATAGAGTACTTTAGGAAAATCCAGATTCCCTCTTGACTATTATAGGTAATTCGACAAAGTTCTAGTCGCTCTTGATCAGCGAAGCAAAGTACTAGTTACCAGAATTCCGCTGCTCATCCTGTCTTATCCGTTACAGTGATGCTTTAAAGCTCTGTTTAGGCTTACACCCTCCTCGCATAGAACCCCCTCCCCCGGCCTTTAAAACGCGAGAAGGTGGTTTTTTGGGCTTGAGATATGGGCGCGGCTGGCGGTGCGTCGTTCAACTGGTCAAAGACTCGATTATTAGCATCTCCCGGCACGCAAAACCACAAGGCTGAACCGGAAAATGAATGCAATATCCAAAACTTGAGGGTGAATATATACCCAGACATCTTTTGTCAGCACACTCATCCAGTATAACTACCAGGTAGTGTGTTCAGGGAGGTATCGAGGATTAGTTACATATGGTTGTTATATGGGAGGGCGTATCCTCGCAGCATCCTCAACTCACCTTCAACTATTGTACGAAACATGGCCGAAAGGCGTTTGCTTTCACTGTCCAACATGGAATCCGGTTTTCTTTTTGTATCATTCTATGCTCGAAATGCCCTACACGCTGGCCCAAGGATGGTTGTCCGCACACAAATGCTTTGCTTCTGGACGGGAGCACTATCAGGGCACGTTCCCAAGTCTTAATTACCGGCATTAGCCCTTAGCATTCTCTCAACAGGCTCACTTCCTAGCACCTTTTTTTCTTTCTAAATTTCCTTCTTTCCGTTCAAGATATGGGCTGCAGTCAAGTTGTCACTTCTGTTTCCACGCCTGACGTACATCTCCTGCTACTGATCAGGGACATGATTACCAGTCTGCCCATAGAACCCGATGATGAAGCCATAAATCGAATGGGCCTAGGAGCTCTTTGTTCCTAGATCCTACCGGATTCACTCGTTTCCTCTTCTTCGAGGGAACGACCTAGGGGACCTCTTTGTGTACGTGTCCAATTTCATACTGCCTACTCCTGCACTTTAGTGGGATAGGAAATGTACGGAGTTAGTGATGCTGATTCTTGAGTCGTCCTGGCTGTTCCCACGGAGAGGAGGTTGTAGCGAGAAAATGAAGATCAAAGAGAGCTCTGAGGGTATTACCAGCGTTCAGTATTCATCCCTGTTGATTGGCGGTTTCTTGTACTATTTGTATATGAAAAAGCTAATCACACCTAGAATTTCGGATAATGTACAAAATGTATCGTGATTTTAAATTATCTGTTGATTTCATCCATCATTTTACGTGCTGAGCCGTTGGGGGCAAACGGCTTGCTTTAATCCTAGCCTTCTTTCGAACAACCGCCCTTTCAATAACGTATTTAGGTAGATCTGGGACGCTGTCGCCACCCGGGTTGATGGGCTCCTCCTCTGGCTGACTGCTTTCCATATGTGCAGAAGGTTTTTCCTGCCCTTCAGGACTATTTTCTCCGTCGACTCCAGGTATAGGAGCGAGCGCTGCCTTCGAAGCGCTCACACCCGTGTTTGGGTTGTTATCAAAAATTCTGTTAAACTCCACTCTCATCGGCGCCCGGTTAAGGCCCGGCCAAATATCAGAAGGTAGATAATCGCCTTGCTCTACTCGAAAGGCCTCCCTAGCGCGCACATCGTCGTCATAGAGTTTATCTAATTTCACTCTTGCATCATGGAGGATTCGCTCAACCGAAACCCGTACCGATTTCCTCCGTGCAACTTCAAGGATGAGGTCGTCATATGCATCTAGAAAGCCAACGTACATGGTTCGTAGATCTGACAAATCAGCCATGCCGGCTTGCATCCGTTCGTGCTGCTCTTTCCAGACTCGTGTGAAGACATGAGATTGGGTAATGTAACTGGCTAGTTTGCTTTTGAAAAACTTGTCTAGCCGGTGGACATTCTCTATCATGGCAGCACAAGATTCGGCAAGAAGGTCTCGTTGAGCGACGATCCGATCAAGAGTCGTTTCCATTTCTGCGATGCGGTCTTGGATTTCGAGGACAACATCTTCAGCCTCGGTGGCATCCTTAACGATAACGCCTATCATCCCTTGGTATTCCAACTCTGTCAATGGCTCTGGCGGAGCGTTGGGATTGTCGATGTCTTCCCCATCGTTTCCGAGACGAACACCGACATTTAGCCCGCTGGGAAGGTCGCCAGTGATTCGTAGAGCAGCTGCTCCGCCACCTTCTGTGTGTTTGACAGCTGTGGCGCAGAGGTCAAAATGATGGACCAAGGACTCCAACAGGTCAGCCATTTCCTGCGCATGTAACTCGAGGGAATGCAGCAGCTCTGGAATGACGGCTGGAGAAGGCGTGGCTTGCGTTTGGGGCGGAGAGGAGGGTAGCGTGGACGAATGAGGTATGGGTTTAATAGGAACATTGTATTTACTCAACTTTCGTTGAATCGCGTCCAGTTCTTCGTCAAAGGCGTTATTGGATGCGTCCAGATCTGCTTGGGCGGAGTTGGTGTTATCAATTGCATCTTTCAGCAATGACTGCAAATCCTGGACCGCATTTTCGTCAACAAAATCGTGCAGAGTTTTGGGTTCTTCTCCGGGAGGAAGAAAGGATGGCTCGACAGAGGTTTCACGTAATAAGCTTAGCGCCTGCTGCAGTTTCTCATCTACTTTGTCGAGCTCCTTCAGGGTGGAGGAGAAGTCCTCTCTTCCGTATTGAGCAAGCTGTTCTATCTCATCTTTGATTTGATACAATGAGCGTAGCTGAACCTCAAGCTCTCGATGGAGAAACCCCGCGCGCGCCGAGAGAATAACACCCTCCTCCAGGGCACTGCGAGCAGCGGTAACAATCTCGTTAGCTCTCCATACATGGTTGATCGACGAAAGCGACCGCTTAGCAGCCACTAAATGCCCAACCAGGGTCTCCAAGTTGGGCTGCTGGTGTCCATCGTCAACGGCTGCTGCATTGAAATGACTTCTGCCCTCGGACGCAGAGGAAGACATTGAGCCCGAAGGCGACATTGATCAGTGCTAGTGTCCTGTGGGACACTACCTTGCACCCAGCGCCGCAAGCGAGTGCATCAAAACAGCTATTGAGAATGAGTTAGCCAGGACCTTTTTCCATCACACATGGATTCGAAGAATGCAGCTGTCACGCCTCAACGCTACAAATAGGAACAAAGACGCTTTGACCCAGAAGAGGACAGGGGCTCGCCACATCTGCGAATACAGGGATAACCATTGCGCTTCACCAAATGCAACGCAGCTGGGGTGCATGCAGCTAGAAGCGGGTGGGATCGCTGAGGGACGATCTATAAATGGATATGCTGGGGATGCGGCGTGTTTACCTTGGAGAATCAGGCACTGCTCGTCCGCCACGCTGATATATAAATAATATTTGTATAGATATCTTCCATGGAGGTTGCGAAGGGAGCCGGGTGATTGGCTGGTGCCCGCCATGATGCGATTGCTGGGCGCGATGTCGACACAGTCACGTGGGTCAGGCTGAGAGAGTTTGATAGTGGGGCCCGCCTTGCCTGAAACAGACTAGCACATACAATGGCGCCAATCTGGCGTCAATTTGAGCGCCACGCTAGACTACTCCGGGTCTAGCCTGCGGAAAATGTGGGGTGCGGCGACAAACAGAGCAAAAGTCTCTTCCCCTTTTGCCGAGGGGGCGCAAACCACCAAGGTCGACGATGAGGATCTGAGGGAATCTCACTGCAAGATGGCCTCATCGACAGCCAGACGGTCTAAAAGTTGCGTGTTCTGTGCCTTGATATAAACCTGGTGACCTCGTTCAATGCGTCGTGAAACTCGCCAACTCGAATACCTTTTTCTTTTCAATGGTCCCCGGGCCTCGAGCTAGTTAACTTGGTCAACGAATTGACGGAGGGATCTTCAGCGCTCCTCATCGCCATCTTCCGTGTGACCATCGACGCTTCTTTTACCTATCCGAGCGTCTTCGCCGCGAGCTCTCGAATCTCGACGCTATCGCTTTGATCCATTCATTATGGCGTCGAATCCATCATCGAATTCCCTCCCTCAGCCTCTCAAACCCGACACGCGAGAGACCTTCCAGGAATCCCCACGAAAGCGAAGACGGCTGTCTCCTGAACATTGGGATAACGATTTGCCTCAGTCCTCTGTCTTTGGGCCATCGCCTCCTGATCTTTCCGGGCAAGGACTGGACGATGACGGCAGAGCCGATCAAACTTCCCTTATGGCGACAACTCACATAGATTCGGCAGGGAGGAATATCGCTCCTTTCCTCGCGAAGCATATCCGTGACCAGCACGCTCCCATGAACGAGTTCGAACCACAAGCAGCTACAAACAGTTCAAGGAACCTAAATTCAAGGTATTGCTACCGACATCGACCAGATCTCAAATGTCGGAGGCAAGCAGACGAAATCACAATGGATCAGATGCAACGCGTGAGTTAGCTCGTGTCACTTGGGGTGATGATTAAATCCCAAAGCTAATACGGCGTGAAACCTAGGAACTCCATTCCCTATCTCAAACTGACCAGCAAAGCATTGCCCATTTTTGGGCTTTGTTCTCGGCTGCTCCCTCGAAACACCGCAATTTGATGTTGCAAGGCCTCCTCACTCAATGTTGCTTCCCCCAGCTTTCGTTCTTGTCCGCCAGTGTCCGTGACCTGATTCGGATCGACTTCCTCACTGCATTGCCACCGGAGATATCGCTCAAAATATTCTGTTACCTTGATACGGCCTCGTTATGCAAGGCAGCACAGGTCTCTCGTCGCTGGCGGGATCTGGCAGACGATGACGTTGTGTGGCATAGAATGTGTGAGCAGCACATCGACCGGAAATGCAAGAAGTGTGGCTGGGGTCTTCCGGTTCTGGATCGCAAGAGACTAAGGGACACGCGACGTCAAATGCAACTTCGCGCTGCTGGAAAAGATCAATGCGCGAAGAGCGCTACTCCTGAGGCGACAAATATTGGCGATGACTACTTCAAAACACAATATCGCCCTTGGAAGGATGTATACAGAGACCGGTTCAAAGTCGGTATCAACTGGAAGCATGGAAGATGCACGACAAAAATATTCAGGGGGCACTCCAATGGGGTGATGTGCCTGCAATTTGAGGACAATATTCTTGCAACTGGATCGTATGACACAACCATCAAAATCTGGGATACGGACACGGGTGAAGAGCTGCGGACACTGCATGGTCACCAATCCGGAATTCGATGTTTGCAGTTTGACGACACGAAGCTCATCAGTGGTAGTCTTGACCGCACAATCAAGGTTTGGAATTGGCGGACGGGAGAGTGCATTTCTACTTATACTGGTCACCACGGAGGGGTGATCTGTCTCCATTTCGACGCCACGACGCTCGCCTCAGGGTCGATGGACAACACAGTCAAAATCTGGAACTTCCAAGATAAATCCACGCGGGTTCTACGTGGGCATGCGGATTGGATTAATTCTGTGAAAATCGACTCCTTATCGCGTACAGTCTTTACTGCCTCCGATGACCTAACTGTTCGACTATGGGACTTGGATACTGGCAACTGCATCCACACGTACACAGGCCACGTGGGCCAGGTCCAGCAGGTTGTTCTCTTGCCACGAGAATTCGAATTTGAAGAGCATGACAGCGAGGACACTCAAAGCCTTACCTCTACTGGAGCGAGCACTGATTCCGAACATGAGCATCACAACCACCATCATGACCACAACGATCCGGAGGAAACCTCGCTTTCGGCACCGTCCTCTTTGCCCATGTCACCGGCATTCGACGCCATATTTGCTCACGGCCGACCGGCGCCTCCACGATACATGGTCACGGCGGCTCTCGATTCGACACTCCGGCTTTGGGAAGTTCCTACTGGCCGATGTCTCCGCACGTTCTTCGGGCATATCGAAGGTGTCTGGGCGCTTGGCGCCGATACACTCCGCATTGTCTCCGGTGCGCAAGACCAGATGACCAAGGTTTGGTGTCCTAGAACTGGCCGGTGCGAGAGAACATTCACCGGGCACAGAGGGCCCGTTACTTGTATCGGTTTAAGCGACAGCAGACTTGCCACGGGTAGCGAAGACTCCGAGGTGCGGATGTATAGCTTCAGGTGTTGAAAGGTGACTAGGAATCCTTCAGTCTGTCTATAGCGAGCGTTTTACAGGGTAGAGAGCAAATACCTCTTCATTATTTTAGGCGCCAGTTTTCAACAACCTTTGCATTACGACTCCGGTTGACATATTCTCTCGTGCTGCCTCGACATTTGGATACAGAACTCCAGGAGCAGTCGGGTGACATTCCTAACTAGTTGGCTCACCAGCCAGTATAAAAAAAAGGGAAAAGATGGCACAGGTCAATCTCAACGTTGACCAGTATGATATATTTGTCCTGGGCAACAATAGTGATGCAACCAGGGATATGCCAACGGCTTGCAGAACACAGACCACTGGCGAAGGATGAATCAATGGAGGACAAATATCTGTTTTATTCGATACCCTTTTGCGTCTGTCCTTTTGCTGTTATGCTATATTTACTCGATAGCGTGGCCCAGGGAGTCTCAGTGAAATACCGTCAAAGGACCTTTGGTGAAATCAATACACCTGTTCACCTTGACCGATTAACTAACTTACATACAAGTTGGGAATATGTTGCCCTCCAGCTATGACTACATCAAAGGGCATCTTGCTTTACGAGTGTCCTCCCCACGAGCACAGCGGTGGGCGGGCATCATCTCCAGGTACAATATCCCATCGACACACTTTGCGCCATTTCTTTCTCCGCCCCGTCTGCTGCTTAGATCTGGCCTTCAGCCCTCCGCACCTCACAGCTCCCACCACTTCCGACTCTCGCCCAAGTGAGCAAACATGCCCCCATCACTCGGCTCCTTCCGAAGCCGCGGCCCACCAAGCTACACAACCAACGCCGGGCCCGCAGGCCACCAGATCACCATGCAGCCCCTGCCGGCACAGAGCCCCCAACCCGGCTCATCTCACAGCCATGGCCCGCTAGGCCAAATGCTCCCATCACAGTCCGATCCGCTCCCGGCAGGTAGCCTCCACGGCTCATACATCAGAGTACCCAGCCAAGCCAATAACAACAACAACAACAACAACCTAGCAGGTAGTGCGCGAGGCTCGTTTGTCAGTCGCGGCCCACCAAGCCAGGTCGGTAACCCGGCAGGCAGTGCTTATGACTCGTACATTAGGGTACCCAGTCAACTCAATAACCCACCAGGGAGCGTGCGCGGTTCATTCGTCAGTCGCGGTCCACCAAGCCATGTCACGAATGTCGCGGGGAACAATCCAGTTCCCAATCTGGCGGCGCCGACTCGCGCGGTTTCTCTACATAGTAACCCGGGATTAGCGTCGGGAATAGGCAGGGGCAGAGGGTCCGGTGTAGGTGGCCCTTTGAACAATCTTAGTCTTGCTCAGTCAGTCAGTAGTACTGGTGCCCATCCCCCTCCTCCTCCTGGCCTTGGACGCGGCTTTGGACGCGGCTTCGCGTTTGGTGGTGCCGCGACGGGGCCGGGTGGGACGTTCCATTCGTCGTGGGCTGGGCATGGCGGTGGGCGTTCAGACGTTGACAGCCTGTATGCGCGTGGAAGGGCTCAGTGGGAAGATTCGAAACGGTGTATGAGGTTGTTCCTCTGGTGTCTTTTGGCGGTCGCGGTGCTTACGGGGATTATCGTGGGGGCGATCAAAGGGTCGGGGAAGGGGTAAGGGGGGAGGTTCGGGTTGATAGTATTAATAGGAGACATTTTGTTAGGTTGCATGAGGGCAATACGAGGCACATTTGACTGACTGGGCGAGTTTGAGGGATCGGATGTGGTAAAATATACAAGTCGCATGTAGCATAGAAGTAAAAAGACTATAAACAATAAAGGGTGGGGGTGATACAAAAACAAATGTGTAGAAAAGGGAGGGAAAAAAAAAAAGTCCGTAAAGCCATCATCCAAACCAGCATCGATTCATAGAATACAATTTCTCGTCAACAAGTGTCCAGTATTCCCAAGGAACAGCGCCCCTTTCTTGTCCCCAAGTTTTTTCCTCCTAAAACCTCGAAAGGAAACCACCGCGTTTCCTTGCCGCGTCCGCCTGGATCCTACCACGGAAATGCTCCCGGAACTGCATTCGCCCCAGGGTCCCCAGGCCCACTACCAGAAAGAAGAGCCCTGTCCATATCCCGGTCACTATTAGCCCTACGGGAAAAATCTCTATGGCGGTCCCGGGGATGACGAATATCGTTGCGGCAGCGATGATATCGGGTAATTTGGCAGCGGCGTCGGGGAACGTGATGTTATTGGGGGAGCGGTCTTGGTTCATTAGGAAGCCAGAAACGTACGAGAGGGTGTCGGACGAGAGGGCTGTGCTGATGGAATCGTTGGAGGTAGAGCGTGCGGTGATGGTTATGTTGGGAATTAAGAGGATGCGGAGATCTTCACTGTGGGAGCTGTTAGAGCCATGGATGCAGAGTTTGGGTTTGAGGAAGTCTGGATGGAAAAACGTACGTGCTCAGTTTGTCAAATTGAAGCATGCGATTTAATTGTCCTATATGCCTGAAATCCTGCAGTAGTATAGGACTGTTCGGGCCCGTCGACTCGTTCGATGCTAATCGGTCAGGGGAAGCGACTGTGGCCGCTGGAATGTTCATCTCCACTGTGTATTGAGACGATGGCACTCTGGCGAAACCCAGCCTGGGGTCAGAGAGTTGATAGAGCCTCACATCGGCAGCAAAAGTCCCCGTCGTTAGGTTGAAGAAGGGAATGTTGTAGCATGCGGCCATCCCAGAGGGGTTTACCGCGGACCGCACTGGAGCCAACGCATCTAGACATGCTGCCGTGGCCGTCCGATTGAATTCCTGCTCGTTCAGTCTCGGGGTCGACATGGGCGGCTCGGCCTGGGGGGATGGTGCCCGCCGCACCCAGCGCGAGACTCGAGCGGCGTGGTCCAATGCATCGCGGCGCAGGCTGTCGTGAAGCGATGGGGCGGAGTGTGACAGGCTGTGGCCTGGAATGTGCGTGGAAAGCACAGGCAGGATGAATCCGACAAGCTGAATAACGGATATGAATATCGCGATGGCCCGCATCGTGGACATCCACTGGGCGGAGGGCTATTGCCCAGGGATAGTGAGTGGAAAACGTCGTCGCTCTTATCCGAACTCGCGATTGATCCTCCTTCATGCTATTAACCGTCCAGCGGCGAGGAGACGTGGGGTATCTGTGCTGCGTCCTGTCCTCGAATCCGGCAGGCAGCCGAATCGCATTATCCGTCCGGTTCAGGGCAGAGCTTTAGGGTCCGGAGCACGTCGTCGACGCAGAGCAGTTCGTCCAGCGGGATGGAGTGTAAACACCAAGATAAAAGTACACGGGACGCCACAAAGGTCATTGAAAACGAGAGCAAAAAGGGGGCGGTCCCCGAAAACAGGCCGTCTGAGAAGGTCTCAAGCAGCTATTACAAATCAGAGATCGAATGATCTCAGCAGCAATGGGGGAGTCGGAGGTTGAAGCTCTAAGTCACTGGTAAGACATGGGGTGCCTCACCATCGCCATCTCAGACCGTCCAGGTCGCGCGCGGGCGCCGCCAGCCAGGGCCATTATATAAGAGACGGCGGGCAGGTCAGCGCATGGGGACTCCACATGGGCCACGGATATTTTAGCCGACGTCACAGCGCTGGAGACTGCGGTTGGCCCGGTGGTTCTGCAGACAACATATTAATGTAGGCCCCATGGATGGCCAGCATGCCGCTGGTGATTCTCATTGGCGATGCAGGGGATGCAAGTGGCTGGCAGGCGAGAGGCTAGGGGCTGCTGAGTCAGCGTGAAGAGTCGCAGCAGGCCAGGCTGGCCCTCTGATTGGCTGGCTGGTCTCAGCCCAGTCCGCAGCACTAGTCTTCTCTGGGCCTAGTGCCGTCTGTTCACCGCTGCTGAAACTGCCGGGATCCTGACATAAGCAGGGGAAGCCGAACACACTAAAGATGAAGGTGAAGGTGAAGAAGCTCGAGGATGAGGAGGAATGAGGGCAAAGAGAGACAGCACTGGATTCACAAAGCCAAACATTTCATCGCCTGCTCGAAACCTCCGTGACAGCTCCGACCAAACGTCTATTTTAAGCCCCCCCGGCGAGACTCCCATGGCGGCTGCGGACTGACAGGCCAGTTGAGAATGGCCCAATGTAACTCTCACCCCGTCACATCCGCCACTGTGCTGCTCGCTCCCAACATGCATCTTGCACAGAGAGGGAATGCTGCCTGCACAAGGCGCTTGTCTCCCTGCATCTACCCGCCTCATGACTAAGGCCAATTTCCTTCCGCGGCTCAGCAGGTTTGAATGCAGGTTCTTTCATTAACTAATGGTTTATGCTGCTCACACCTGGAACACCGAGATTGCGCCGGTTGCATGTTGATGGATCCGTGTTTTCAGGCTGCTCCAGTGTTTTGGCTTGATGTCCTGGAACGCCGAATATTCTCCGGTTGCAGATAATCCTGTGATTCCCAAACTTCCTCTTTTTTCTTTTCAACCGTTCGCTGGGCGGTGGGCGAATTCTCCATCGGGCTTTTGGCGCTGCTCTGGACACTTCTCGTGCGTCCGTGTCTGCGCTGCGACCTGACGATCCTTCATGGCGCCCTCTGGCGTATCGGATGTGAATCTCCCGGCAGGGGACATCCTTCAGGTGCTTTCGATCGTCCAACCACGGAACCCGTGCGCACTGCCCTGATCTCGGCGTTCTCTGCCTCTCAATGTCCGACATCCATGCCATGCCCTTTGCTCAATGGAAGCATCGGTTGTGGTGAGCAGGTGCCTCCCCTTCGACTCCTCCGTTCCCAGACTTGGAAGCGTGCAGCTCCTTGAAGATCATGCTTATTCATGAATGGGTCATCAGCTTGTCTCTGGTATGACTGACGGCACCCCATCACAGATGTGGTTTGACGATACCTACCGTGACGGGCTATTGCTTTCATTTCCCTTGGATATTCCACTATCCCATTTCGAATCCAGCCGTACAACCACTGGACATGTCGGGCTTTGCAAAAGCCACATCCATACCCTCCATGATTCCATAGGCGATCGATCTAGGTGTTTAGACGGTTACTTTCCCTTTTCCCTCTGCTTTTCCCGCTGATTCAACTCCCTTTTATCTGGGCGTCTCTCGACTCGCTGATCATCATACTCTCCCACATAGATGCAAAAGCAGCCTTTCAAGCCTAGTTCTATCAAAATCCATTACAGAACCCTTTATTCCTCGGAATAGCTACTCAGTCAATCAAGTCGCTCGTCGTTTTATTGATTCAAATGGGTACGACGGGAAAGGATGATCATATTTCAAGATAAGGTCCGCGACCAAGCCTTGTAGCACTCTCAATAGGTTCGAAGCAAATCCCTCAAGAAACGCTACTTCATTTTCAACATGACCGGCAGTACTTGACTACACATCAACATCTTCACTTGGAGTCGTGAAATGTCACACTGCCTGACATTACATTTTGACCTTTACTATTCAATTAGTGTCTGCCAATATGGTTACTATTCACCAGACCAGCGGTGACCTTTGGTAAAACCTGCGGCTTTCTCTGTCAATCATTTCGCCTACTGCAAGCTAACCACAATAACTTCTAAACCAGCAAGTCCATTATTTATAGACTTTAGGGTTCTCTTCTTTATCTTGAAAGGTTAAACCTTCAGTCACGAGAGAAATGTCAATTCAATACTGATGAAGTCATAAACCTTTCCAAACTTTGTTGTTTACCGGCTTTGAAGAACGGCTCCGAATCGATCTCTAACCTCCCAAGTTGTTAGATATGGAGCCTGTCTACATGTCCATCTGCCTGTGAGGATCTTATTTCCAAAACAGGAGAGCATGGAGACATCCCGCGAAGCATTGCTTATACACAATGGATCGCCCGAACGCAGGCAACCATTTGTGTCAAAACACCGACACGGGTCCAAGAGACAGCGGATCTTCGGCTGGGTCAAACAAGCCGTGTATTCATCTTTCTGCAGCAGGAGGTAAGCCGCATTATCTTGCAACGATCTGCCTCTCCTCAGCACAGTTTTGGGAATATATGCTGAGTATGCGGAGACGAGGTAGGCGGCCACAACAGGATCATAATCAAAAGGAGAAGCTCCCTGAAGAGCGAGAACCTGGCAAATTTGACCCCAGGCTGAGATTCATTCCGAATACAGAGTACCTGTGATGGAACGAAAAAGGGCATCATTTCGGCTTGATGATATTGGCGGCTTGGGTTTGGGAGCGTTATCAAGTGAATGCTGAAATACACAAATATTACGTCGCCTGGGAGACCCGTTATTATACCATTGTGATTCATTGGCAATGCCGCTCGAGTGATTTTTTATAAAGGAGTTTGGCACGGAAAAGGACAGTTCTTGTCCAAGTCTCGGAGATACTTAGATGCAATCCGCAACCCCTTGATTTGATGAATATTTGATACGAACTTTTTTGAAGGCCAAAAACGCCTGTGATCTAGGACCTGTCAATCATATGCTTTGACCAATTTCTAAATGTATCCATGATTCGATCCGCTCATCCTCGTGCATAACGGTGTAAACGAAAGTTTTACCATCTAGTGTATTTAGCTCTGGAGAAAATCCACGCTGTACCATATTACTTCCTTTTTGAAGCATTTATAAGTTTTTTCTTGATATGTTTCGGCATCTTCTTCGCGCGCTGCTCCCGCTTTTCTTCCTTGACCTGACGCTTATGGTCCCGCTTCGCTTCCTTGTCCTCAAACCGCTTCCCACGCGGAGCCTTTTTGGCGAACGGATCCAACTCGGCGTCGTCTTCCTCTGATTCCCCGTCTGAGACAGAGACGCCTCCAGACTCATCCGAGCCGTCTTCAACCGTTGCCGGCGCAACATCGTCTGCAGCACGCGCTTTGCCACGATTGGCCAGCAAGTCGCGGTATACCAGATCCTCACCTTCGCCGGCTTGGAGTCTTTCAACGTCACGTTCAATGTCGTACACTTGTTCAAGTGTTTGAGGGATGTACTGCTGTCGAAACACCGCTGTATCAAGTTCGGCATCTTCCGTGTCTTGAGAATCTGCTCTGGTGGCGAAGAGTTTCTCCAGCGCCGCGATCATCTGTTCGTTGGATCCGTCCACCATACGGGGCCCGTCTGATGAAGTGATAAAGCCAAAGACCGTCCGCTCAGATAGGGTATCGACGCCTTTCCGGCTGAAGAAATCGCTGACATTCTTGATGTCCATGCGGAGGAATTCCAGACTCCGAGGGTGGTCATGCTCGACACTTTGGCTGACATCGATGATGTATAACTTGTGTTTGTGGTAGAGAATGTTATATTCGCTCAGATCTGCATGGACCAACCGGCAGTCTTGATACATAGTCCTCATGTATCCGATTAGTTCCATGTAAAGGGCTCGCCATCGGGCTTCGGGATCTTCTTCGATTTCAACGTCTTTTAGTCGAGGGGCAGGTAAGCCTTTTGAATTTCCAAGGAATCCCATTGCCAGCACATGCAACCGTAGATACAGCGGTTCAGGACAAGGAATTCCAGCCGCGTATATACGCTTGAGGTTCCTCATTTCCTTCTCCGCCCAGACTTTAACCATTGCTCGGTTATTAGACTTGTTGTATCCTTGCCGAAATCTGAATTCACCTGTAACATACTTATCCCGATCTTTGAATACAAGAATGCTTGTCTTGTAGACTTTGATGGCACGCTGTACAGGCTCGTCTTCGCCATCAGGATACGAAACGGCGTGGTAAACATTAGCCTCTTTACCTGTCGACAGACACCCGTTGACTTCTGATATGATATTTCTGTTGATCATCTGTAACAGCAACATCCTTGTTCGCGGATCCAGCACTTGTTCTGAAGTTGCCCTGTCGCTCTTCTCTGCGCCCTTGGATGTGCGGCCTCCAAGGCCGGACTGCAAATCGTCCAGCCGTAGCTTCGCAGCATGACTGGACAATGTAGCTATCTGGTCGTCAATTTTCGCATGCGTGTTTACGGTGGGCTTTTGCGGGTTGATCTTCGGATAGGACGATTTCGGGGCATTGGGATCTGCAACTACCTCGTTCAGTCGACGTTGACGATTGTATGATTTTGTGTAGTCTGCGGGATTCGAGGAAAGGAAATCTTCATCGGCGAGCTCATCTGCAAAGATATCATCGTAGTATTCGTCGTCCTCTTCTTCTTCGAGTTCTTCCATATGCTTTTCATCTCCAGGCGGGATTTCGTTTGGCGGGGTATCAGATTGCGCAGCGACAGTATCATGGCTAGGAGGGGCGGCGTCTCGCCGCACTGTCGCATGCTCAGAAGCCATAGTAGAAGATACAAATGTAGCGAAGGAGAAATGCTCAACCCTTCCCCTATATCTGCAAAGAATAGATTGCGACCGTCTCGTTCGCCTTACCCCTCAGCAAAATACTTGCTAGCTGGAAATCTGGCCGGTTCAACTGTTTCGCCGAACTCCGACTAGCCCTAATTTCCTAAACTGGAACGCGTCGGCCTTGGATCATTCCAGCGAACGCGTTGGTTAACATCAAGGCAGTGTCAGATACTCCTGCAAGCTCGCCCATCGACGGTTGCGGCCCATTGCGCCCTAGTGACGCGTGTCTTATGGTATTGAGATGGTACAGGGCTGACCGGGATCTCCAAAATGTTTGTGAAGCAGATCATCATCCAGGGCTTTAAAAGGTGAGTGATGCTCCTATACACCTGCTTTTGTCTCGATATTCCTGACGGTCCATGATAGCTACAAGGATCAAACGGTTATTGAACCCTTTTCGCCGAAGCACAATGTCATCGTCGGGCGCAATGGATCTGGGAAGAGTAACTTCTTTGCAGCGATTCGGTTTGTCCTCAGCGATGCCTACACTCACATGGGGAGAGAGGAGCGCCAGGCGCTACTGCACGTATGTGTCTTTTGAGAGACTTGCTATTGTGCAGTGCTGACAATCAGCAGGAGGGGTCCGGGTCAGCCGTGATGTCCGCCTACGTCGAGATCATCTTTGATAATTCCGATGAACGTTTTCCCACCGGAAAAGACGAGCTGATTCTCCGTCGTACTATTGGACTGAAAAAGGATGAATACTCTCTGGATCGAAAAAATGCTACCAAAGCAGATGTAATGAATTTGTTGGAGTCGGCAGGGTTTTCGCGCTCGAATCCATATTACATCGTACCCCAGGGCCGTGTTACAACTTTGACGAATATGAAAGACTCGGAACGTTTGGTTCTTCTTAAAGAAGTCGCAGGTACACAAGTGTATGAAGCTCGCCGCGCGGAGTCATTGAAAATCATGAACGAAACCAATAATAAAATTGCCAAGATTGACGAGTTGCTGGATTACATCAACGAACGTCTTGCAGAATTAGAGGAGGAGAAAGACGAACTTAAGAATTTCCAAGAAAAGGATAGGGAAAGAAGATGCCTCGAGTATACAATCTATGCACGAGAACAAGCCGAAATCGCCGGTGCGCTCGAGAATATTGAGAATCAAAGGCAAACAGGGGTTGACGACACGGATGCGAATCGCAACAGATTTATACAGGGTGAAAACGATATTGCGCAAGTTGACACTGAAATAGCAGAGCACAGACAACAAATTGAACTTCTCAAGGTAGAGAAGTCACAGTTGGAAGATGATAGGCGGGATGCTTCTCGAGCGCTCGCTCAGGCCGAGCTGCAAGGGAAATCTCTTGCGGATGGACAATCTGCTGCCCAGCAAGCTAAGAGCAGGCGCGAATCGGAGCTGAATTCTGTACAGACTGCGATAGCGGAGCGTGAAGCGGAATTAAACAAGCTGACCCCCGAATTCATAGCACTCAAAGAGGAAGAGGAAACTTCTAAGTCGAACTTGACCGAAGCCGAAACAACTCGCCAGAGACTCTATGCCAAACAAGGTCGAATTTCGAGATTTCGAAACAAGTCAGAGCGAGATAAATGGCTCCAGAAAGAAATTCAAGATACTTATACGTCACTTTCAACAGTGAAAGCCGTCCGCATGCAAACCGCCGAAGAAATAACACAGCTAGAGAATGAAATCGCATTAATAGAACCTGAGACAGAGAAACTTCGAAAGCAGCTGGATGGAAGGGGTGATGCAATGCAGTCAATGGATCAAGAAGTTCAACGAGCAAAAGATGAGCGAGATAGCCTGATGGACCAGAGAAAGTATGTGGGCCAAAACCTTCAAATGTGAGAAGGGCAACTAACCCTCTGATTTTCGCAGGGAACTTTGGAGAGAGGAAGCTAAACTTGATTCGATTCTGTCGAATGCTTCCCAAGAAGTGGATCGCGCGGAGCGGAGCCTCTCGCATATGATGGACCACAATACGAGCCGTGGAATTGCTGCAGTACGTCGGATAAAGCGCCAGTATGATCTTGATGGTGTATTCGGAACATTAGCGGAATTATTTGATGTCAGCGATAGATATCGTACGGCAGTCGAAGTTACTGCCGGACACAGCCTTTTTCATTATGTTGTGGACACTGATGACACCGCCACGAAGGTATTGGAAATATTGCAAAAAGAGAAAGCTGGCCGAGTGACGTTTATGCCCTTGAATCGACTCAAGCCCAGACCTGCCAACGTCCCAAGAGCTAGTGACACGATTCCCATGATTGAAAAGCTCCAATATGACTCAAAGTATGAGAAAGCTTTTCAACAGGTTTTCGGCCGCACCATTATTTGTCCCAATCTTCAAGTCGCATCGCAATACGCGCGCAGTCATGGTGTTAATGCCATTACTCCAGATGGCGATAGGTCAGATAAGCGCGGCGCCTTGACTGGTGGTTTCCACGACTCTCGCGTATCACGTCTTGATGCCATGAAAACTGTGACGAAATGGCGCGATGAGCTAGAAGCCAAAAGAAACCGGGGTGTCGAGATTCGTCGTGAGCTGGATAAGATGGATCAGCTTATCACGAGGGCAGTTGGAGAACTGCAAAAGCTTGAGCAACGGAAACAACAGTTCCAAGGTAGCAACGCGCCTTTACGCCAGGAAATCAAAAGTAAACGAGACCTTCTTCACAACAAAACAGATACGCTGGAAGCAAAACGTCGTGCGTTGAAGAATATTGAAGCCAACATCACTGCATTAACTGATCAAATCAATGCACATGAGGAAGAATTGTCCACGCCGTTCGAAAAAGCTTTGTCAAATGAGGAAGAAGCCCGCCTTGAGAGCTTGAGCTCTGTGGTTCAAGACCTTCGGCGTCAACATTCAGATGTGTCTAGCAAGCGGAGCGAATTAGAAACTAGAAAGTCGATCCTAGAGGTGGAATTGCGAGAAAACCTTCATCCCAGGCTTGATCAGTTATTAGGCCATGATATTGAAGCTGGCGAGGATACCATTCAAGGAAATCTGAAAGAAAGCCAACGTCAGATTAAGAAGCAGACCAAAGAACTGGAAAAGCTCAATCAACGACTACAGAAATTGGAGGATTCCATCGAAGAAAGGAATGCCGAAATGATCCAACTTGAACAACGCAAGGCTGATATCAGACGGGAACTTGATGAGCTTGCCAAGTCAATTGAAAGACACCAGCGGCGAATGGAAAAGAGCATGCAGAAGAAGGCTGCATTGACGAAGCAAGCTGCTGAATGCAGTGCCAATATTCGTGACTTGGGGGTGCTGCCAGACGAGGCATTCACCAAGTTTAAGAATACGGATTCTAATGCAGTCGTTAAGCGATTGCATAAAGTTAATGAAGCACTAAAGAAATACTCCCATGTTAACAAGAAGGCCTTCGAGCAGTACAACAATTTTACAAAGCAGAGAGAGACATTGATGGGGAGACGAGAAGAACTCGATGCTTCGCACAAATCAATCGATGAGCTGATTACAATTTTGGATCAACGAAAAGACGAAGCAATCGAGCGGACATTCAAACAAGTATCTCGTGAATTTGCCAAGATATTTGAGAAACTGGTTCCAGCTGGACGTGGTCGGCTTATCATCCAAAGGAAAACAGATCCTACGAATCGGCAAGATGACGATATTGACTCTGATGAGGAAGAAACGCGCCGTAGTGTCGAGAATTACGTCGGTGTTGGTATTAGCGTCAGCTTCAATAGCAAGCATGATGACCAACAACGAATTCAACAACTTAGCGGAGGACAGAAGAGTATGTATTGTCTTCATATGTATGTCTCAAGTCTGGAACTAACGTAGTATCTTAGGTCTTTGTGCCCTAGCACTTGTCTTCGCGATTCAAGCATGTGATCCGGCTCCTTTCTATCTCTTCGACGAAATCGACGCCAATCTCGACGCACAATACCGCACGGCGGTCGCACAAATGCTCAAATCTATTTCAGAGGAAACAAACGGCCAATTTATCTGTACTACTTTTAGGCCGGAGATGCTTCACGTTGCGGAGAAATGCTACGGTGTTAGTTTCCGGAGTAAAGCCAGTACTATCGATGTAGTGTCGAGAGAGGAGGCGTTGAAATTTGTGGAGGAGCAAAAGACTTGAGATCTGTACCTATGGCTCAATCGTGCTCTTCCTTATGCCCTGCCTGGAGTTGGGATGGATCGGCGTTTCGATGGTGGCATTTCAACGGTTATGCCCAGTTACGAAACGGTTTCCTTCGATTGAATCTGCGAGCTATGTAATAATATCTGATATCTAAATGAAGAGTCTATTCTTTGTCTATACGTCTTTGAAAAACCGATTTAGCCCAGGATACGATGCTAGCAATCCGTTGTTGATTCTGCGGTCGTCACCAATCCAACTGTAGGATCACTCAATTTTCGGGCTGACTCTCCAGTCCATTCAACTACAATATCATCCGGAACATTGCGTAGTAGGACATGGATATGTTCTAGGGTCCTCACACTTTGCAGTGCAGTCCAATTCTTAAACCATAACACCCTTTCTTTCGCGTCGGGAAATTCCTTCTCTAACCGTTTTACGAACGTTCTCTGGACAAATCCTTCGATCAACGCCCGCGATTCCGGCGTCAAATCCCCACCAGCCTGCTCATCCACGGGTATTGGGTTTTTTACCCAGACCACGATATGGTTGATATCAGGCGTGACGCCATACGGCCAGTCATTCCGGAGGATCTTATAATCGTGCGGATCGGCAAACGGCGTCTGATTGACGCATTGAGTGGCAGGGTCTAGGTCGAGCGGCCATCGAAGACGTTCACGGCATATGTAATTCGTGATGGTACCATATAGAGATTTTATGGCTATTGACCAGGATCTGTAGTTGGCAAGATCAGAGGGCTTTCGCTTGAGGCGATCGAGGGAGTTGTTCGCTATCCCGAGCAGATAAGACGTTGGTTAGCGAATAGCCTACTCCAGTTCTTGGCCGTGGAACACCGGGGGTTGTTTTTTCACGGTGAGTGTGGTTATGCATGGTTGTTTGAGAGAAAATTCACAAGTGTTCAACCTATTAGATCTTTCAGATCCTCCCAATCATGATAAACGTACTCTTCGTCGGTTTGCGATAGGATCTCACGATCGAGGTCCGTCAGGGGGAAAGGAGATGGTAAGGCCACCGAGATAGCCGGAGCTGTGGACATTCTCGTTTTCCAAAGCCAAAGGGCCTTTGGAATCAACTAGGTAGAGCTGGACCAGTAGCGGGAACTGTTCAGAGGCCAGAGTCTGTCCGCAGTGTTGGCTGTGATGCACCCCATGAAGCCGAAGAGGTCCAGCCAGCGCGAGTGATTACATAATTCGCGGCTCGTTCCGAACTCGCAGCCGCCCATCAGCTCACTCTTTTAAAATGGCGGAATAAATTTCCCAGATTGGTGCGCTGGTCCCGATTTGAAGGCTCAAGGTTCTCGCAAATTTCAACTTCGGCCTGTTCCTCGCGCATCCAGCAATACTAAAGTGTCGGCCTTGCCCGTTCCCATTTGTTGGAAAGTCGTCAATTTCAGAATCTGTCAAAAATGAGGTATGTTTTGAGCACTTCTTCAGAAGCCGCAGGGGCACGGCGGCGCGACTAAACTGCCGAATAGCTCTTGGACATCAAAGGAAAACGTGAACGGGGTCTACATCCCCTCCGCGCTGCTGATTTTCGGCACCACGATCATCAAAAAGGAATGGGTTGCTTATGCGACGGCCCTGGCATTCGTCTTGTCCGCATGGAAAATATTCAGTAACAGTGAGTTTTGACGGATAAATCCATGTGTCCATGGCATGGTCAGTGACTCGTTACTGACCCAAAATAAAAATAGGGCCACGAAAGGTCCTGACTCCTACGGAATTCCAGAATTTCGTCCTCAAGGATAAGACCATCGTATCCCACAATGTCTGCATTTACCGATTCGCCCTCCCCAGGCCGACCGACATTCTCGGCCTTCCCATCGGCCAGCATATCTCCCTTGCTGCCACGATCCCCGGACAATCGAAGGAGATTGTGCGCTCCTATACTCCAATCTCCTCTGACGACGACGCTGGATACTTTGATCTGCTCATCAAATCTTACCCACAGGGTAATATTTCGAAGCACTTGACCACGCTCCGTATTGGGGACAAGATGAAGGTCCGCGGGCCCAAGGGCGCGATGGTTTATACTCCCAATATGGTCCGTCATATCGGCATGATCGCTGGTGGAACAGGTATCACCCCGATGCTTCAAGTCATCAAGGCCATCATCAAGGGTAGACCCCGAAACGGAGGCAACGATACCACCCAGATTGATCTTATCTTTGCCAACGTGAACCCCGACGATATCCTTCTCAAGGAAGAATTGGATCAACTTGCCAAGGAAGACGATGCTTTCCGGATTTACTACGTCCTTAACAACCCACCAGAGAAGTGGAATGGCGGCGTTGGATTCGTTACTCCAGACATGATCAAGGTTTGTTCTCTTCATCTCGGCTCACCTACAAGCAAATGCTAATCATTCCCGTCCAGTCCAAATTACCCGCTCCAGCCAATGATATCAAAGTCCTCATCTGCGGCCCTCCACCAATGGTCAGCGCCATGAAGAAAGCCACCGAATCCTTGGGATATAAAAAGGCCAATCTTGTCAGCAAGCTTGAGGATCAGGTTTTCTGCTTCTAAGCATTGCAAATATCGCATCTATTGACCAAGGTGCTCCAAAAATCATAGATTCGGCATTTACATAGATTCATTTTCTCCAACGGAGCGATGTGAGATTCTCGGGAGTTTTACAGGGGGTTTACAAAATGAGACATTCAACCATTCCTCAAGCGTCAATGGCGGACAATTCACGGGATGCCTGGATATAATAGTATCAACTACATACTGTGTATTTTAGGGGTTATTTTGGTGGAAGTTGTCTATAGAGCGATTTTAATCGTATCTCTTTTGTTACTCCTCCGTACTCTGGCATATATAGAGAGCGAACCCCGAGCAATAACGCAAAAGCTTGATGGGCGAATCAGCTAACCTTGCTACTGGTGGCAACCCAGGAACGAATGTTACCAAGCACCATCAGTTAAACTAGCTATTCAATTGATCAACGGATCTCAACCGAGAGGTGTAGTAGAAATGACATCCGTAAAGTGATCTCGGACCTATACACATGACATATGTTGCAATGTAAAAGAACCGAATGGTTCATCTGGGGCACTCTACTGGCCACTGGAGAAAATAGCCCAGCACATTGGAAGTGAAAGTCGACAGATCCAATGTTCCAACAATGGACCTGGAGCAAGGCCGGGGCTTTATCGGAAACAGGTTCTATTCCCCATTCTGCAACTCGGCTTTTTTCAAAGCATTAATATCAACATCCCATACCAACTGTGTTTGATATCACCCCTTTTGGGTCGGTGTTGATCACGTGGCTCGATTTATTCTGCCCATTGTGAGTCAGTTCGGAGCTGACCGCCCTGAAATTGGAACCAAAAATTCGAAAAATGCATCAGAGTTTGAGCCGTGGAGTGGATATAAATATATTGAAAAGGCACTCTGGATTCTGAATGCGCCCACGGCTTGTGCAAAGCGCGTACTTTGTAGGCGAGGCGTTCCATCATCAAAGGCTCACTCACGCAAGACGCGTAGCTTTTCATCCCTCCCAATTTCTCCGCTGCACCCCGCTCGCTTCGCCGAATCTCCGTCACCACCCAATTTCCACGACTGGAGGACCAGCATCTCTCCCGTTTCGAAGATCGCAGACGACCTCCACGATGGCCGCAGACAGTGTTATCCCCGCAGTGGCAGAACTGTCCGTCCACGACACCACCAGCGAAGTTTCGAAATATCCCAATTGCTACCCCACCTTGAATCCCGTCGATAAATACAGAGCGCACATTGCAGAGCTGGTTGGACCAATCGTGGGAAAGGAACCGGAGTTCGTTTACACTCGACTTCAATGGACGAATACTTTAGAGAAAGGAGATTTGCTCCTAGCGGTATGAAGCTCCGTCCAGAGGTCGCTGTGAGCCATGCTGAACTGTTCCTGAGTGCTATATAGGTCCCCGCGCTGCAGATAAAAGGGAAGAAGCCAGCCGATCTGGCCGGAGAGATTGCTGCGAATTTCCCCGAGTCCGATCTCGTTGAACCACCCGTCGCAATGGGAACACACCTGCAATTCCATTTCCGCGCTCAGCCTCTGATCAAGACGGTGATCCCATCTATCCTCAAAAATAAAGCTACATACGGAACAAATGCAAATATCGGCCTCCGAGATCCGCGAGACCCCAGCCAGGGAAAGAAGCGTATCGTCGTAGAGTTTTCGTCCCCGAATATCGCGAAGCCATTCCATGCGGGGCATCTTCGCAGTACGATCATTGGTGGTTTCCCTGGCGAATTTGCACACAGTTTATGGGATGGCAAGTAATTAAGATGAACTACTTGGGTGATTGGGGCAAGCAGTATGGCCTATTGGCCCAATGGTTACAAAATGTATGGAAATGAGGAGGAACTGCTCAAAGATCCGATTAACCATCTGTTCGAGGTTTATGTCAAGATCAACAAAGATGTCGCGGAGCAGGAAGGCCCAATCAAGGACCTCAAAGAAAGAATCAAGGTGATCAAGGATAAAGGCGAAGATGCCGCAGCCTTGGAGAAAGAACTCGATACATTAGTTGCTGCCAGTTGGGACGAAAAGGCACGTCAGTACTTCCGGAGTATGGAGGACGGTGACGAGGATGCCCTTGCCCTTTGGAGACGGTTCCGTGATCTCAGTATTACGAAGTATAGACAGACTTATGCTCGCCTCAATATCGATTTCGATGTCTATTCGGGTGAATCCCAGGTGAAACAGGAGAGCCTCTCCACGGTTTACAACACTATGCAAGAAAAAGGAGTATCTGAAGACTCGGAAGGAGCTATAATTGTTGACTTCACCAAGCATGGAGCAAAGAAGCTTGGTAAGGCGATTGTTGTGAGAAAAGATGGAACTCCTCTCTACTTGACGCGAGATATTGCCGCCATTTTCGAGCGTGAAACTGCGTTCAATTTTGACAAGATGCTCTATGTCGTTGCTGCCCAACAAGACCTGCATCTCGCGCAATTGTTCAAGACTGTCGAGTTGATGGGCCGAAAGGACCTTGCTGATAAATGCCAGCACATCAACTTCGGCATGGTTCGCGGCATGAGCACTCGAAAAGGAACGGTCAAGTTCTTGAACGATATTCTCAAGGATGTTGGCGATAAGATGCATGAAGTAATGAGGAAAAACGCCGTCAAGTATGAGCAGGTGGAGAACCCGGTTGAGACGGCCGACACCCTTGGCATTACGTCCGTGATGGTTCAAGATATGAGCGGAAAGCGGTATGCATATCATTTTTCTTTTGCTTAAATCAGATGAAAATCAGATGCTAATAATTGTGCCACCTAGTATCAACGGCTATGAATTCAACCTTGAGGACATGACCTCCTTTGAGGGTGATACAGGCCCGTATCTCCAGTACGCCCACGCCCGTCTCTGCTCGGTGACTCGAAAGGCCGAAATCGACCCGGCGGTACTGGGCTCAGCGGACCTGTCACTGCTCACCGAATCACATGCCGTCGACCTTGCCAGACTACTTTCCCAATGGCCGGACGTTGTTCTCAACGCCATGAAGACCCTTGAGCCGACCACTATTATCACGTATCTCTTCCGCATGACACACACGTTGAGTTCGGGATACGAAACGCTCAAGGTCGTGGGTAGTGAGCCAGAGTTGAAGAAGGCTCGAATGGCATTGTATCATTGCGCGAGACAGGTGTTGAATAATGGCATGCGATTGCTGGGATTGAACCCCGTTGAAAGGTATGATATAATGCTCCAGCTTCCTTTCTCAAGTATGAACACGCATATCTGACTCGTCCTAGAATGTGATTTTCCTTATCTTCACTCATATATGGCTCCGGTTACCTGGTGTCATCGACCCTTCTCGTAAAACCAATTCAGTGCATTATCCGGTTGACTATGATGGCGTCCCTCTTTTGAAGAAAGGAATACGTTATAAACAAGAATATACAGTCATATTTTTGACTCTTAATCTCCATCATCCATAAGTTTAATCTTGAATCTCGCAGCCCGTGACTCCAACCGCCAGGGCCAGTGCATTAATAGCCGATTGGCTAGGCGGTTACCGGAGCAGTATGCAGCTGTAATTACATATCAAGCAACCTCTGGTGGGGTTCAAGCCCATCCTACTGCTCGATTTCACCATGAGATGAAGCAAAAAGAAAATCCCCCCCAAGGTTCCTAGGCTCCAATGACGCACAGTATCAATTTAAAAAAGCAAAGAGCGCAAATGTCCCGTTCTCTTGTCCCCAAACCCCTCAGTTCCCGGCCTGGCTTCTCCCGTTTTTACCAGCCACCTGGTAATTGAAATGAGATCTTGACAGCCTAAGTGAGGGGGGTCGATCTCCTGCAGGTCAGGTTGACACGCATGGTGGGCCGAATAGGAGGATATCCAGATGGCGCAAGAGGTCGAGTCCAGAAGGCTGGTTGTGCATGACTAGAGTCCGAATCAGGAGCGGGAATGGGGAGGGGTTGGGAATAGGGGATTGCCACCTCGTGAGTTTGCTGGCATTCGGGGTGGCATGGAGGGGCCAAGTGGACTGGGGGAGGAGGTTAGGCCGTGATGAGGGGCTCTTTTGTTAGTTTTTTTTTTTATTTGATTTATTGTCCTCTGCTTTTCTTTTTCTGTTTTTTGGAGAACGACAGCGGGATGAAATAACGATGACGCCATTGCTGGTATTTTGGCTTCTCTCGGCAGCCTTTGATAGAGGAGCTCCAGTGGGAATGACGGGAATGTTCGCCTGGGTCGAGCAACTGATAGCAACGACTTGGGCTCGCAATGGGGGCAAACATTCCACCAAGTTACCCTCAACAGGGTGACGCTGAAAGGAAATGAAAAGAGAAGATGATTTTTTTTTTTCCCACCTCTTTCCTTTCTAATTGCCAGATGGAGACTCGACTGGACCCTCGATGGATGGATGGTCTGTGACATCCTTGATGTTGCGTCGAGAACTCGAGATTCCCGGTGGCCGATCAAAAGTCCCCAACTGACAAAAGTCGTGTTGAAACACAAGTCCTGTGTAATCTGAGCGTGCTGGACGAGAGCCAAATACGAAGAGATCTGCTTGTTAAGGAGGGGGTTGAATATTTTTTCATGGATTGGGATGGTGATACACATTTCCGACTGGAGCTCTGCTGGTGAGATCTAGGAATTTCCGTGTGTGACAAGCAGCGATCTTCAGCAGCAGTTTCAAGTCCCTTCCGTTGCGCTGGATGACTCCCCTCTCTCTCTTCTTTTTTTTTCTACCCGCTGGCATTTTCCTCATTTCGCTCATCACTGACCGGAGCCCTGGCATGACGCACGCTGCTGCACTCCTAGGCATGTCCGTCATGTCATTGGGCAGGAAAGTTTCATCTTCCAGGCCCATTGGGCAGCAAAAATAGCGAACTTTCCCAGCCCGCCCACCCGCTGCCTGCAGCAACTGCGCGCGGAGGGCAACACGGCGTGGAATGGCAGAGAATTCGAGAGAGGGCCCGTCTTGCAATTTCCTCGCGATTCCTTTGGCTGGTATTTTTGTAGAGTGAGTCATTCTGGGGAGAGTTGTTCCTGATCTGTCTGCTTCCAGGAGTAGGAGCCTTGGATTGCGCCTCGATATCTTTGATGATGATTGTTGTTTCAATCGTCTGCCTTTGTTGAAACCAGGAACTGGATACCGAGACACAGGGCTCTGTCGACTTGTCCTTTTGCTTGCGTCCTGATGGAGGCCGGTGTAATAATGATAGTCAGGCATAGTTCCGGAATTAAAGAATGAAATGTCCTGTAACCCTTGGGGGAAAGAGTGCTTCTTTTCTGTTGATACGCAGATAGTCACAATTTTTCGGATCAGAGTTTTTCTCTTTGATTGTTGTTCGTGTCGTCCCTCTCTCCCTTTCTCTTGTGTCTTCTCCCTTCTTCCCTCATCCCAGATGCGAGTCTCGATCTGAAGCGAGCAGCACGATGCCATCGAGTTGAATCGGCAGCCTCCAGCAAGCATCACTGGCCCACTATGAAATGCATCATGTGAGTCTGTCCTCCAATCTTCTTCGTCTCTTCTCTCTCTCGACTGCTGCCTGTCTCGCTTCTCCTTTCTCTCCTCTTTCTTCCCGCATGTGTGCGTATCTCTGCATCTTTCGAAAGGGAAATAAAAAAGATATCTCTCATCGCTTCTTTCAACCAGCAACGTCCTTGGAGTTCTCGCTGTCTAACAAAAAGGCCTTGTTCCCCCACCAAGGATAGCGACTCTCCCATCTCTCTCCCCGAAATCCCTCTTCATCTCCGTAGTTATCCACGAACAATAATCCAAACCGACGCAGTTTCATCGCTGCTGCTCATCCAACATCGCCCTCATCCCTATCATTTCCACCTTCTCGGCCCTCTACGTTGCTCGATCCCGGTCTTGCACCCCTCGACTTAAATCTGTCCCCTTCGTTCCACCCTCTGCCGTCGCGTTCGTCGCACAACCTTCGGCTTAACGACCGCCTGTGACAGCGCCGGTGTCCTTTCCCACCCCCAGCAACTCGAAACATTCCCTCCTGTTAGTCAAATCTCGCCTCATCTCCCCAGGGCGTTGGTCTGGAATCAAGCCGCAGCAGAGCCCTTTGGTCCCGTCTACGCGGTCCCGACTCGAGTTTCCACCCATCCTCTGCTCCCCCATCGTCCCGTGGTGATATCCGAATCGCAACCATTCGACTTTCGACAAACAACATCCCCAGTTTGTCACCTCTATAATTGCTGTCGTAAACAATCGAGAGCATTCGGCAATTTCCTTTTTGGCGGGTAACTTATTTGCCCCCTTCCCGGGATCTGAGCGCAAGTACTTGACGTTTTGCAATCTGTCTGAAGCCATTTGATCCTCAACGGGGCCAACTGACTAATTTTGACATCCCTCCACCGAGCTCATCTCATATTTCTCCCTTCGACTGTCTCCATAGATCCGACTTGCCCCTTTCTGTGTAAAACAACTCACCGTCTCCCTCCTTGGTAGCTGCTTCTTTTTGGTGCCGGCACCATCCTCCTCCACGCAATTAACCCGTTCACACTTCGATGGAGCAGTTGACCCCTTCAGTGGATTCCTTATCAGAATTAAGATTCCGAGCCAGCGTATACAGGTGAACGAGCGCAACACGGCCACCAGTCTGTACGTCGCAGTTTCGAAGCCGAGGAACACACTAGCTGGTGGAAGGAGGATCAATACAACCCGGAATCCGCCGTGAATCCGGGGTGAGAGACAGGAAAAAGAGGAGAAAAAAGCGGCAAAAAAGATTATTTTCTTTATTCAATCTGGCAATCGACAACAAAATCCGAAACCTGCATTCATTAAATACTTTTTGCAAGCGTCGAATTGGAAAACCGCCTTTGACGTGTCAACGCCTGCAGTAGGGTGACTGGTTCACCTTGCCTGGTGCTATTCGACGGCCACCCCCCGCCCCGGTTGCCCCATCTTGGGCCCAAAGACACTTCAACCCAGCGGATCATCCCGAACTTACCAAGCGGTAAAAAAAAAAAAGGGGCCTTGACTGGACCCCACCAAGAGGTACGGCCTCACCGTCATGTCGCCTAGACCTTCTTACCAAACATATTGCGAAGAGTTTGACGAGGTCGCCAACGTTGTTTTGCCAGAGACCCGGAAGGTTGCCAACGTATCTGCCAAACGATCCCGCCCTGAACTCGTCCCCTCCGGCCCTAGTGCAGACGGTGCGAGCGATTCTGGTTACTCGAGCCGGACGGCCATTACTGTGGGGAGTGGTGACTCTTTCGCTAGTGGCACTGTGAGCCCTACTTTTCCGCCATTGGCTGCCTCCGCTCCTAATCGTGATACTCCTCGCTCCCGGGGTCGAGTCGACGGAAAGGAAAAGGATCGTTCTGGCAACAAAGGAAGAGAGAAGAAGGAGACCAAGGAAAATACTCAACCGCCTCCACCGCCCCTGGCACCCATCAAGACCATGCCTGTCGCTTCACCCCGGAGCTCAAGCAAACCACCCTCTCTGCACAAGAGCTCGTCAAAATCCCACAAAAGGGACTCTGGCGGTGCAAGACATCATCCAGGTACGTGTTGGGACTGTGATCAGTGGGGTATTCACCAGGCAGCTCTCGCCGGCAGCGTCGACTCTCGTACGATGGATTCAGCTGGTTATTTCCAGCCTCACGCCCCTCGGGGCTATGAGATCCCTCCTTCCCCTCAGACATCTCAATACCATCCTCAGGGCAGGCAGGAGATGCATGCGGCTTCTCCTATCGTGCCGCCGCCGCGTCCTCATCGATCCAACTCCTATCACTCCCAAGGCAGACCTGTGAGCTTCCACGCTGGAACGATGCCGGATATGAATATGATGTATATGCCCATGGGCCCTCCGTCTGCCTACGGGCATGGTCCCCCGCTTTCGGCATCTGCATATGCCAATAATTTCTATTCTTCGTCTCCTTACATGGGCGAAGTTACTGTCCACCAGTCTCCCAGCCAGTCTTACGAGCCTACGCCACGGTCATCCCACGAGCGTCCTCGGGAACGTCCACGCACGATGTCGATTTCGAAGCCTACCACCGAGAAGCCCAGGCGACCGTCGGTTTACAAACGACCTGTCGTGGAATACAATACTGCTCCTTCGACTCCATATGAACCTGAGGAGTACGAGCCAATGCCGCCTCCGGAACGTCGAACCCGGAGGCAATCTCGCTCCTACGATCCAGACGAGGATTACTATCGCATGCCTCCGCCACAAAATCCCACCCCGAAATATAAACAGCCAAGTCAGGTCATCCCAATCGCTAAGCGTCCTACAGCCCGGAAGTCAAGCACTACCTCCTCGGCACCAACTATCCACCGTCCCGAAGCATATGATATGTCAGACATGCGTGCTGCCCTTCCGAGTAGAATGGGACGGAAACAATCCCGTGACCCGATGATGGAGCCTGAGCATGAACCTGAACGTCGACCAAGCATGCCTGCTCCTCAAAGGGAGAGGCGTCGGCCAACAACTTATTACGATTCCGGCCCTCGAAGAATCGTGGTTGAAAATTCACGTCGCCGTCGCTCTTCTATCTATGCAATGGAGCAGCCTCGCGAAATGGAACAGAAACAACGGGAGGCTGAAGAGTACCAATCTCGTGCCCAGCGAACCGTTCCTATGGCACCTGAAGAGTACCAGCCGCGTCCTCAGCGAGCTCCCCCGATGAGCCAGGAAGAGTATCAGCCACGTGCTCAGCGAGCGCCTCCTATGAACCCTGAGGATTATCAACCGCGCCATCAGCGAGCGCCTCCTGTGAATACCGAAGAGTATCAGCCACGCCATCACCGAGCGCCTCCTGTGAATACTGAAGAGTATCAGCCACGCCATCAGCGAGCGCCCCCTGTGGAACCCGAAGAGTATCAGCCACGTCCTCAACGAACAGCCCCCTTGACCGCAGAAGCTCTTCGGAAAGTGAGGACCCAAAAAGTCGAGATTGACAGCGATAGCGAGGAGACGTCTTCTGAAAGCAGCCACGAGAGCGATATCCACACCAAAAACGGAAGTGGAGTTGGCAGCGGCGTCGGCAGCGGCGTGGGTAGTGGCGTTGGTTCTCGAGCAGATGACGATAGCATCACCATGATTTTCCGTGGGGTCAAAATTGACCTTTCTGGTGACACTATGGACAAGCGGATCAATTTTCGATCTGGTGACGAAGGGGCCCTGGAAGTGAACATTGAAGGGAGAAGGGGCCCACGGCGGTACCTCATGTCACGATCCGATACTACTAGTCTGGCTGGTAGCAGACGAGAGATCGAGGACGTCCGGCGGATTCGAGATGATATGCGGTCCGAGCGCGAGAGTCGGCATACTTCAAGTCGCTCGGGTTATAGCGGCCGTGGTCTCCTGGAGTGAGCGTCACTAGCCTAATTCTCAACGCAACGCGGCCTACATGTTTCGGAGCCTCATTTTTCAACCTATTCTCCGCCCGGTTTTTTTTTTATCTTCGTTTTTCTTTCATTCTTCTTTTGGGCTTAGATACATTAGAGGCATTCGGCTTTGCAGCCTTGGAAAATACCCAGCTTGGTTGGAACCTAAAAAGTCAAAGCGTCTTTAGGGTGAACCTTTCCACGCAAAATATACCCGGGAAATGGTTCTATACAAAAAAAGCGAAAAAAGCGTATGGGAGGCTGCGTGTTTCACAGGCCGTTCTTGGTCTGACCACAAAAGTTGAACTCTTTTGATATCTATCATTGCATTTTCGTTTCGTTTGGTTTGCGAGCAATGTCCCCTCGATTTTACCTGCATGTACTCCGTATCACATCTCATTTTGGTTTCATCGGCTTGTTTCCTCTTGCATTTTCGACTTGCATTGACCCCCCCCCTTTCTAGCACCTTGACCCTGTGCCTTCGGTTTTGGATTTTGATGTGGAATGCTATGATCTGTACGATTGTTCATGATGCGATGGATTTATAATGTTGATGTTTTGCATTTTGCATTTGAACCTGGATTTTGCTTTTGTGTACTTACATTTTTCTTCCGAGTTTTCCATACACCCGTCCCTTGCCCCTCAGTTTTATGTCAATGTGATACGACCTGTGCGATACCTTTGGATTATTGTTCTACACACTTTGCGATTTTATTTCTTGGATCTATCGAATTATCTATTGATGCGTGATATGCGTTGCCGATGGCTTTAGTTTACGTTCTCCCCTGCCCCTTTCCCCCCAATACGTTTTCCATGAATATGAAAGTTTTGAGGCGCAAATACCCAATATTTCCGTGTTCACTATAAGATTCTACGCATCTGTTTGATTTTTCGTAGTAATTTGGGCCAACAGCACACCGCTCGAGTTTTGAATTTCGTCCTTTTTGGATCAACAGGCCGGACTGCAAGATATTAATAGTCAAAAACATTGCTTTTTCCATGCCCCGTTTTAGGGCTTAGCGCAGGGCTTGGCAGTTGGTCACGTGGATTGGATTATATAATGATGTTGCCCGTGACAACGGCCTGGGGTAAACAGAAGCGTCGCTCCCAACCTCCAACTTCAAGGTGGCTGGAGGCTGGATCTTGACCACGACCTGATGCCTTGCGTCTAAGCCCTTTCTTTGGTTCTTTGATGATTTCAAAGTTTTTTATGCTGGATGGGTGAACGAAGCATCTGTCCATGATAAAATAGGGACTACGGTTCTAAAGCTCCTTGAATTGCGCGTTTATATTTGGCGGTGGATGGGAGGGGCAGTTCCATTCTTTTGACCCTTGCTCTGATAAGGGGAGCCTCAACTCAGCTCGCCATCTAGCTTCTTTGACCAGAGGCAACTGTCGCAACCATGCCGCCAACATCATTGCAAGCACACGTCGAGCGGCGTTCAACAGCGCTGCGCGGGAAATTACTCGAGACTCTCACTCAACTTGCACCTAAGCGACACGCCCAGCCACTTCCTAACCTTGATCTCGCCCATGAAGTCGCCGTGACAGCTTCCTCGCCAATGGAGATCTCACGAGTTCTCACCGCCAGATCCAACGAGAAAACCGAATTCCACCCTGGTCAAGGAGCGGTCGACCCACACGATATTAATATGCAGGGCCTCCTCGCATTATTCGCGATTATTGGAGCTGCTTTTGTGCTTGCAGCAATATGGTTCTTTTTCTGGGCGAGAAACGGAGGGTTTGTTTGGCGCAAGGGTGATTGGGATGACTATAAATCTACAGTTTTACGTCGGAAGGGTCCAGATGGACGCACGCTTTCAAACGCCACAAAGAGCACGGTTCTAGGTGGGGGAAGTGTTGTTGGAAGAGGATACAGTGATTATGACGAGCAGGCAACGACTGTGGATACAGCGACTGTGGCTACGGAGAAAGTAAGTCGCGGAAAGCGGTTGAAGGAAACTGCCAAACAGAAGTTGCTGAGGAAACGGAAGGAGGAGGCTTGGGAAGGGGGTCATGATGAGGACATGCGTGCCTATCGCCATGAGAAGCCAGCGACAGTGGGGGGAATTAATCGAGAACCAGATGGTACATACCATGGTACAGAATACACGGGTACTCTCGAGCAAAGAAGTGAATGGACCCAGAGTGAAATGGGCGAGACTCATATGGAGACCGAAACACGCTACGATCCACCCGTGACCGAGAGACTCTCAGGAAACAGGAACGTCTCTGGATTTTCGTTCACTGCCGGCGCTGAAGATACGATCAGCAATATCACTGAAGAACATCCACTTCGCGACTCTGCTCACCGGCAAGAGAGCCGACACAGTCGCTCCAGAAACTCTCAACGTCCACGCGGCCCGCGACCTAGTGCCAACACTCGCTCGAGGCAGGATGGCTCGCGTAGACGTGATCGCTCGGCCATTCCGGGTGGATATACGACGCCATTGGATATGTCTTCGATCAGTGCGTCGGAGTACACCTACGATCAGCTCGAGGGCTCGGGTAATGGTACCAAAACTTATCACCATCCCCTTCCTGAGTTGAAGAAGGGCTATAGACGCGCTGGTGGGGGTGGGAGAGGGAGGCGAGATAGTTTGAGTGACAGCGAGGGGGATGATTATGATAGTCGTCTGTCTTGAGGTTACTGTCGTTGGGGGATTGCTTTTATGATTTCCTTTTTTTTTCCTGTTTAGGGCTCTTTTGGGTGTATGTGAGGTGGTTTGGCTGGAATCTGGAATTTAACGCATAGTGACGAAATTGACTACCGAATTGCTAGGTATCTTGCATGTATGTATTTCCTGTACAGTCCATCGTGTGGAATATATTGTTTCTCCTGAGAAAGTTTTAGTTCAACGTTGCGTTTTTCCGGCAGATCTTGTAGTTCCCACCTTCCCCTTGCGGCGTATCTAGTATTTGCCATGCACCAGCGAGGAATCGGCAGGCGACTAAGAAATCCCGGGTCGGTTTCTTCGGAGGAGCCGAATTCGGGTGGCTCGCGTTATCAATCGCCAAGGCGGGAACTAAAGCCATTCCAACGGTTAAGCCTGTGGGGTTACCCGCGCGGTACGGTAGTTACCTTGGACGTATTGTATGGAATTCGTATCATGGTGGTAACTTAATTATGCATGTATGGAAATAATTTACGGGTTAATAAGGGGTATGTGACACAGCCCGTACAGGTTTTCAGGAGATTCATGTGTTACAGAGTATGTAGGTGGAAAAAGACGATGTTCAATCATGGCAAGTTAGCATAGGGTTTTCGCGTTGATGGCAATCCTTTGATCCCAAGGGAGCTGTAACTATTACGGTACAGAATATAGATCCCCAACATGATTTATTCCATATGGAGGTAGCTTTGAAAATGATTGAAGCTTTCGACAAAACACGACTACGAAGGGCTGAAGTCACCCAAGATATCAATCAGTAAAATCCCGTTGTCATATCCAGGATAGGTTCGCGGATATTGCAGGGTACAGAGAATCTGAGCAGTTTGATGGTGTGCAGCATCGTTGATCACACGACCCAGGAGACCCAGTAAAATCGGCTAAAGATTGGCCATAGCAGCCGGTGCAAGGAGGGATAGGCGGGCACTGCAGGCAGATGACTCGATCCTAGTTTCTAGGAGAATATTGGCAAACATGAATGAAGCTGGAAGGAATATGCTTCTCCAGTTAATTCTATAAGAAATACCGCGTAATTTTGCGCCCTTTATCATTGACAGAGAAGATATTTTAACCAGGAGCACAGGCATGGCTTTGCATGCAAGTCCAAAAAGAGATTGACAAGAGTAACCCAGAATTCAACCCATAACTTAACCTCAAGGGGGTATCCATATTTAAAAGTCTATCGGTTTTGAACGCCAGCCTTATTTCCGCCGCTCAAAGTAAACGTAAAACATACAACCTCATAGGAGAAAAGAAAGAAAAGGGGTGGAAAAAAGTCATGTAGCTTTAAACGTAGTAATTGCGTTATCGTCGTGATCGAGATTGATAACGTCGAGTGGCTGCTCAACAGTCAATATTGTCTCGGAACCACCGATCGAATTTTGCCGAATCATCTATCGAAGGTTGTTTAGAGGGTTGGAAAGACGAGATACCACAGGGTTCTGTCAGGATAGGATTGATTGGCTCAAGTTTTGGAGTTTGGAGGCAAGAATCGAGATTGTCCGGTGAAAGGCCGCTCATGACTTTCCCTATATCATTTGTCGATGTAGCCATGTAGAGATGGGAACTAGGCACTCCAGAGGGGCCAGTTGGTGTAATATTTACTCGGTTACTAGTATCCCAATCCCCCGGTCTGAGGTAGGGAAACTCCTTTAATTCTGGGGTTGTTCTTAGCCGGTCAAGCGTCGAATGAAAAAGTTGATGAAGAAGCCACTTATCGATGTAGTCTGTCATGCTAATTTTGTCACGGACAAATGTTTCTCTGGCCCGATTTTCTTCAAAAAATGAAGGGCTTTTTTCGTCCCATTTCATGTGAGGAGGATCCTTTATTGTTTCAAGTAGGCTTGCACGAGGCTTTGACGACTCTCGAGAATCTTCAAGTAAGCCCTGCTCGTCGCACTGAGATTTCAATAGTTGAACGTCATTCTCTGCTGTAGCAAGGTCATCGAGTATTTCCTTCACATATTGTTCAAAATTTGCCAACAAGTCCAGAGCATTATAGTCCACCACAGACATCCCGTACTTGTGTTTAAAATCTTGATCTTCCAGCACCATGCCATATTCAGCGCGAAGATTCCAAAGTTCTTCGTTCAATAAGGCTACATCTCCAGTCCGAATAAAGTACTGGGCGACCAGAGGATGGTTCACTTTTGGCACAGCTGCACCAAGGCCCGTTGTCGGTTCATCGACGAGGTCTCCCATAGTTATGCCTCCATCCACTACCTGTTTGAGATTATTGACAACCCCTCCTAGTTCAAACTCTTCTTTATCCAACTGGTCCTCCAGCCGGTCGTATTCATCCTCTAAAGAAGAATAATCATTTCTGGCATTCTGATATTGCTCAAAGGTATTTAGTAGCGTAGGATCGGGGTTTGCGGTGTTGGTGTTGTTTCTGACGTCAATAAGTAATTGGTTCAATTTTTTCATAAATTCCATCTCTAGATCCACCACCGCATCACGTTTATATCGAAGTTCCATTCGACGTTCGCGCGCTCTCATGCGAATTCCCTCAACATTGACCTGTTTCGTCGTAAACCTTTCACAAAATGCACGAAGTCCTTCATCCTTCTTGGCAGGTTGAGTCCTGAGACTTCGTTCGAAGACAGGTAGGGGTTTAAGTACCGGCGATGGAGTTTCCGGAAAGCTTTGAGATAAATTGATCGACTCCGACGTGTGGGATACAGCATCTTGAACGGAGAGAGAGGATTTGAAGTCATAATCTATCGGAGCACTTCGAAGACTTGGCTCAGAGAGGGAGCGGCGGCAGGAATTGACGCTGCTGAATTGGAAGTCACTGATTAAGGAGTCTGAATACCGCAGGGACTACGACTAGTTAGTAAAAGAAGATGGTCCACGGAAGCCTTTCGACATACACTATCGTCAAGCGACAAAGCCCTGGCACGAGCCATCGCTGCTATCATGACATTCGACGATGAAGGAAGGAAACGGCGTATGCGACCTTTCACGAGATTTGAAGTGCCAGCGTGGTGTCATATGGAAAAACAGTCTGTCCGTGTAAATGACGATACGGCAGCAATACGAGTAAGGTAATCATATGTATTGGGTAATAATTATTGTACTCAGTTGTGACGAGTGGCTGAAATGCACGGTGCGTCGAGTCGATGAACACCCATTGCAGGATCGATGAGGAAACAAGCAGCACATGCCAATATTAAGAAACGGTGAGACCCAAAAGATCTCGAAGATCAGTCCGGCGATCTGTCTTATGCGCGTTATTGGACAAATACATGCGTGGTCCGCTCTTGCGTAGCATCCATCCGGCAGGTTCAGCGATACAGCCGCTGAAACCCCATGGAGTGACCGGATCCTAGCGCCATTTCCCCGTTTGTGATTGGCAAGTCTGATTCCGGAGGCTGCCAACCATGATATGGCATTGAAACGTGGACCAGCGTGTGAGGAACTGTCGACGCGAGGAAAATAGGTCGAAAAGCCGAGTCGCGGAGCCGCAATCCGAGCGCTGGTACAAATAGATGTAGAGCGCCATTAGAGTGTTTCCGTAACGATCAGATTGGTAACTAGCTGAATTAGCAACTAGCCGCGATTCGAAGGCTTTAGCAGGTCTTTGATTTAAATTTACTTGATTGCCTTCGGCATGTCTCGAAGGCGCGATCACACATCGATTCGGAGAGATGAATATCACCTATACCACAGTAAGGTTGAATGATATGATACTGCAATATCCTTATTGATTTTGACCAGACTCGCCCGAGTCTATGGGATATCCCAGCCACTATCAATCGCACCATCAAAGCGGAGACCAGGACCCCAGGTCAGGCCGAATAGCTCATCGCCTTTCCTCAGGTAGGGCTAATGCTGTGTAGAACGACTTGGAACGATCGAGCGTTTAATCCAACACCTTCGTATGCGGACGATCGACTGCAAAATCAGTCGCGCGAATATTCTAGCATGAGTGCTTGGTCTTCAACAAGACCGAACCAAAACAATCCTTTCTCGGCAGGATCAGGGTTTCCAGAGCCGCAAAGCCAGTAAGTGACCAGCTTGTTCCAAGTCCCAAAACTTGAACCGTGTCGCCGCAGTAGATCAAATCCAGGTGACCGATGTGGCATGCGTCTACCCTAATGGATGCACGCTAAGATGCCCAGGTACGCAGGGGATGAACCCAATACGTATGCACACCAGTCCTACCAGACGACCGCTTATTTCGGGTATGGTGGCTATACAGCAGCTGCTACGCAGTTAGCACCACCAGCAAACCACCTGCAGAGCACCATTCCAAGGAGTGACATTATCCATAACAATGAAAACGCCCCTATCCACAGCGAACTCGCTCCCATAGCCCATGGCATAAATCAAGCCGCGTCGCAAGGTCGGAACCGTGAGTTTTGGGTTTGATACCTGGACTGGAAGGTACAGCAATAGACTGACAGATTTAATGAATTCAAGAGGATCCCACTGGATTTCAAGCCCAGGGCACAACGAGGTCAGTCCGGAACAGGAACAGTTTGAGCCCACTGGACCAAGGTCGGTCTTTTTTGCTTGGTAGTACATAGGCGCGGAATCTGACAATAGTAAGACTTCCAAGTGCAAGATCGCCCATATAAGTTTTTCGAGCGTGGCAGGGTATCTTTCCCATCCCAAGACTTGAATATTGCGGTGTGCAAACACTTAACTCGGTGCCTTAGGTGTTCTTAGTTGTCTGGCATGAAACCGCTGGTAGTACTGCCAGCACAGCATCTTCGTCTTCGACCTTCACGACGTTGTTCCACGAAAAGGCCTACTGCACTATCCGTCGGATGGTTGTGATTAAACAAAACAAGGATTCCTGTTTATGCGTGTAAGATACACCCCCGGCTTTTTGTTTGAAAAGCAGGCTTAACTAGTCTATATGAAGACCAGTCCATACGTACCAAAAACGAGGGGCTTCCAAGCCAGGGATCAGGAAAGATGCACATGTGTTGATTCACATGCGAGGTACCGACCCGACTGAAAAGCAAAACAAGTATGGGCTCATGAAACGACCGTTGATGGTTGATCCTGCCGCCCTGACGGAACGGTTGGATTCGTCTTCCGTCGTGCATCTGGATAAAATCCACACCGTTGAGTATAATATCAAAGTCAAGGCAGTAGGCTTCATTAGTCCGGAGTCAATGGGAGATTTGAAGCAATATGTGAAGAACATTCTTGACTGGTAATGGTGCCCTGGCAGCCAGAGCCTTTAGCTATCGGGTTTGTCGTGACATACGTTCATGGGTTTGAAGGAAATCAGCCCCTTCATAAATCCGTACTTATCATACGTTTCCGAAATGTGCACATGCACTTCGGGTTTCCTACTTCTGAGACTTTTGGCGATGAAATTGAACTTCCTGTGTTCTTCACCTTGTCGTTTCTCAAGGTGGATTTACTCAGGTAATGCGATAGCGTCTGTTTAGAACCCTTTTATTCTTTTCGAAATTTTGACCGACGTTGATTCCTCGAGAATGAGTCTCAAGACTGGTCGGAAGTCTCAGCTTCAGCTGTAGGCTTTCATGTTGAGGCTGTGGATGTTCTAAGACTGATTTTGCAGTTCAGATAATGCGTCGCACAAAAGGGTAACTATTGGTGTGTATCGGATCTGGTTCTGGAGAGAATAGCTGAAGTCTGCTGTACGGTTTCCCTGTTAACACTGGAAGTGAGCATCACTGGGCAAATTTTGCAGGTACTTGAGATGGGAGTGTGGAAAAGTGAATACAAAGGGACCTTGGAGGGTAGACAAACCATATGGCCATACAGAGTACAGAGAAATAGCAAGCTGATAGTATCTTCCAAGCGCATGCAAAGGCATAAGATGTGACTCTTATCTCGAAATGTCGGAGTTTGGGTATTGCGGTCCGGTAGCTTATGTAACTAATCTCGGAGCTTTGATGGCCCGGAATCCTTGGCACGACTCTCAAAAAAAGTGCAGCTCGAGATGAATTGATCTTCAGCCCACGGAATTCTGCGTCTGGCCTTAACGTCTGGATACCGAAACCAAAGCAAACCCGTCAAATATGAAGCGCAAGCTAGATGCCAACAATGTCCCAACACCTGAAGGTGCGGAGCAATCGAGAGCTGTGCAACAAAGCTTCGAGGCCCTTCAGTTGGACCCTCGTTTGCTGCAGGCCTTAACGAAGCAGAAATTTACAAAGCCAACGTTAGTTCAGGCGGAGGCCATTCCATTGGCGTTAAGCGGAAAGGACGTGCTGGGTAAGCGATAGTTTTAAACTCCGAATATAAAGCGTTTTATCTAATATAATTGAAGCTCGTGCGAAAACAGGCTCCGGAAAAACAGCTGCGTACCTGCTTCCAGTTTTACAGTCAATACTACATAAGAAAATTGTATGAATTAATGGACATTTACAACGCCATCATATCTTGCTGAGTAACATATCTAGGCCAACCCGACCCAGAAGTCAACCTCGGCGCTGATCCTCGTTCCGACTCGAGAGCTAGCAGAGCAGGTTCACGACACAATTCTCTCTTTTTCTTCCTATTGTGGGAAGGACCTACAAACCGCAAACCTTACGCAAAAGGTTTCAGACGCTGTTCAGCGAGCAATACTTGCGGATCTGCCCGATATCGTCGTCTCCACACCAGCGAGAGCTGTCGTAAACGCGAACAACTCTTCACTGGCGCTAGACAACTTGACGCACCTGGTAATCGACGAGGCCGACCTTGTTCTTTCTTACGGGTATGAACAAGATATGCAACACCTAGCTAAATCTATTCCCCGTGGCGTTCAAACATTGTTGATGAGTGCGACTCTTACCTCCGAGGTTGACACGTTGAAGGGCTTGTTCTGTAGAAGTCCTGTGACGTTAAAACTGGAAGAAGCTGAAGACGAAGGGGCCGGCATTAGCCAATTTGCGGTCAAGTATGTAGGCACACTGTTTTGAATAATTCGCTTGCTGTATGACCCTAGCTAACCGGCTCGTTTAGATGTGCGGAAGACGAAAAGTTTCTCTTAACCTACGTCATATTCAAATTGCAGCTTGTCAAGGGCAAATGCATCATATTTGTTGGGGATGTTGACCGCTCCTATCGTCTCAAGCTCTTTTTAGAACAGTTTGGTATCAAAAGTTGCGTCCTCAATTCGGAATTACCCGTCAACTCTCGAATTCATGTGGTTCAGGAATTCAACAAAGGTGTATACGACATCATTATTGCCGCTGATGACCAAGAAGTTGTGGGAGAGGTACCTAGGAAGCAGCCTAAGGATTCGAACCGAGAAGCACAAAATTCGGCGGATGAGGCCCAAAAAGGCCTCAGCGAGGATGAGGAGGTTGACCGGCCTCCGGTAAAGAAACGCAAAAAGTCTTCCAAAGAGAAAGACTATGGGATCTCTAGGGGAATCGATTTTCAGGATGTCGCATGCGTCCTTAACTTTGACCTTCCCACCACGGCTAAATCCTACACTCACCGGATTGGCCGGACTGGACGCGCGGGTAAAACTGGCATGGCTCTATCATTCATTGTGCCTTCAGAGCTATACGGCAAACATAAGCCAACAAGCTTTCCAACCGCTAAACACGACGAGACCGTCCTCGCCAAAATCGTTAAACGCCAAGCCAAACTTGGACGAGAAGTTAAGCCTTACAACTTTGATACAAAGCAAATCGATGCCTTCCGGTACCGGATGACTGATGCACTGCGCGCCGTGACCCGCGTGGCGGTCCAAGAGGCTCGTGCCAAAGAGATTAAGCAGGAGCTTTTGAAAAGCGAAAAGCTGAAAAGACATTTTGAAGAGAACCCAGAAGAGCTGCGCCAGCTTCGGCATGATGGTGAACTTAGACCAGCTCGTGTACAGGCGCATTTGAAACACGTGCCGGAATACCTGATGCCGGCGAAGGGAAAGGCTGGTCTCACCAGTGGGGATGTTGGATTCGTAGGATTGAAAAAGACAAACGAGAATCGGATAAGGAAGGCCAGGGATAGGAATCGAATGAGGGGGAAAGGCGGCAAGAGAGGTGGGCGCGGAGGGGGTGGTAGAAAAGTCGATCCACTGAAGACTTTCAAAAGTAAATAGTATATAGTTAATCTTTAGTGAGCCGCCAGTCATGAACAGTATTTTCAAAGTCTCCAGACCATCTTATATACTCTTGGGGTAATCCCTTTTCACTCTGTACAGATAATTATACTCTCAAGGGTATGTAGAATTACATATTAGATTAAAGGCTATATTCCGGCGCAACTTTTCAGAACTGGATTTTCATCTCTAACAAAAATCTCAATCCACTTCCCTTTGGCACCGGGATCTGAGTTTCTGGATGCGTTTCCCAATGGCTTTGGTCTCCGTCAAGCATTGGTCCCAGGTTTTCTTTTGGGAAAGGAGTCTGGCTGCTCGCATAGTCCGCTCAGGCGCATCAAAAGCAAGCGCCTCTAATCCCCGCCGATTACCAGAGCCCAACATAGAGAATCGATCTGATCCGGCAGTGCCAATGTCATCGGAATCCGTTTCTGAACCATGCTCTATGAACCCCGGGTCCAGGCTCAACCATGTTACCCCACGCCATGACCCATTCCACTCAGGGCCCAAAGGCGAGTTGGCTTTGTCCCTATGCCTACTTTCCCAGCAGAGTGCAGGAAACCAATCGGTGCAGCCTTCGAGATCCAGCCATTGAAGACAATAGGTTAACCGAGAAAGTTTACCTAGCACTAGCGCAGCTTCGGATAGATTTATATTTGGCGATTCCAAATATCGTTCAGAGGGTAGCGGAGAACCACGTTTGGCCGTCGCCCCAACAGCCAAGGTAGGGGTGGGCCAATGCCCGAGGGACAAATGCGTTAGGGTTGCTAAATGAGAAAGCAGATGGAGAAGGGATCCCCAATTCGCTGCTTCTGGTGCTGGGTGTGCAAGGGACAGATATCTGAGGTTCTCAAATCGAGGAACAAATGATTGGCGACTGATGGCGCCATGCCGGCTCAAACTAGTTTCACCAGTCTCCTCCGTTTCCCAAGAAACAGGAACATGTCCGTCGTGTTGGGTGGACGGGGGTAATTCACTTTTGAGTTCACGGGCGAGTTGCTTCAAGCTAATCCAATTACCAATTGCGCCGCACAAATCGAGGCGTATCACATCTGGATAATATTCTGCTTCACCATCAGGAGTTTTATCCATGAAAAGTGGCTTCAAGCCTTGCATCTGCAATCCCATGGATTCATAGTCGGCATAGACCGCGATGTAACTGAGTAACAACTGCCTGACGTGCGTTGGCAGTTCGGACAGAAATATGCCGTCGTAACGAAGGTGCCAATCCCAATTACGGGCCATCGCTTTCAATATAATATGCTGAAAGGATCGCTCCGGAGGAAATCTTACTCCGGGCAGTTGGTTTAGACGGCGTTGAAACTTGCCGTCAAGTTTACGGGACTCGCTATCATCACTTGAAGTCCTTCCGGTAATTGAAGGCGAAGATAGCCAACTCTGAGGTGCTGCAGGTCCAGGCGTCCGTCTCAGCCTTCTGCTTCCTAGCTGCGGCCTGAAACCGAACCGTGGGCGAGGAGGTGGTGTCTCAGGCAAGTCCAAGATATTCCTTATCGAAGGATGCACAGATTGTGCTCTGATCTCTGCCACTCTAGCAACATTTTGGGCCTTTGAAAGCTGCGTCTGTCGGAGGTGTTGAATGAGGTCATTGACGGACCGTTCCTCCCGGCGACGACCATCATTCCCGGATCTGGATGATAGGGAATGGTGAACAGGAGCTTCTGGTTTAAGGAACTGATATTTCTGATGCTTTCTGGGCATGAAGAGCTTGGAATCGAAGGGGCGGCATTCAGGAGTTTACAGGGCAATAAGCTGCCGTCGAGATGCGTTCTCTTTTTATATCACCAAGAGTGGCGACCAGCCGCTGACTCATCCCAACGCCCCTGCAGAAACTCAATCCCCGCATCTCGGACTCAACAGTCACCAGCTGAAGCCACGACTCACTCTTGACTCACACATCAGTCATGCCTGTCGGTGATTCACCGTTTGAACTTGAGCGGCCTCCCGTGCGCTGCAATTCATACTTGATATCAATCGCCAAGCCCGAAACCGGCGTTGATGAACCGGTCCGATAATTCGCATTCGGTGTGATCCCTCGGTAACTGCAAACTTCCTTCTAGCTTTCGATGTGTATATAACTAGTTGAAATGCATTCATAATTGCTAAAGTAACTGGATTTAGTTGCTACAGGATTGAGTCGATCGATCGCTGATTGTTTTAACAGGACGCAGCAAATTTGTCTAAAATAATTTATAATAGAGGCGTTTGAGAAACGGAGCGTTCCTTCTCTTCTCTATAACCATATTTTGGGCGGCCCAGTCGATCTCTCTTCGGCCTGTATCGATATCGATTTCGTCGAGTCTCAGCCATCCTTTCCGCTTCCAAGCGTAACCGCAAGCCCAGAAAAATAAGACGACGGGCAATGCAAGGTACGATTTGAAGAAACCCTTCACATCGTTATATCCACCGCTAACAGGGCAAATCGCAATAAAGAACTGTATGCCACAAGTTAGTTGCATATACCGGTAGGGAACATTGGTTGCTATAAATACCTGAGCAATGAGAACGAGGAAAACCAAAATTAACCCAACCCAAGATCCCCAAACGCCAAAGGCAGCCTTAAAGGGAATCTCGTCAACGGTACGGCCGTTGTAGGCCCAGGCCGCGCGGAATCGAATGTGAGCAAGGCAAATCTGCGTGTTGTCATGCGTTAACATTGGACTTGTAGATGCATTGGAATTCTGGGCCAGACGGGACTTACACTTCCCCAGGTGAAGAGCGCAGTTAATCCAGAAAGTGCAAGGAGCCAGTCAAAAATTTCAACACCACTTGCTGTGACGTTGACATATGCCAAAGCACCGAATGCGATAATCGTACTAGTCGAAACAAGCGGCCGACCAGCTCGATCAACATATGAAAAGATGCGCGGTGCATATCCTTGCTCGGCTATGGCTGTCAAAGTCCGAGACCCTGCGTAGACTGCCGAGTTTCCAATTGAAAAAACGGAAACGAGAATAATGACATTCATAAAGCTGTCATAGCCCTTAAGACCAGCATCAACGGCGGCGATGACGAAAGGAGAGGCGTTGGTGTCTATCAAAGGATTTGCACCAAGTAGGCGGCTATCATCAGACCGGACTAGAAGCCCGATGAAGAAAAGCCCAAGGATATAAAACAAAATAATCCGCCAAAATACTTGTTTGATTGCTGACGGAAGCGACTTCAAAGGAGTTGCACTCTCAGCTGCTGCCAGTCCAACCAGCTCAGTACCGAAGAATGCAAACGCAGCTGTCACGAAAACGGAACAAAAGCCTTTCGTGATGTTAGTCTTTTATTTGGATGTTTTCCAAAAGCAATTGAAGCCTGAGCGCTTACCTCTAAACCCATTTCGGAATGCACCAGGGTCGTACCAGAGCCTGGCTCCCCAATATTCAGAATAGATTCCATCCTTTGGGCCTCCTCCGCACACGAGAACTACTGCAACTATCATGAATATGACCACTGCAGACAGTTTGAGTGCGCTCGCCCAGAATTCTTCTTCTCCAAACCCTAGGACGCCAAAGATGTTGACGATAATGATAGCCACCAGGAAAACCGTTATCCATACAGCAACACTGACATCAACATTCCAAAAATTTATGGTTAATGAGGCCACGGTGAGTTCAAGGGGTAGGACAACGAGCCACTGCAGCAAATAGTTATATCCCATGGCAAAACCCCACGACGGGTCGATGAATCTGGTTGAGAATATATAGAAACCGCCGGATACGGGGTACATCACGGATAACTCTCCAAGGGCAAATACGACATTGAAAATCATCTGCGAAAGAGGTCAGTTGGAATCGATCAAGGGACACAAATGCGGCCTTACGACACCAATAATTGCAAAGTCGATGACAACACTAGCAGGGCCACCTTTTGACAACGCTCCGCCTGAGCCGACAAAAAAGCCTGCGCCGATACTTCCGCCGATTGCTATCATGTGCAGATGGCGAGATTTCAAGGTCTGATTCAGTTGATTATGTTTGTCTGAGAGAGACCGTTTCTTGAAGGATTCGGGCGTGCATCCCATCCGGGTCCAGAACCCTGGTGCGTCCGGGGCACTATCAATATCCAATGCGACTTCTTCATCTTTAGACGCAAAGGGCGGTAGAGTTGGAGATGTGTCTGAATCGACAGCGGTCTTTTCTTCGGAAAAGCCCATCGCGACGAATTTATGCTACAGCAGGGTGCAAATACCCACTGATGACAAAATTCGACGATGTAGTCAGAGAAGGGCAGAAAGCGATTGATGGATATTGGAGAGAATGGGCTGATATCCCAGAATCCCTCACAGAATCGGGGACGATGCTTGCTTTATGAAGAAAATCCCATGATTATGGGGGCAAAGCCCCAGGTTGTGGGGTATGGTTGATCTCGAAACTCAGGCTCAAGGGGAACGGCAACAAAGTTTCTATGAGCCACCAAAGAAACGAGGTTGAGAGAACGTTGAATCCCTTGTGAGCGACAGCCAACGAATGAGAATGGGTCTCTGTGGGAGGATCCGACCGATGATTGTCGCTGTTGCGCACACAGAATGCTTCGGGCCCTCCGTTGGCGCGGGCAGATCTGTGGGATTTACCATGGTTCGCCCACCAGTAAGCCCGTTTTCGCTGGAAACAGGAAACGAGGTTCGAAAACCAGTAAAGGGAAATTCCATGGTCGCCAAAGGTACGCCCTCAGACAAATCATCTCCTGTCCAGGCACATCCCTGCGTCGCTGATGGATATCCCGAGCGCCCTTTCGGCGGGATGCCGCCTCCTGCAGTGGACACAAGACTTTCGCCAAGCCGAGCGTCGGAAAATAAAGTGATTCCAGGCGTCTTCCATGTTTCCACCACCATTCCTCTTCGGTCTAGCGCTGGAGGCGCTGTGGGGATGTCGATCCACAAATCAGCCTTGGCGTGGCAACATCATGCAAATGTCGGCTCTGCCGTCCAGTCCTGGCCATCGTCAATGCAGTTTCTCGGGTTCCGGATGGGGTGATGATGCGTTGACGAACTCTCTTGCTTGTAAAGCTAGGATCCTGAAGGACGTGGTCTTGTGGTGAAGCTCGTGAATCCTGCGACTCTTTAATGACCGAATATCAATGGCTATTTGTAAGCTGGGGTGCCCGCCCTACCCTGAGCTTGAATGTAGCCTCAAACCACATGCCCTAATGGAAACATTTAGTCCTCAAGACGGTCGACAGAAATCCAGACCTGATGCAAATTCTTTAGGTCGTCTCGATTGATGACTAGGTCATATTGTTTGCCAGTCGGCTCTATCAACAAGATATCTAGGAATGGGATCACCAGGTGACGCCGGTGTTTTGTTGACCAAAAGTTCGCCGATTGGGATTGTCTGAAGAGGTACTGCTCTGTGCTCCCTGGTTTTCCCTGACTCGCCATATCTGGTGACGGTGATAGGGGTCCTTGAAACTTCGACGGTAATCACAATTTCCTTATCGCCAGCGGATCTTTCCAGCCAAGTTATGGTCATGATTGAGCCCGTGGAAATCGAATATCGGCCCGATCTCATAATATACATTTTCATCGGGATAAAGCAATCCAGGAGCTTGCCTTTTCATGAAGTTTAGATGGCAATTTGACGACCAAATTCCTTGAGCTCAGAGAAAGTATTTGACTCGTTTAATATCGACTTTTTCCTTCGTGATTCATAATGTTTGAAGGAATGTTGACAACTACGTAGAATCTACCGCTTCCAGCTCTTATTGCAGCGTTCACTTGAGAAATATTATCATATTGGTATACTGATGTCTCCTTTGGTATACATTCCAACACTTCGTCGCCTTCACCTCCCCGCTACTGCCATAGGTAGTCGCGAATGTTCAAGGATGGTATTTTCTGAGTTGTCCATCAATCTTGAGCTGAAGGGCCAAGTTCTCCTTCTAATGTGAAGAAAAGCACGATGTTTACAGAAAGGGGAAAACTAATTTTGAAGATGAAGCAGGCTGTACTGTATTTTCCCGGTTCTGGTTTCCGTCTGGTCCGCCAAAGCGTATACGTATGCGCTGAAAACGAATTTGCAACGGTTCTGGGTCCCATTACTTCCTACTAACGCGTATCGTTTGTCGTTATCACTAAACTGTTGTTGATCGCGTATAACACTAAATTTACTACAGGCTAGCTCACATCTCATCCATCCGGCTAGAAACCAATGGCTCCAAGTAAAGCCTCATTGAAAGCCGGCGTGTTCTTCTTCTGCGCTTTCCTCGAAGTAGGAATTAGATTTTAGGAGTCACCATGCCATCCAATCTCTTGTCACTGACCATCACCTGTTGTTGCCAGACACGAAAAGGGCGTACTTCTATGCTACCATACTGAATAGTGTTTTTGCTAGCTGGGGGCGAGACTTCTCTTTTGACTTGAAGCTTAAACGGGTCGAAAAGAAGCTTCCACGGTGTCCCAGTTGGAAATTTTCGCCACACTGATATTCGGCTGATTGGAACCGCAGTCCATCATTTCAAATCCCCGGATATTCAAGGCTGTTTGATTCGTATCACGCCCTGTGGATCTGAGTTGCGGGGAGAGAGGTTGAAACCTGGGTACCCACGGCGGTTCGAAAATATCAAGCGTTTAGTTTTGGCGGATCTGGGTGTGACGGGCATGTTTTTGGCTTATTCTTTCTCCTTCATATCCAAGTCAAACAATTTGTAATGCGAGCTCAAACATGGTCGAATCAAAATCTTTCAAGCTATGTACAAGTCTATTTAGAAACGAACATATAGTATACATACAATCAAATATCTCGAACCCAAGAGTCGTCATCCATTTTGCCCTCCCTTTTGGGGCCTTCCCACGCCCAAGTTTCTGCTAAACTCGCTTTGGGATCTTCATCCGGGAGGCCCCTTGAGCGGCGCACTTGTAGTACCAGTTCTCGAACCCTCATTGTACATTCTTTACGTAACGCCACAGCTTTTTCCCCATACATGAGCTCTTCGTTGAGTACCCCCAGTGGGGCCGGCTCCCCATCCTTTTCAGCTTCAGCCTTCAGTTTCTGCCAGCGTCTCCTCAAATCACCAAAAACGGTCTCCGCATCCGCTCTTTGGCCAAATGTGACACTAATCTTCTTGTTTATGCGGGGAAGAAACCGTGGAAACGCCCTGCTCTCATGCATCACTTCATCTGTGCCTTCGATCCAGATGGGAACAACGTCAGGACAGTCTGACGCTTCGAGGATCAAACGGGAGACGCCCCATTTGAAGTATCGCATGGTTTTGGGCGGTGACTGATGAATCTTACCCTCTGGGAATATGTGTACCCATGAATATGAATTGCAGGCGTACGCTGACGGTGCGAGGTAGGAATCGTGGCTTGTGGTAGTGTATGCCGTTGCAACTTCGGAGAACGGGTCGACGCAGACATTTTGAAAGCTCCATTGTTGCATATCCCCTGGCGCGGTATGGGGATTGGTAGGGAAAGGACCTCGCGACAGTAATCGGATTGCCTGGGTAACAGTGGGTTGGAAGAGCCCACCATAGGACGAGTGGTATAGCCTGTGCGTTGGAAGGACTTGGCCCAGGGTGAAGAAAGCGGAAAGGGCTCTAAGGGACCAAAGCAATTCATTGATTAGATTCAACGGTTTCCGTCATGCTCGATTCTGGCAGTTTGCGCACCTGTTGCTGAAGCAGATATCATGGCTTCCAAACGCCCATCTGCGGTTGAATGACTGATATCCCCAGTGATTATGCAGCGGTACAGTCCCCCACATCAAGGGATCGTCCATACTATATTGCAGCCATTGCTCATTCAGTTCATGTAACCGACGAGGAATTCAATTCGCGATTCTTTATCTACGTACACGCTGATATGGTTCGAAACTGTCCACAAAAACACATCTTAGCGCACCGGATCCATGGTTATAGTACAGATTCAAGTTCAAAGATAATCAACTGAATACTCAATCGCAAAAAAGTAAAGCCTACCAGTTATCAACCCCCGGGTCCTCAACGTATGATCCCGTCTTTCCTCCAGGAGTTTCAGAAACTCCTCCTGCCCATGCACCTCAGTAGTATTAAGCGCGTATAGAAAGCCACGGCACAATGCAGCGACTTGGAACATGGTCATGGAAGAGCAGAACCTCCAAAAGGAGGAGGGCTGTTCCAAAGTCCCATGGCTGAGCTGCATCGGTGACGATATCATCTGTTGCTTTCCATTTGGCTGTATATGGACCAGACAGGCACAGTTAGCTAGATAAGCATCAAAACGTGCCCTTGATTGACCAGAATGGGCGTGCGCAATCCGAATCGCTGCGTTCTCTTGACCGGTGTTGCGACCTTTGCGATGTTGTCGCTCAAAAGTTTCTCCCGACGCACGGACCACATTGAAATTCATCCTGGAACTTCAACGATCCGGCACTCACAAGGCTTCCTCCGTACATGCAATCGCCAGCCGTATAGCCATTCCTCCATTTCCCTCCTCACAGCAATGTTCAAGCCAACCTCTCCCGTAATGGGAGGTCTGCTATGGTACCCCGTCCCTCCCTCTGACCCTTACAACCCCCTCACCGTGCCTACTAGAATATTCCCACCAAACTAACCCGCCTTTTTCTCCTCAGGAAAATCCCCTGGCGCCTCTCCTCAATGCAAAAGGCCCGGCAACGCAAGCGCCTACGAGCCGTTGATCAAGTCGTCGACACCGTGAGTGCCGCGTTGAAGCGCAATGGCGGAGTGACCACCAAGGCCGTCGAGCGATGGTACAAGGAGATGCCGAGAGAGGAGGAGATGTTGCCAAAGGACAAGTATACGATTTTCGACCGCAAGGAGAAGAAGTATCGGAAGGGAATACACAGTACGTGCTGCTCTATGCTTTTGCTCTTATTGATGATGAAATGTGGAAAGTCTCTCGGGCAAAAACGCTTCGACGGGGCACGAAAAAGAGCTTTACTGCCGGCGCTGAATGGGTGCTAATTTTCTTTTCTCCTTTGCAGAGCTTCCAAAATGGACAAGAGTTAGCCAGAGAGTCAACCCTCCTGGTTTTTAGTTCTGTCTTCCCTTTATCCTCACTTATCCGGCACCTATAAAGCTTCTCGATGGCCGCAACTCCCGGATCGACCGCACTAACCTGGTCTATGCGACCTATGTACAAATACTTTTCTGTTGATTATAAGACTGGGGCGTTAAGCTGGAGTTTAGGGAATGGTTTTTGAAGTTTGTCGTGCTCTGAATTATCAAACAGTCATGTACCCTGGATAAAACGAATGAAATTGTTGACCGATATAAGAATGCCCAAAATACTTAATCCGGCTCTAAAAGTTGGCGCCACACAGCAATCCAGTCCATTCTTGAAAGAAGGGAAAGAATCACCACAGCGGAGTGCTTTGAGTTTTCATTCCAGTTAGTCTCGGGGCTGCAAAACACGACGGCCTTCCAAAAAATGGACAGCACGATTCCTCAGAAATAAATTAACTGAATCGGCGACAGTTATGGAAGTACTGTTGCCAATGCCATAAGGCAAAGTTGGCTGCCCGCGACCAATTAAACCAGATCGGTGGACATTTTGGACTGTTTTCTTTCCTGACTGATAGTTTGAAGATGGATGCCAGGTTAATTTTGTCACCCTTCCCGAGATTCTGATATCACGGTTTGCCGTGCGAGCCTGGGGTAAACGCGACCCAATCTTGCTAGCAGTTCTCTTGCAGTTCCCAGCCACCTGTCTCCCAATCTCAGCAATCCTCCTTCGGTTCGCGCGTCCTTCACAGACGACTTTTCGTGCCCTATAGCCCCTTGGAACATCTCGCCAATATTCTAATTTTTCGAACCATCCGCCACATCCCTCGAAATAAGCCTCCCTTTGCTTTGACGACATTTCAAAGCCCTGTGGCGGCTTTCTCAGAATCCAGGTCGCAGTGTCGATTGCTCCATCTGGCGGTTCATCAGCAGAGCCTTCGAACAACTCCACCGCTTTCAAGAATTCTCGAACTCCACTAGACTTCCTAGCGGCATTCACCGCTAACCGCCACGAATCCAGTCTGGGTGCCCGCGCTTTACCTCTCCGCAAGGAAGGATATTTTTCTTTGCGAGATATATTTTTACCGCTCGGATAAGGGTAATTGTGCCGCGGATCGCCGTAAAGCCTCCTCTCTGCGCAGGGAACTCTTGAGACTGGGTCGTAGACTACCCATGTAGCTCTATTCAGCCAGTGGTTATAGACTAATGAAAAGTGGCCTGATTTACGGCCCGGATCCATTTCGCTCGAGAGCCATTCAAGCTTCCTTTCAAGGTCGTCAATCAACCGGACTTCTGGGTTACTAATGCGTCTCTGTGGAAAAGGTCGGGAGGAACGGGGTTTCGGTAAGTTTGTCGCATCCCCCAGAGCCGGGCCCGGCTCTCGCAGTGTTTGGTCCGAATTTGTTCTTTGGGTTCCATGACTATACTGAAGCGACGAGCGAAAGTAGTCCGATCTCAAATATCTCGGACCTCTTCCCCTAGGATGCAAAGTAGAATCGTGCGATATAGGCAAGATGGCATAGTCAGGTCGACGATATATACTTCCAAAAGAAGAATCGGATGCAGCGCGCTTGCCTAGTTGCTCCGCGGCCGATTTACGATAGTCTGAATCCGTCCTTGTTGAGGCCAAACTTTTCAGTGTCTCTGGTAAAGGAGTCCCAGGTCGGCCAGCTAGCCCGCGCAAATCGATAGGTGTATTTGGGAAGGTTGTTCGTTGCATACGTGCTCCCCAGGCTTTATATCTCCATGACGATGGCTGTTCCGGCTTGATCACGAGTCTCCTGGCACCGGAACGAGAGTTACTCTGGACAAATCTATGAGAGATTGCGGATTTCTTTGATCGGGAACGATGGTTGGAATTTGACTTTCTTTGTGGCTTCTCATCTGATGCACATCTTCGGGCGAGGGAATTCGGCGAATCGGACTTCAATGTGCGATCGACGCCTATGGGTGGAAGCGAAATACAGCGTTTGTTGGCGTCATAGAATAGAGGATGAGATTTTGAGAAATCAGTTGCTTGTTTGGCGACGGGCGATACGCTTTTATGTCCAATTTCAGCAGTTTGGACAGAAGCTCGAACTCTATTAACGTTGATTGAGGGTGCATTTGCTTGAGGAGCCTTGGGTGTTCGTTGGCGTTTGACTCGCTTTTTTATAACGGGTAAATCTGGCATTTCATCAGGCACCGCTTTACCGCCGTTCGAACTTGGTGCAGGAGTCAAGGCCGAATTCGTTGCTCTATCATTTTCGATAATCCTGACTTGCTGGTTGTCCGTCCGCTTATCTCGCAACGAATGCAACGGGCTAAAAGCATAATCGGCCAACGAGGGCGGGATCCAACGCAATGGCCGCCAATCCTCAACACGCTTTTTGACTTTCGTGCCCTCTGGGTCCCACCACACCCAGCTGTAGTCCGCATGACAAGTTCTCCAAGCGATCAAGCGCCGAAACCTTTTCAGCAACTCCCGTCGCCATCGTTGTTGCTTGGTATATCTTTCCAGCGGTACCCAACCGTACCACGTTTTCGCATACCGGACTCCCGCCTTCTCTCCTCCCCCGATCACTTTATGTCGACTGAATGAACGAAAGAACGCGCCGAATTTCCAGCACGATACGGCGACAACGAAGATAAGGAACGTAGCAGCGAATATAACGGAAAAGGGTTTGACGCCAAAGACAGAATTCACAACACGTACGCCACCCGGCGGGCCTTTCGTGGGGCGGGGAGGGAGGATGACTTGCATATGCCGAAGAGCGTGACTGTACACTGGTGCCATCAATGAAAACGGCCTCTTGCCATCATCAACGTACTGGTCACGCTGTACCAAGATCCGTTGGCTGCCGCAATACAGATCACTTTCGGGTTAGAGGTCCTTCAACCTTTCGTGAATGGTGAGCGTCTGGCGCGATTTCAGCGTCCGCCTGTGCTGCACGGTCCTGGATGGCTAGCACGCAGCTATAAGCAACGAGGCCAGCTGCAATTACTATCGACGCGAGAAATACGGCAAGGGAGGCAATCTGTCTGGCTTCCATGCGAGGCTGCACACAGATACCAATCCACCACAGCCGGATTCCGCGCTGCTGCCAAAACAGTTCTCAAAGAGCCGTGCTTAACAAGCGGCTATGCTACAAGAAAGATGTTAATAATGCTTGCTCAAAGTTAACAATGGGGAGTCAACGAGCTCCATGAATCTCACCATGTCCCGTCCATCAGCGCGGTCCGCATCTTTTTTAGCCGAGCTTTTGCATCGACGAAGCTCGTTAGGCCTGGAAAGTGCTTCTCGTTCATCGTGCCTTCCAGCAGGAAGGAGATAGTGATAAGCAACCTCCAGACATCGCCGTTGCAGTCGCCTTCATCCGCGGTCGAGGCAATACCATCGGGTAACACAGAGGAATGTTAATGAATGAAGTCGTTTGACAATGATGGAGTGGCTCAACCGCGCGGCTAGGCGCTTGCGACCCCCTGCCAAGATCTCTCCGCGGAGTCGCTCATCCCGCTGCCATCGGGAAATCCCGGCCTTCAAAGTCACACATCACGGACGAAGTTGGCGAGAATTAACTCCGGATGGCTACGTTTAGGCGTTACCACCCCTGACACTTGTTGATTCCAAATCGCGCTCTGCTAGAGCTGTGGCTGCGGGAAAAGACGGGAGCATTCTTTAGTTTCATTTTTATTGAATGATGGGCTCTAAGTCTATTATTATCTAATTCTCGTGCTAGGAAAGCTTTATAGTTTTTCCTCGAGAGGCAACATTGATTTCCTTAAGCCCGGCTAATAATGACATAGCCAGATCGGAGTAGAGTAGAGAGTGTATGTATGTAGAGTGGAGGGTGCGCTTGAGAGAATTTCTACCACACCACTGGGAGTTCTGCGATACCAACATCCATGGTTGGTTCGCTGTACTTGATTTCCGAGTGCGGAATCCCAAGTCTCAGGTTCGGAAGTCGTTGGAACAAAGTAGCTGAAAAATGAAGTTTAGCACATCATGCATCAGCAACAAGGGGATTTTTCTTCAACTTACAGAACACAGCCTCCAATTCCGCACGCGAGAGGCCCTCAGCAATGCATCTGTGATCTCCGTAGCCGTAGCCAAGGGCGCTCTCGGAACCACGTTTGCGGTGGATATCAAACTTGTCTGGGTCGGGGAAAATGTCTTCGTCTCGGTTTGCAGCTTGGTTAGAGGCAATGATGCCTTCTCCGGCTTTGATAAGCTGGCCATTCAACGTGATATCGACTTTTGCGACGCGACGTGTAGCCAGGGCAGAGGCCGTGTGATATCGACACAGCTCTTCAACAAAGGGTTTCGCAAGAGACGGGTCTCTCTTAAGGTCCTCCAACTGGTCTGGATGTTCAAGAAGCGTAACAACACCCTGTGCAAGGCGTAAGCATTGAAATGTCAGGCTGCGTTTGAAGGACCCTCACCAAATTGATCATGTTGACCATGGTAGCGTTGCCAGCAACTAGTAGGAGGAAAGAAATCTGGACCACATCCAGCTTATCGATGTTGCCAGGTTGAAGCTATCAATAGTCGAATAGTTAGCCAGGTTACTAGGAAAATTTGACCATGGCTGATGCATACTTGCTCAGTGACAAGAGTGCTAATTAAATCATTTTGGGGGTTCGCTATTTTCTTGTCGACGAGCTTGTCCAAATACCCCAACAGTTCCCTGAGACTGATATTAGCCGGGACTTGTTTTGCTAATCCAGGCCTTTTGACTCACGTGTTAGCAGTGGCAGCTGCCGCCGCAGTTGAACTACCGTTGGTCCGAATGGCATTCCACTGCGTCAGAGAGTCGGAGTCCTCAAACGGTATACCTAAGATGTCATAAATGATGCAGGATGGGATTGGCAGGGCAAATTTCTCCACCAAGTCGACTGGTTTCTCGCAGCCGCCCTTTATCATTTCCTCGAGGTACCGGTCAACGGTCTTTTGAATTTGTGGTTTGATGGATTCGGTATATTCAGGCGTAAAGAACGAAGTGACCATACCCCTGAATCAGCCTGTCAACAACCAGCAACTCCTATGTCGATATTGGTACTTCTTACCTTTGCCGCATGTGGTCAGGGGGGTCCATATCCACAAAAGTCGGTCTGTTCTTCGCAGCTGCTTTCCCACCGGCGGACATCTCAGGGAATCCGTCACGTTGGCGTTGCTTCAGAGCAATAGTGTGTTAGCGGTGCAAACATGCGCCAACATCGTCGGCCGTCAAACGGTCTCCGTACCTTGGAAAGGCGCTCATCCGTCAAGACGCTGCAAACATCATTGTACTTGACTACCAACCATGGATGGCTTCCATCCCACAGCTCAACTCTTGAAACAGGATTCGTAGCACGAAGTTTAGCAAATTCAGCGGGAGGTTCAGCGCCTCGCGGTCGAGCGAAGGGAAACTTTGGAGGGGCTAGCAGCAATCAGTCACTGTCTGTCAGCCGTAAGACGGATGGATTGGCGATTTCGTACTCGCTTCAGTCGCCATGTTACAGCGTTTTATTACTGATGGTGATATGCGTAGATATGATTGAGAACTGCTTGTCGTTGGGCTCCCGGGAAGTGAAGTTAGCTTCAAAACTGCTCTTATAGTGACCAAGGAAAGCGGGGTGAATCCATTGCCAAGTTCTGACTGACATGCTTCTTCTGAGGGGAAGCTGCCTGAGCAGTCCCGTTGCGCCTTTGCTGCATAGCATGGCTACAGAGTGGAGCGAGGGCTTGGAGATGCAATTGGGGTATCAACAAGAACCAAGACAGCGAAGCACGGGGGGGAAGAAGGTCAATGAAGTCGTGACAAGGGACCAAGACTGATGTAAATATCGTATGACTGGAGGATGGGCTCATCAAGAATGCCGGCCAGCGACTTTAAATAGATAACTACGGAGTAGATATCCCAGGATCAAGCCATTGTCAGGTTGAACAAAGGGCAAAACAACCAGGTTCTCCGCGGACCCATTCGCCCCCCTTTTGCTCGATGCTTGTTTCCATCCCTTGTCTCGCCTTGCTGCTGAAGTGCTTCAGACGAAAATTCCCGTTGAGGTTGTTGGTGCGGAATGCAGGGTGAAATCAGGTTGTCCCGGCACCAAACGGGAGCGATCCAGGGATTGTCGCCTGGAACCGGGCGAATGAGCTGGATTCCATAACCAATCCCCGGGAGCTGGGGTTTCGGCCCAGAGAAGCAGAGGTCTGGCCCGGCTGGGTATCCTAGTCGCAAGTCACATTGACGCCATCGCAGGCATTGGGAATCAGAGCGTGGAAGAGTAATTGGGCAGGCCACTCCGCGGATTTGGTTTGCCGCCAGGTCAATGCAATGGGACCCTGCTGATACATGGTTGCACGGCCAATATTCGGTTCTTTCAGGCGTGAGACCTGCTGCGAGACCAATCACATTTGGATGGGCCTGAAGCCATCAGTTGGGAATTGACGCATGGCAGAGTCTGCTCATTCATGTCGATAAATAGAAACATAGCTAATTACCCCTTTCCATCCTGCTGCACTCATCAACTACCAGTACTCATTTTGACTATACATTTTTCTACGTTGAGGGCATCAAGTCCCTTTTCTCGCCTGGAGAAATGATGATTTGACGTCTATTAATTGCCGCAACAGCAATATTTGGACTGAAGATTTCGGAGTGTCCCGAAGCCGAACATTGTCCGGGATCCAGCAGCAGAGAATCGTCACGGCCGGCATATCGATTAACTTCTACGGCTTCGACGACTTGGTAATTGACTATGGATTGAATCAGTCACTAGCTACCTAGTTAATGCTAGAGTGACACATTTGAGGAGCTGCAGATGGTATGGCAACGTTCACCATGCAGTTCACAACTGACTCTGTGAATTACTTTTGTAGTTAGCAGCGACGTCGCTAGCAATCGAAAATCAAACAATCACAACTCCTCCCGGTATCGATAACGGCGCACCCGCTGCGTTGGTGCCAGATCCTCCCTCATTCGCTTTTCGTGGCATCGTCAAGGCTGTTCTTGGCCTCCCGTCTTGAGTCACCGCCTCAACTCGGCTGCCCTATGGACTCCCATGCGGCTCTGACACCCAGAATGTGCGGATTCCAGGGATCACAGGCACTTGGCCGTGGGGAACTGTCGCCCCAGTGGTCCCCTGTGCAACAGCTGTGGATGAGTTTCCCCGCCGGCGACCCAATGACGGTGCGTTGACGGCGCCCCCGAGGCTGCTTTTGGTGAAGCGCACTGTGATGATCCCTGCTGATGGGATACGTCACAGCCAATGGTGCAGCCGCGAGATTGTCGTTGATGCACATCGAATTTGCAGCCGAATTGAGGGGGAATTCGAATTGCGAAAAGGGTTTGGGCTGGTGTATAAATGCTGGCTTTGGGCCGTGTTTCGGCTGCCGTTCTTGTTTCCTCTGCCCCCAGTTCATCGAACCATTGTTTCGTTTCTCGAGGAAAAAGAGCTGGTTATCTTCCGTCGTGGAATTTTGCTTTGCTTGTTAAACGATCCTCCCGGAGAGTGAGGCCACTGGATTGGCACAGTTCGTGGCACAACGCCTTCAAAGTGCAACTTGCGCGGATTTTCAAAGCAGTGTGCGACGCAGGGCGTCTTGAATCTCGGACCACGGTCATTAACACTGTCAATTATCGGATTTTATATCCTTGCCTTTTTGTCGATTGAATCGGCCTCTTTCGATTTCTCAATTCCCGATAATAAAACACCCAGAGCATGAGCCATCGCCCTACGCCCGCCTCGGAGCCCAGCCGTCCGCAAACCGAAAGCCACCACCGCTCAAACCCCTCCTACTCCAGCAGCAAGAAGCCCTACGCCTCCCGCATGGCATCCCTGCCCGCCCACCTTCCCGGCTTCCACAACTCCCAAGACCGGGAGAAGCAACCCGCCGGTCCAGACCCAATGTCGGACATCAAATCCCCAACCCGTCGCTTCTTCAGCTCGCGGCGCGCGCGCTCCAAATCCCCAGCGCCCATCATCACCGACACATCTGGCTCCACAGTCCTGAACCAAAACAACCTCGTCGCATCACCCACAGAGGACGAGACCGCATTCCCACGCCGCGGCCACTTACTCGACTCCCCACCGCCCATGAGCCCGCCATTCTCGCCCTCGGAACCATCGTATTCATCTACGATGACGGGGAAGAAGAGACATTCCTACAGCTCGCGCAAGGGGAGCAGCGACTACAAGCGATTGAGTGGGACCGTGAATCACTGCGGTCGACACGGTAATGATTGGCTGTTGGGCGGCTTTAGCGTTCGCGAGCGAGTGCGTGGGCTATTCAAGGATGAGAATGAGGAGGAGCACGAGGGTAATCGGAATGAGTGGCATCATTGAGCAGATTCTGAATGGATTGGTGAACTTTTGTTTCGGCCTTGTTCTGGGGGGGGGGGGTTTCTTTGTGGCTATTTTGATGACGGTGTCTGCTAGATACTCCGAGGGAGAATATACGGAGTATATGCTGCTGATATCTGCTTTGCTACCTGCTAATACCAAAATTTGCAATAGAGGTGGTTGGTTATGGATTTCTTTCTAAAGAAAAGGCCCGCGCGACCACACGTGTGCTTGTCGCCTCGTCTAATAAATTTGGCTACGTATATCTACTCCGTAGTTCATGTGGCTGTCAAGCATGGTTAAAGGTTCAATCTACATATATAGGAACTGCAGGTCTTCTACCAAGTGAACTGGTCTTGGTCAGTAATTAATATTGTTGTGCTATCTATCACTCTTTAGAGGGCAACAAACTAGATACGCTTGATAAGAAACCTGCTGATAACCACCATAATGGCCAGGGTTCGAAGCCAAGGTGAAGTTTCGTCCAGTCAAGTAAGTGTGAGTGAAATAAATCATCATACTTCGGTTGTCATCAGTAACTACTTGGAGCCTGAACAAAACAATCTCATCATCGCTGAACACTGTAAACAACCCTCCGCGCGAGAATTAAACAAATATTAGAAAGAGCCTGGTTATATGCCCACACAATATTCTTTGGGTGGTAGCAGAATTGAGCACAGTATAAATATGGCTTGGGCCACAAGGGGTACAGAGGAATGTAAAGGAAAAAGCATGTTCACTGGTGGTGAGGGCACATCTGGGGAGCCTCTCTCACTTACCAAGAGATTGCCACACGTGCGGAAGAGGAAGAAATAAGCGTGGAGTCAATCATTGCAAAATCGCCAACAAAGCCTTCTCATAATCACCCTTTGTCTCCCCCGCCACGCGCCCTCGCAACTCCCTCGAATATCTATTCCGATACGCCGTCTTTACTCTCTCCATATGCTCGCGATTCCAGTGCACCCGCACAACCGCATAAATCAACAAATCATCATTCGTTCCAAACCCAGCCATACTTTCCTCCAATAACCTCGCATCGTTATCGGCTGGATCCTTGGCGCTGCGTAGTATCTGCGTAAGGGCATTCTTCATATGTCCATCAAAGTGCTTGCCAATATCAGCCTCGAGCTCGAGATTGTACTGAGCCTTGTACGCTTGATCGATGGCGCGAAGCTGTCCATTGGACCGCAGGGCGAAGAGCTGGAAGACGGTGGATTTGGGGACCCCTAGGTTGCCCGCCATGGCGCCATGGAGGCTCTTGACGTCTTGGTTGACCATATTGGGATCGATGGGTGTGGCTTCTTCGGCACGTGTGGCTGACATGATGTTGTTGTAAAACTGTTCTGTGGCCATGGAGAGATCGCCACGCACGTCGGCTTCCATTGATTTACCAAAGGTCTTTTGGTAAGCTTGTTTGATTGCATTGAGGTCCGCATTGGATCGGTTAATAAGAACGCTATCGAGCAAGGTTTCCTTGGTGCCAATACCCTTGATAGCTTGGTTTATGGCGTAGACATCTTGCATCAATGGGCCACGGACAAGCGCCACGAGGACCTTCTCCAGCTTCCCGGAGCACTCCTTAGCAACGTCTTGCTCAAGATTCCGCTTGATCTTCTTGGTATACGCCTCCCGAATTGAGGCCATGTATAGCGGGTCCGCACGGGCAAGAATATCAATCAATGTCGTCTCATCAGTGCCAAATCCTTTCATGGCCTTACGGAGAGCTTCCGCATCCTTGGTCGCGTCTCGGCCTGTAGCCACTTGGCCTGGGACATATCCTGGCGACGGCGGGGCCGCAGCTACCGGTGCACCGTATCCCGGTTGACCAAACTGACCGGGATATTGACCGGGTGGTGGTGCGCCATAACCGGGAGCACCGGGAGGCATACCGTATCCAGCTGGAGGAGGCTGGGGCGGATATCCATATCCTGGCTGTTGCGGAGGGTACCCCTGAGGTGGATATTGACCTTGTGGAGGATACTGGCCAGGGGGAGGGTATTGACCCTGAGGCGGGTACTGTCCTTGCGGAGGGTAGCCCTGCGGAGGTGGGTAATAGCCCTGGGGAGGCGCGCCATATGGCTGCTGTGGATGTTGCTGAGGCGGGGGGTGTTGTCCCGGTTGGGCGTATGCCAGGTTCGGATCATCTAGATGTCAATAAATGTCAGCAGTCATTTTCAAAATGGGCATGTATAGGGCTGAAAACATACATGGCGGGGCGCCTGACTGGCTTTGCTGATGTTGAGCCATCTCTTTTTGAGATTGAAGACGAAATACTTCACAGTCGCGGGGACCAGCACGCGGGATGCCTCGAGGACAAAGTATATGTTATCTGAATGTAAAAATTCCCGGCAGTGTCTTGTCTGATGAGCGACTACCTTGGATTTATATAGCCGGCTCAGGGGCAGATCGCTGGCGGGGTGGTTCAACCAGCCACAATTGCCAAGCGCGCCACGGCCACCCCCACGCCTCTTTTGTGCAACGCCGTTGGAGGAAGGTGCGTAAGCCCAACAGTGGTGCACAGGAAGGTGCCGCACAGCCACAATGTTCCAGGGCAGCAGAGCCGTGATTTGTTGATAAGAGTCAGAGTCAATGCTGTTTCTAGTAACTAGCTGTGGTTTTGAGGCACATGGCAGCTACAGGGTGCTGAGCGCGAAGCTCAAAATACGAGTGCGGAATTGGCCCATTTAACTAGTGAATTGAGGCATGCTGGTAAGTATTGTCTTGCTTTGCATTTTGGATCCGAAGTCAGGTACGGAGTACAGAGTTTGCTATTCCGTAGTTACAAAGAGAAAGGCAAGGCAAAAAAGAAAGATGGCAAAAAGAAATTGTGTTGCGGCTTGCCTGGATCGAACAGGCGACCTTTAGATTGCAGGCTGAAGGGGGGCTTCAGTCTAACGCTCTCCCAACTGAGCTAAAGCCGCTGGATGAAATACAGTGTTCACAAACGGTTTCTTGTGGAGCTTCACTGCTGAAATCGAAACGGAGATGATTCTCACGGGCTCCCGGGATGCCATCAAAGCTTGCTTCAAGGTTCTGAATGCTGCTACTATTGCTTCGGACTGCCATCATCTTAGGTATAGTTACGGAGCATATCACTGCCTTTTCTTCCCCGTCACACCATCCGCCGCCGCCACAAATGCCACGCGAACCTCTGTCCAACCCACCCACAACACCCAAATCGGCACAAACACCCATAGCATATTAAAAAACACCAGGTAAAGCCAGAAATAAACCGGATCCCCCGTCTCCAGCGCCATATTTCCCGACAGCCACTCCGGCGCAAAAGTCATAAACCCCCCGTACAACTCCGCAACCGCCAACCCAATAGCCACAAACCACAATCTTCCCTTATACATCGCTGCCTTCTTCTGTGCCGTCGCCGTCGCCGTCGCCGCGCCGCTCGTAGCCTTGTAGATTAGATAGCAGATATACACCCCCGCCCGGCCCCCCCAGTAGCACAGTTAGCAACTCTAGCGAAATCACGCCCTAGGTCCGCGCCCAGCCATCGCGCGTCCGCCTTGCCGTATTCCTGCCACAGCCGCGCCGTGGGCCCCGTGCCGTAAGCCGCGCCGTAGAGTCGGTCGCCGCGATTCAAAAAGTATGGTTTGGCGCGCGCGACGGCGTATGTGGGGGTTGTGTAGGTGAAGAAGCAGTGGTAGAGGAAGGAGCCTTCGACGAAAAAGTGCGTGAGCGCGTCGTACGCGTGCCAGAAGAAGAGGGCGCGGTATTTGAGGTGGTTGGACGGGACGAGGAGGATGGCGAGGATGAGGGAGAGGGGGAGGAGTGAGAGGACGGCGGTAAGGGACAGGATGGTGGGGAGATCGAGCGTGAAGGGGATTGCGGTTGCCATTTTGCCTGGGAGCTGGATTTCCTCCCTGGTCGGTTAGGCGTTGGTGTTGATAGGTAGCTTTTATAGCGGACTTCGCAACTTGTTGGTGTCAGCAATTGAGATGGTTGATACACGTACTTGATGGCGTGAAGTTCAGAAACAATAACGACGGGGCCTGGGAAATTTGAAAAGAAAAATAAACTACGACTAGTTAGCCTTGCGCTCGTTTCGTATGACGGGGCTTTGCCGAATTTGGCCAGGATCTTCAATCTCAAGCTTGCAAATGACCTTCGAAGTATCTACGGCGTACATACATCAGAAAATTATCATCACGCCGATATTTGTTCATCAAATTCATGTCACATGGTATGCTTCATCGCCCATTACTATCATTCAAGTCACCTCCTCCACAACATTCGCATAGTATCCTGGAAACAACCCCTTCTGCCCTGCATAGCACCCCCAAAGCCAGTCATCGTTGATATTCTCTGCCTCCGTGATCTCTGCGCCCCGAGGAAACATGATCTCATCTGTCTCCTCGGGCTCCGGATAATACGACCAAATCGCAATTAAGCGGAGGCCGATTCCACCTGACGGTGGGAAGCGCGGTGCAAGCGGAGCTTTGGTGGAATCGGGTGAGATGCAACCTAGATTGTGCCGTGCTCGGTTGAGTTTGCGTCTGGTCCCTTTAGCCGCGCCGGTGGTATCTGGGCCATTATTGGGATTGGAACCCTCGGGCCATTCCCACGGGTCTGAATCTTGGCGAGTAAGCGGACTGTTCGGACTAGAGTGATCGAAACGACTGTTTGGAGAGGCGGGATCAAGGTCGTCTTTCAGTGCGAGCCCGCCCACCAAGCCCTGGACGACGACGCGCTTCTGACCACCCTCATAGTCCTCGAACCCGACAATGATCATACGATGGCTCTGCGGGCAGCGTCGCCACCCATTTCTTCCATTGTCTCTGCTCACCTTCCCTGTCGCACACAACCTCAAATAGCAGTTTGTGCAGATGTCGTAGTCGCCATCATTGCAAGTTGGACAATGGTACCGGGTTATGGAGGGCGGGATAGGATACGTACAAACGTTGCATTTGGTTGAGAAACTTAAAACAGTGTACCGCTTCATATCAACCATCACGTTTGATCCAGGGATGGGTGATGGCGCGGTGTTAGCAGACGAGCCACCCGCGCTGGAAGATCGGATTTGTCCGGTACCCTCATCCACACGAGCAATGGGAAGAAGGGCATGTGTACAACACCTCCCTTTATTAACGCACGAGTTGCAAAAGCCCCAGTCGCCGTCATTGCACTCGCTACATTTCCAGAAGCAGTCGTCAGCGAATGTTTCGCACATGTCGCAAAACAAGCCATCCTGAAGTCGACTTGAAGGATCAGAGCTTGTCATTTGCGCACCATCCTCCCTGGTGGTCGCCAGAATTAACTCCTTCGCGGGAGGGAGAAACTTGCGAGAATTGAGCTTATGTGGACGCTCTTGACTTCGTTGCTCTGGAGGCAAACCGACTTGGCTTTTCTCAAACGAGCCTGAGCTGTGTCACCAAACCCGAACCAATGTAGACATCCAAGGTCCTGGCGGTAACAACGTAGACAAAGATGATAAGTACCGTTGTTGCAACGAGTACATAATTTATGTAATTCGTATTCCAAATTGCGCTTGCCACACCGCTCGCAAGATATTGACGGCTCGACAAAAGACGGAGAAAGGCTAGGAGCAGACACTTCTGAGGCAGCTGGAGAAGGTCTCGATGTGGGGACGGCCAAACGATCTTGCTGGTTGATGGTGGATGAGAGAGAGTTTGATCGATGTCTATGCCTTAGCCCTGCCCTGGGGTTAAAAAGCCTGGGTGTCGGAGGTTGAGAAGTGGAGGAGCCAGGAGACTCGGCGGTTGGAGTGGGATCGGACCGCTGTTGAATCAATAGGTCACGATGATCGGATCTCGAACTTCCACGTCGTTGTCTGGCATGTGCTCTCACATTTTGATCATCCACAGATGCTCTTGCTGCCGCTTCACGCCTCGTTGTTTGATTTTGCGAACTTTGACGCAGCTGTGGTGAGTTCGATACATCTGTGACAGATCTCCGAGCAGGGTTAATCCGCTCTTCGGCACGCTGTGGAATCGGCGAAGTTCGCCTGCGGCCGATCCCCCGATCGGAGGCACTCCTTCGATGCGCTGGAGAAACAGAGTGATGTCGAGACGCCAAAAGCTGGGGTCGACCGGTCTCGGAGCGTCTACTTTGCTCCATGCCTGGTTGATTTGCGCTTTGTGATCGTGAACCTGACGAAGGCTGCGCACCGGATGTATCGTTTAATCTCACGTCTGATCCAGCCCTGTGCCTCTGTCGCCTTCGAAACGCTTCCGCAATGCGCTCCGTCAACTCCTCTTCTTGCTCGCGGTCAAGGCTTTGCAGGTCAATGCCGTCTAACAGCCCCTCTTCGGCGATTTGTCTCAAGATTTCTTCTTGGATTGCAGTTTCGCGGAAATCAGGGTTGCTCAAAAGCGACCGTAAACTAGACTGGTGTTCGACTTGCCTGGCTCTTTGCGCATTCGGGTCAAGAGGGCTTCGTGACCTCGTGGTAGAATTCATCTGCCTGGTAAGACGCCTTCTCCGTCGTGCGTCTTCAATTCGTTGCTGTTCGAGTGACCGTTCTGTAAAAGCCCCTCGTTGAGCTCGCGATGCGGACACCCGAATTTCCCTATGCCTTCCTCTCCCTTGTGCCTCCCTTAGGCTCATCTCCCTAACTTCTTCCAGTAACCTGCGGTCTTCGTCATCATTGTCAGACGAGGGGCGCGTCGCGTCCGCGCGAGCTGCCAATACAGCATCACCTGGCTTATATTTCTCCGCAATCTCTTTCTTTTCTTCAGCCGCTTTTTCTTTGTCGGGATGCGACCGCAAAAAGAGGTCAAGTAGCGTCGTAACTTTCGCATCGTGCCTTGTATCGCGGACGGAAGCCCTACAGGCGGGGCAGGTAAATTCTGGACGTCTGCTTCGGCTGTTGGGATGCGATCCTTGCCATGAGAACCATTCCTTCAAGCAATATCCACAGAATGTATGTAAACAGTCAAGGAGAGTCAACGGCTGATAGAGTAGTTCTGTGCAAATCTGCGGTAAAGGTCAGAATCACCGTTTATATAGACTTCCCCAATGTATTCACATAGCCTGTATAGAAGGACTTGCACTTACAGAGCAGGTCAACTCTCTCTCCAAGTCCACCAAGCCCGTATTCGACATTTTGTCGTCCAATGTTTCCGTCCCATGAAGAGACGAACAACAGCAAGACAGGATATTGTATTCCAATTCTCTAAACCCAGTATTATCAGGGAAAGCAGTATAACTGTTTAGCAGTGCGAATATTTGCTAACCTTCATGATTCTCCTCAGCAAAGGACGTGTAGTCAACTGGTAACTCATTGCTCGTAGTTAACTCGTTCGTTAAACGGCGTTCGACCGCCTGTCATGTGAATTGCATGCCATCACCACATCAAATCACAACGTTGTGATGCATGCTTGCTCTGGGACAGAACATAATATCAACAGGCAGCAGATTGCCAGAGGTCTTTTATCTCTAGCTCCCTTTTATTTTCTATTTTCTAAATTTGGATTTAGCGGCCCGGGATCTTGGAGGGAATGAACCATGGATGAAGTCAACGTGCTTCTTCACCAGCTGTCTGGATGTGTTCTTCCCAACAGAGGCACGCTCAGATGGGACGGCAAGCATCAGCATTCGCTTCACTGGCCGGTGAAAAGATGTTGAGACGAATAACAGAAAATGGTTCATGTCTCGCTGACTCGGCGGGTCACCACCACAGGCATATAAAGTGAGGTTTTACATGCGATAAAACTCTCAACATGCGACGAAAACAGCATCTTCCCTTTCTTTTCTTAGCACATCTTGCTCTCTCTGATAAACATCTATAGTGGCTGTTTTGAATGGGATTTACTACTCTACTACCGTCGTCTGAAGGGATTTTCTCGGTTTCGAGAGATTTTGGCATCTCAGCCTATTTTGAAAGTGAGGATATCCCCTATCCCGATTTTGACATCTTCGGTTGATCTAAGAAATTTCGCAGAATCTACTCTATAGTGTTTGGTTCTTCGCCCGTTGAACTAGCCTCACCTATCTTTTCTGTTGAATCTTTGTCTTAATCAGGAAGCAGACATGGCTAGATCTCGAAAGTCCACAGGGAGACCTCGACCTGGATATTTCACGATGGCTTCTAGACGTCGGGCTCGTGCAGTCCCTCCTCAGCAGCAAGCCGCCCGCCAATTTTCGCCAGAGGACGAACCAGCTATCCCGGAAAAATCGGGAGCAGACCTTTTTCGGCCACCAAGCAATTTCAATTTCCTCTTTCCCAGGGAAAGTCCTGAGCGGAACCGGGATGCTAAGGATAAAGCAACCCCCTTCGTCGCCCAGCAAGAACGTGCACAGAATACCCAGCTATCAAGTTTCTCATCGGCCCTGAACTGGGGGGGATCTAGGGGAATCAAAGGGCGTACTCAGTCCTTAAAAGGTCTTGGTACTTTTTCGGAACCACCACCCTTACCGGCGCCTCTGCCTCCTCTTAGAAACACCCCTTTAGCCTACGACCATTTTTCGGAATCTAAGCCTTGTTTTCCCGAGGAGTCTACCCCGTTTAGGAAAGGGAACATGAATAGCGTCAAGGCTGTAAAGCGCGCCGAGATATCGCTTTCAAGGTTCTTAGCCAAAAATCCCGATCACACGCGGGCGAAGGAGGAATTTAAAGAATATGAACGTTGCAAAACCAAAGTCGACCAAAATATTCCTCTTACTTCAGCTGAGAAATCGCGAATGAATCAGATTGCCCGCAACATCGAACGTAGGGAATATACGCTGAACAAAGATGCAGAGGAGATCTCTTCTCAACAACACACACCGAACATTGCACCAGTCGTAAGCAAAGCGAGAGAGGTTCGTCCCGGTCCAAATGTCCTCAAGGAGACAGTAGCAAATCTTGGAACGCCTGGCATAAGCTCCCCGGACCGCATCCATCTCGATAAGGCTCAAGGTGCCGCCGAGGCGTCTTCCGAAGACGACACCAGCAGCGATGGGGACCTCGAGGGAGAAGAAAGGCCATTTTGGCGCTACAACGTTTATTTATCGGATAGTGTTACCGGCGACGATGCGAGTCTAATTGCGACTTACCTGAATAAATCTAGAGCGGAAGCTCGGGTGGGCGCGGAAATTAGCCGTGCTTTTACTTCCAGCAGTCTTGCAGACTGGACAGGTGTCGAGGTTAGATGCGTATTTCAGGACGGCGCGGTCCTAGGACAAACGCTAGAATTCGACACAGGTCGAAAAGTACAAGTCCAGATCGATAGAGAGCTCATCAAAAATGAAGTACTCCGTCGAAAACAACGCAAGAAGTTGGAATGCCTCCCTTCAAAGCTATACGTCGTGAGTGAGAACGTTGTTGCTTTGGACCTGCCAGCTGTCGTCGCTGAAGGAAGGATGGACGGTTTTGCGTTTTCTCGTCATACTGACGGGCAAGAGGTGTTTACCATTCGAGAGGATGCCAACGAACAGGCGAGCCGCGAGATGCTGGAATACATGACAAACCATTTACCACCCGACCAAAAATTCGATCTGAGTGTGATTGGGAAGCTGGATACGGAGGCGCGGCTGTATCTCCATGAGCTGGAGGAGAGCGAGGGGTTATATGATAGGACCAGGGTGGTTATCGATCAGAAACGGCGTTCGCTACAGGTTTCGGTCAAGGTGAAGGAGATGCTAGTTCGGGGCCCGATAAACTAGGAGACTTTTTTTGTTATCTTCCCTTTACCCGTTCTATCGAACTTGGCTGTTCCGGGAATTGTCTTGGATCCCTTGAAAGTGCCAGCTTGGGGTTAGCAGGGGCTGGATCCTTTGAAAGATCGCGTTTTACTAGATTGCATAAACGAAGGGACAAGTTGGCGCAATGGTTTTGATAATGATAGACTGAATAGCAACACGATCGGTTTTATAGCCCGAAGCGCACTAGTAGGAGACTCGAAGACAGGCTCAACCTCCACTCCCAAGATCATCCCGTCTGGACGAACGGCCATTCATGCTCAGCGTGAAACGGATGCCCTGCGATTTGTCGCTGCCAACACGAGCACTTCTGTCCCAAAAGTCTATGAAAGTATGAGGAGAAAAAAGGTAGCTCCATTCTGTTGGACTAGTTAATTACATGGGTAGTTATATTGTGCCACACAACGATGCAACCCCCAATACGCCAACAAGACACAGAAGCTGAAAGAACCGTCAAGACTTCACTATAGCTTAGGACGCTGGTGAGTTACCCGAGATTCAGACTACAAGTGTCGATATATGTCGACGGATATTGAACTTTTAACTAGTTACGGAGTACCTGCAGCTTAGTTATTGAGATTTCTGCGGGCTGGCCGGTCAATATCAATCGAGAACCATGGAAAAGAGATCTTAGAGAACGTCTTCATTGATTGAGGCCATTCGTGACAAACACTACGCAGCTGCAATGCGCTCAAGAGCCAGCTTTCAATAATATCTTCCGACCATTTTGAAGAGAAACCCCCCGGGCCCTTTCATACCAGCCCAGGCGACAAAAATAGAATAACCAAGTGGACGGTCGTTCCACCAACTGGAAAAACCTTAACTGACGAGCCGACCCGTCATTAGCACACTGGAATGTTACAGAGAAGTCGAAAATGGCAAAAGGCAGGGCTCTTCGCTCAGCGACTTGCTTGTTGACGAGTCTTCCTGCGACTGGAGTTCTCTTCCGGGCACTCTAACGAAGATTGATGCCGACCATCGTCATGTATCTTCATAAGCTTCTAGCATCTAGCCAGGTCTAGAAGATACTCTGGCTGTCAAGAGAAATACGGGGTGGCATGAAGTTGATCCTTCGCGTCCTACAACATACAAGGGGCATGAGCTTCTTGACGAGCAAGCATCATTTCAATTCAAATTCGATGCCACGTGGGTTAGAGATTGTGTGCTTCTTCACAGAGAACGAGCAAAGTTCATCTCTGTTTGTACTCTTTGATACAGACATTGCGCAAACGATTCACTTTCCTTCATGGGTTCCGTGTTCAGAAAGAGTGTTTCGACTCAGTGACCCTCATCTCGATTTTAAATGATTGAAGCGCGAAGCAGGAGCATATGTGCATCCCGACTTTGCCTGCACCAGGGCAGGTCTTCCGATCTACCCACTCAGTCGACGTTTCAAAAACCCGACTGAGCGTCTCCAGCTAGCTGCCGTGACAGGCCAACAAAAGGTAGCCCGGATATTAACGGTCTTCTGCTATGCTAGCCAAGAATTCGTTCGAAGAATGCCAGCCCCAGCAAGGGACAAAAATATTGTTGAAGTATGTGTGGTTCTGGCAGGGTATAGTTACAGTGTATTTGGGGTTGCATTTGTTAGCTGATCGAAAAACGGCTGCGAAGGCATAAGACCTGGTTGGGATAACTAAACTTCTAACGGTTGTTCTGAATACCCCCGACTGTTTTTGAAACTTCTTTTAGCGACCACTCAATAGGGTGCATGAGACGATTGCGGGATAAAATCTCCACCCCCAGAAAGCTATTACGGAAAGATCTCAAGACCTTGATACCCTCCCCGCAGACGACTGCGCTCTGCTTTGACTTTTGTTGGTGATATGCCGTAATGGAAGGATCTGAATCCGATGCACTGCCCGCAATAGCTCACACATCGATGTCACCCAAGCAAGTGGTCTTAACCGGGGAGATGTTGATTCCATTGAACTTTGACTATCAAGCGTCAGCACAGAGAAATCAAGGCACAGCAGGAACAATGGTAGGAAATTCTATAAGAGGAGGTCAAGTTCCCCGTCTCCAGTAGCCCACCCTCTCAACACAACGCCCGATATCTCAAGCACAGTATACAAACCTCCGAAGCTCAGAACACTTTCCCTTATCCAAGAGCAGTAAGTGAGAAACCACTCATGGCAGAAGCATCTTGTTTCCCAGCTTACCCATGTTTGTAGCCTCCAAGCATCCTCCTACACGATGAAGTTCGTCGCTATCCTCATTGCTATCTTCGCCACTGCAGCGTTGTCGGCCCCGGTAGAGAATTCAAAGGACGGAGATATGAACGCGCAGGGCTTTTGTACGAAATGCGAGGACCACGTGAAGACGTGCTGCAATGCCTTCAACTGCTGGTATCTCGACTGTTAAATGCGACCCAAATGGCGACCAGCGTTTCAAAGCGACTGAAAGTCGGTTCGAGAAATGGCGAACGGACGTTGTGCTTTGACTGAGAAGAAAAGGGGTCATAGCTTGAACCTGAGAGAGAAAATCTATTTTTTGCAACGGATATAAATACTGAGGCTGTTAATGGCGGACTCTATAACATTAACAACAAATCAAACTAGCAGGTGCAATCTTTTGTGTGACTTGTGATTCTGTCTAAATTTGTTTAAGCATTCCTGAGAGAATCGAATTGATTGCTTAACAAAATCGCCCACACTGGTAGAACGGACTGTCTGGCGGGATGCCTGGGAGAGATTTGTATTTGCCACACTCACAGATTCAGTCCTCATCGCCATCACCCAATCTTGAATATATCAGTATGCACAATGCCTTGATAAAGGGACTCGGTGGTTGAGAAAGGAAGTGCAACTGTGATTTAGGTGGTTGTTCACATTCAAGGGGTGCCAAGAGAAAATCGCTGCTGTAAATAAGCATGGAATCAGGACCTAGAAGCCATATATTTTGTCTGTGGCATTGGATTCAAACACTGAATGGAAGTCAACATCATTTATAGCTACAGGGCCCATTAGGATCATCCAAGACAGGTGTGAAATCAATCCAGCTGGTGCTGAGAGAAAGAATCCAGTGAGCATGCATCAGAAGGTCATTTGCACCATGATAAGTTGATGTGAGAGTGTAAGCATTGTGATTGTAGATTGGTTCCTCTCACTGGTAAGATTGTAGAGAATGCATGCCCCTGGCTCCCAGTGCACCATTATAGCATGCCTACCAGGTAGCCACAGCAAGAGATTGATCAGGGGCCTTCACCTCCAAGAAGAAGTTAGGTGTCAGTGGAAGGTCATCTTGTGTTGATGGAATAATATGGTGACCAAGTTTTTGTGGATTTGACAATCAAGCTGTTCAGGGCGCACTCCATGGAAGTGATCTGGCTTGGCTGATGCTAGAGTCCCCATCAGTCAAGAGAGCAAGGTTCTCAAACAGGTACTCACCCCCAACACACTTGGGGTCTCCAATTTCACCTTCAAGAATTGAAATAACTAAAGCTGTGACTGGTTTCTTCTTAGATGCCATTGCATCTGCTCGCTTGAGTTTCTTGAAAACCCCATCAGAGAATTTTGTCAGTGAAAGAGAAGGTTGTGGTCGAGCCAATATTTCAAGTATCTCATCAAAACTATTCAGCATGGGAGGAACCTCACCATCCAGGTATTTGTAGCCATCTGGATACACACCATGATCAATTAAATTTTGTTGAAAGTTCCAACTACCAGCTGAGGTACTTGAAGTTTCTCCTCTGGAGGTTGAAAACAGAGGAGATCCATCAACTTCCAGAGGAGATTCTGCATAATGCTTCTTACTTTGGGAACTGGACATACTAGACAAGATGGGTTGTTCAAAGGGGTCATTGGGCATGGGATACTGCACTGACTGTCAGTGTCAGAATATGGTAGCAGGAGTTGGTCCATACATTTCAAAAATCAGAAAGATTAGGCCCTCCCAACCAAGCAAACCTCTTTATCCACCTTTGACAATCAAGCGGACAAGCACAGACAGATTCAGGAGTGAACAGAAGCAGTCCACAGCGACACTTCACCTCATCTTGAAACTGCTGAGTAACAAGCCTATGGTTCTGAAGCACTTGGGAAGAGACATTCCTTCGATCCAATTCTCTTAATGCATTTTTCGTTAACCAAACCTTTGATAGGTCATCCCAATACACAGATGCAAACGCGTTTAACTTTCGCCTTCTCGGCTGGTGTTGCGGTGGTAGCAAGTCAGGCTGCTGGCGCTTGTCAGAAGTTTTCCAAATGCATAACTAGGGGCTATCAATGCCTTGGTTTAAGAGGAGAAAGCGCAAGGAAGGCCTTAAGTATCTTGTGGAGCCTGAGAATACTGGTATCACCCATGGAATCTGCAACGCGAGAACGTCGAAATTGTCTGAAGTTGCTAGAATATCTTGATATAGATGTTTATGTTTCAAGTTTATTTGATATTTCCACCTCTTACTTCATAGTTATTAGCCCAGGTTCTTCCTAGGTCGCTCAAATTCTTTGTTTATTGGTTTTATCGATTGCTTGTCTTTGTTGGAAGTTGCTGGACGTATGGATGAATGCTTTACTCCGTGCTGATCTCAAGTAACTAACTACTTTCTTTTATGGATTTGTCAGCGCTTGCTTAACCAGTCAACTATCTCATATCTGATAGCTTCGGTAGGTAATTGGGATATACCTATAGAGAGATGGCCTCAACACCAGATCATAGAAAAACCAACAAGTCCTACTCTATCCAAGTTGATAGCGGGTACTGAAATGATGATTCGAATTCCTTCGGGATCTCAAACCATCCCTTTGTTCGAAGATGGAACTGGCTAACAAACCAGCCTTTGATTATTTTCCCCCCAACAGTCTGTTGGCCATCAACACCTCGGGAGGGCAATAGTTGGCCATCCCCATGACAAAATGGTATCTGCTAGTTGTTGCCAGCCTACCCATAAGTTGGTGATGTACATTTGAAATGTTTATATCAAATGTCTTCAGGGCCTGGGTTGTAAATTCTCATGGATAGATCTAATGACCGGAGAATCCATTCAAAGTTGTCCCACTCAATATAGGCTGTGTCTCAACGGATTCCAAATGGGATAGCCTACCTGGCTGATTTCCCGGCAGGTTTATCGCAATTGCCGATATGATTAGATTTTGGGGCAGTCGGCCAGCTCAAATTCTCGCAGAAGCCTTTGCTAATCGAGAGGTATGCTCGGTTATGGACTGAAGAGAGGCCACACGGCAACTTAATTCGTTTGCCCTACCCCGGGAAATGAAAATCGGCGTGACGAGCGCAGTTTCCGTATAAACACTGTATGCCATCGAAAAAGCAACGTCTGGTACTAAACCGTGTATTAGGTCAAGTCAACCAAAAAAATCTAAGGATCTCTTAGCGAAGCCTTTGAGATTGTCAAATAATCCAATAAAATATATTGAAGGAGCAATTAAAGTCGATTGCGATTGAGCTCGTAAATGCATACCCTTCTGGTAAGCAGAGAAGCAGACCCGCGGGGAGCATCAGGCCCAGTATGACCATAGCTTTTACAAGCAGTTTGCTTGTGTTTCCGAGTGCAAGAAGAAAAAGGATAGTTCAAGATAGTTCATATGCATGTCATATGCACGTATGTGCATATTGTACCGGGAAGAAAAGGCCAATAGCGAGCTCATATTTTAAAGAGGGGTACAGCTTATGGTATGACGATTGAAACACAGCCATATCCCACGCAGCTACCTCAGATGAGCTATATTCTGTGCTCCATACAGCATCTGAAGGTGGGATACCCCCTTTTTCTTCCAAAAGCAGTCACACGTAGAGTAGAGAGTATTAGGCAAGTTCATGAGTAGTTCCAATCGGCCCATCAGTCGGCAATTGACGATACCTTTCGATCTCTGGCCCCAAGCGTGTGTTGCATATGCGGGTATCCGAAATACGGGGATAGCAGGCGAGGGTCAAGGTTGATGGAGGGAGGTGAGTTGTCCATGCATAGGTTTTGAACCCAGAAGAGCAATCTCTATCATCTGACATTAGTTCGTAGCCATTAAGGTCACCGGCGTAATTGAAAAAAAATAGGAGGGAGATACGATCGAATACCCAGCTTCTCCGCATCGGAATAGAATGGCAGACCAGTCTAGGAGCATGTGTCCGCTGATACTAGAAGCTCGCATATTTAGTATTGCCAGTCTGCAATCGTTGACCAAAGCGAGTGTATATAAACATATTGACAACGTGGGCATGCGCAGCCACTCATCTGACAGGAGCTTTCCACCCGTTGGTAATTCGAAGGTGAACTAGCCGCTTCTCCTTCCAAGTCCCGAGGGCCTTGTCTGGGTCTCCCTCCGGGTTTCCCGTTCGAATTCGCCCGTTTTACCGCCAAATCCTTCCCGAACCACCCAGAGTAGTATACAACGGCCCAGCTTGTCGAGCATTGAGCCTGTGCGAAACGGCAGTTCCTTTACGTGCAGGGAGCACAGCACCTGTTGGGCAAGGTCCTCACCTCCAATGCAATATCAGCCCGCATTAAAACTTCCCTGCAGCTTTGCAAAAGGAGGCGTTCACTACCCCACAACTTGGCTGAAGTACAGATCCCGAACGCCAAAAGACTACTGAAGGGCGCCAAACGTCGCTGCAGAGGCCGAGATAATTGGGCCTTCGTCTATACAAGGCGGTGCTCTAAAGAACCGCGTCCTCCATAGTATGGGGTTTGGATGGTTACTTCGCCCAAGCAATCTATGCTCAACAAGGCTGCAGCTCTTTCAAGTCTCCGCCTTGCCAATCCACAAGAGGAATTTTCTCATTTGTCGTCAGAGTAGCGGGATGTCCGGCCACTTGCGCTTACATGAGCGAGAACACCTAGTTATATCGATTGAGCTCCATCAAGCCAAGGGAAGGATCTTGCCTAACATTCTATGATTCGCAGCACCTAGTACTTTGGCCGAGTACACGATAGAGTAGTAGAGAGCAGGCCCTGCAAATCGGGTCCAGCTGCAATTTAGTGTCTTTTGAACTTTATTGGAATCCTCAAGCACACGGAGAGCGGCAACACCTGCTCTCCTGGCCCGGGAGCTTCGGATTCCCCGCCCCTCAAACTCTCGAGGCACTGCAATTGGAAAAGGTTCTCGTCTCGCTGACGGTAGTCATAGGCATATGCATAACCGGCCCGTTTCTGCGGTGTCCACATGGAACCAATCTGGACACGATATCACAGCAGAAAGTATTCCGTTCGTCAATTGAATGTAGGTGCTTCTCAATCAATATGAGATCAAAGATGCAGAGCGACCTTGTGACTATCCTACCACAAGTCTGATTCCGGTTGCTGAGCCAATCTTATAGAGTCATTAGCCTTTAAGACGTCGATTGCAGATGTTGTGACTGGAGTCTATCTTCGAGATGTGGTGACGGACTCGCAATGCATATGGTGCATCGGGTTCGTGTTACATATGAGCGTGCGAGAGAATCCGGTTGCTGCAATATGAAGCGAAGCTGACGGGATCAACGTTGACGACGACAACGATGATGCAAGATTGGGTGTAAAATGCGCACTTGAGCGCACGAAATATCCAAGATGTATAGACTGGATAAAACCGTGCGTATAAACGATATTTGTAACTTGACGATTGAGCCACCGCAATTTGAAGGTGTGGAGCAATTGTTCCAAATACAGTAATTGGAGGAAAGCATCGCGCATTCTTTTGCCACAAAGCAAAATCTGGCTCTGGATGGTGTTAAGCGGAGACCCTCAAGAATGAAGTCGAAGAGGAATGATCGAGCCTAGAATATGTCGATAACAGGGACTTGACAAGGGTCTTAAGGACTGAGCGCTGGTCTGGGCTTGCATCTTTGCAGCGGGACACACCTTGGGGGATTTGGCACCGGTTGGGTGTTTAGGGATCTATCGAACTTGGATCCTCAAGAAACGTGCGCCAATAATAATAGCCCAAATTGCGATGTTTGAGGACTGGCTGATGAATACTGATAGATGGGAGATCCAGCCGCTGAACTGGGTTGTGTTGAACATGTAGTTGCCAGAGAGAGCTCGTAAATAGTAGTTAAACGTTAGCGCGGTTAACAGAGACAAAACTCATCGCCTTGGAGTAACAAGTTAGATGGCAGCGGGCTTGACGGAGTGGAGCCTCCCCCAAGTCGCCCACAGGAAAACGAACCGATAAGCGGAAGTAAGCAACCAAAAGTACTCCGTATATGGTTGACCGATCTCAAATCGATGTTAAGAAGAGAAACAAGCTCTGGCCAGCCCGCTAGCCACTCCATGGTAGTGTATTCCCTCTGAAAATTCAACACCCGAAACGAACAATAGCCAAGATAGGGCCGGCGATTTACTATTCCCAAGCATCTGCGCATGGCGAAAGAAGATAAGGGAGCTGCAGTGGTGCCACCACCCATCGGCAGAGGAGTCCTTGGCCATGAATCGGTGAGTGCTAGCTCCGACTCAATCAGATCTTGAGCCACCCCTCCCTAAAGGGTCGTTCCTGTGAAAAGCCACAAACCCGAAACCGTGTTTCAGGGAACTCAGGACAGAAGTACAGAGTACCTCGCTCAATCGTACCCCGCACTGAAATACGTGCATATGTATTCCTTCACCGCTCTGTCTGAAGGTTCACGCTGGCTGGATCTCGAGGGCCTCGATGGTCGAGAGGGAGACGAATGCATCGATATCTGGCGTCAGCTATGAGCTGTATCTTGACGACTGCCGACGGTTCCGCATTGTGGACGGAATTTCGCCAATTGAGGACTGCCAGGGGCGATACCAGTCCACGGAGGTCATATCTCTCGTAAAGAGCGTAATTCTGGCCGCTTTGATCGCTCAGGGACGGGGAGTCAGGGTTTGTCTGACAGACTGACACGGCAACCAGCCGTCGTTGCTTGGGAGGTTATTTGGAGGGGTTGGGGGTGGTGCAAACAGTGCAAACTACCACGGCCGAAGTCGACGAGGAGCCGCAAGGAGAAGCACAAAACGGAGGGCGGAGCAGGCCGTGCATTTCTGTTCTGATGGCGCGATCCATCATCCATGTCGTCCAGGCAATCGCCCATTCACAGTGCTCGTCTCGAGTCCCCACTGATCAGACCCCCCTGCACACAAAAAGTTGGAAGCAAGCCCGAAAAACTGGGAGAAGACGCACGACCAGCCCAATCACGGCTCCGGCCCAAGCTGCTAAACTTCATGGCTGCAGGGTTTGCATGCAGAGATACGGAGCAGTGGATCTTCCAAACGGGACCGAGAACCAGGAAGCGAGACATCTTTTCCCATGGCGCACGTTAGGACGGAGGAACAACCTGTTTGGCCAGCAAGGCATTTCGAACCCTCAAACGTCCCCCTGGTTCGCGTTCTGTGCGTGGAGCCTGTGTCTCGAGCTAAGAGATGCGGATTCAATCCAGCAGCGCACAAAGATGGCATGTTGAGTGACAATGGCCTTTGATTGGGCGGGATCATCGAAGAAGCTTGGAAGACGGCTTCTGCTGTGTTTCAATGCCATTGCGGAGAACACAAGTCTCGGCAGAAGCCGTATATACAAAAAAGGGAGCGTCCCAAAATTACATTCCAGAGCACTCAGGCCCGGGCTAGTGAAGTTCTGGAATTCGCAATATCAACCTGGGGTGTTGGGAGTGTCGAGATCTCATAGGCGAGAAAATCTCTGATGGTGGCAAGGGGGTTCGTGAAGACGAGAATCAAAGCAACATCTCGACCGATAGTTGACGAAGTGCAGTTGTTTAAGAAGTCATACAATTGTGGCCGAATTGCCGATTCCATCATTCGCGTGATTTGAGTGGCATGATCCGGTGCTCTAATTGGCACCATCAGTAGGCATATCGCGGCGCTTCACGGCGTCTGTGTCTCACAGAGCCAGTAGCGATAAAGTATAGATACCAGTAGATAAAGCACATCTTTGCGTTGCCTTTGTCACAGCTCGCAAACTCATCATGTCGGTGGCTTGGCAAGGGGCGAATTGATATGGGCTTGTTGGTAGCGACCAGGATGAAGCAGCAAGGACTTGGTCAACGGCACCATTCTGGACCGCCGCGATGTCTCCATTCTGCGAGCTCGGCGTGCTTTTATGCTTTGGCAAAGCTCTGGACCAAAGTCGAGATACGTCACCATTGTCGAGATATTCTCAGCTTGAGCACGGCTTTTCAATTGAGGATGAAGGAAAAAAAGGAGCCTGTAAAGCTAGTTTTACTATCGACACAGCATTATTATCAGCAATAATCTCGATACCGTGCAGGAGAAGCGAGTACATGGTGGACAATGTCCCTCTTCCCGCCCCTTGCGATCCTCTCTCCCTCCTTTGCATCCCCGTTGTCGGAGTGAAGAAAGTTGGCTTCTCTCGCGCTCTGACAAAGCTGGATTCGAAAGACACCTCTTTTCTTTGACTTTCTACCCGCTGGTTCAGGGACATCTTCCTGTGCGACCTCTTTCGTTCTGCGCGGAAATATAACTAAGGGTGTTGACGAAGGTTGTGAAATCTCTGTTCCATCCAAAAAAGGCCGTCCACTATCAAAATCCGCCACATCCCGTCAACTTCCTATCTCTTTTCCGTCTTAACTCTCTGATTCTGCTATCTTTGCTTCTCTTCCCTTCACCCTTTGCTTGTGTTACCTATTTGTTTTTGCGTGCAGTTGCTTTTATTCACTTCGCCCTCTGTGTTTCTTCTGTTACACTTCCGTTCTGTTCATTGTAATTTAGCTTCGCAAGTTCCTTGCTTTCTGCCTGCTCGATTTCTCACCTGCAACACCCCTCGACCGAAAATCCTTCCTGGATTCTGACTGCTATTCCCCCCCCTCTCGCTTCTCTCAGAGCCGCTGGATCTGCCTGCCTCTGTACGCCCAAAAGCCGTCCCGCTTTGGCGGTGAATCCCATCTCTTCCTCGCTTGTCAATATCCGTGCTCTACTCGGTGCGGGCACCCATCCTCCCAATCCCCAGTCCTTCCACTTTATCTATCACTTTCTCCCCTCACGCCAACAGCTCCGGAGCTCCCCTCCCCAGGTCTCCGTGGATTATTCATATCAACCCTGAAGAACGACCTGGAAGACACAACCCAGACCTTTGCTAGGGTATCTTGCAAGCTCCGCTTTCTTGCACCTACTTTTGCCCTTTCGGATTGGTGCGGTTCCATCTACTTGACCAGGGGGGTTGCATCTCCCACGAAGCCGTCTGTGAGCCTCCCTTTCCTCCTTTTAGGTCGCTATCCCTCCAATACAAAACAAACCACAGCTGGCCCTGTCCTCGAGCTCTGGACGAGCTGTTGTTTTTCTCTGTGTTGAGAGAGTCCGCCGAGGTGGTACACGCATTTGTGCTGGGTGCCAGTGAATCTGTGCCTTCTCTGACCTGCTGAGATATCCAGCATCCTCGTGGCCTCTGAGGTCATCCTTCAACCCGGCTGCGTTCCTCAATTGACGTGGTCTTTGACTCGAAATATCCAGTTACTTACTGCAAAGGATTGCTAGTACTGTGCTTGGCCCCCCAGACCTCCATCCTGCCGGCTTCTTATTCCCAAAAAAACAGGTTTCCTTCGTCCCGGGTAACGGCGGAGCGACAATTCTGTGCGCCCACTTGTTACGGGCAAATCGGCCGGATGCCCTACACGGCGCCCTCTTCATCTGTGACTCTGACACACCGCCCCGGGCCTACGCCTGTTCGTCCTCAACTGGCTATCTCACATGGACGACACCATTCTGAACCCTCACTGCCTTTGACGGGGCGCCCTACGGCCCGTGTCTCCCCCTCTAGCTCATATATCCATCGCCATAGACGGAGCCCTACGATACGTGCTAGCTTCCCACTTTCTCCATCAGTGGTTAATGCCACAAACGGTGCTCCCACCAAAGATAATGCGACTATCAACCGCGTAGGATGGAAGTCGCCTCAAACAAACGTGGCTTCTTTGATTCCCTCTTGTTCTGTCCTCTCTCCTCCAGAGTCGAGACAAACCTCTAGCGACGAGGATGACCAGAACAAGCAACAGAAAGTGTTGGCTGATCTACAAGCTGCAATCATGTCGATGGAGCCGCAGCCCATGCTTTCGTCGGCTGAAGGGGCTACTGGCAGAAAGGAGCTTCTTTCACCACGTGCCGAGTTGCCCCTCGTTGTTACTGACGCCCGCCGAAAACCTCCCTCAATTGATATCCTACCACTTCGTTCTAGCTCCGTTGACGGTACTATTCTACGTCAGTTGCCTGAAATAGAAATGCACACACCGGATCAAAGCGACCGTGAGGATGAAGAAAGCGTTGTGAGACCATCTATGATTCGAAAAAAGTCTGGAGAGCTTGTGAGGCCGGCACTCCGGATGAAAAAGAGGCCGTCTAGCATGCCGGGCACTCCTACTTTTGTGAAAAATGTTCATTTCGACGTCCAACTGGAACAGGTTCGTCACTTTTTGCAACTCGATATGCCGGTTGCAGTCAGTGCTGGTTCATCTCCTGCGGACGAGTACGATGGGGATACGGAGTTTCCGTTTGGAGCGGACTCGGTTCCCCAGACGAAACCTTTCCAGTGGGAAGCACGGGTTACCAATTTCCCCAAGGAAGTTAACGAACGCTCGCCAGTGCGTCTAGAGAGAATGTTTCTATCCTCAGACAACAAATACCTCGTTGGGATTGTTGCAGTCGCCAATCTTGCTTTCCATAAACATGTTGTAGCGAGATTTACGTTGGACCATTGGAAAACCGTCTCGGAGGTTGAGGCTGAATACGACAACAATCCTCGCAAGGATAACCTGCTGGGAGCAAACAGTAATTATGACAGATTCCATTTCCATATTCGACTGGCAGATTTGGCAGATCTCGAAAGCAAAACAATGTTCGTTTGCATCAGGTATCACGTTAACGGCCTTGAATTCTGGGATAATAACGATGCGAGAAATTATCACGTCAATTTTTCGAGAAAATATAAGTGGACGAATGGTAGCCGTGGTCACGCATGTGGTCCCAGCAACCCATTTGCACGCAATATCAGAATTAACCCGCGACCGCACTCAATGCCTCCGCTACCTAGCAACATGCCTTTCCTCCCGGCCCGATCGTTTCAAAGCCCACGGGATGATGGCTTTAGTCGACCACAGCAACAAGTTCCTCTTTCTCATGCGGATGATGATTTGCTCGACACGCCGACAAAACGGACGAAACCACCTGCGCAAGCATTTGCAACTCGGTATGATTTCGGGTCTTCGCTTTCTGCCGCGATGCAACCAGGCACCCTTGACCTGGTCCAACCTGGGTCAGACACCAATAATCGCGTGACGCCTCTCCAGGATATGGGTGGCATGTTGAGAACAAAGCTTGTCAGCAGTCCTAGTACGTTCTCTCGAGAACCTATAAGGCCATCCGATATCCTCTCCGAAAAGCCCTATCATGAATCTCCAGGATACAAGGAGCTGGTTGACAAGTATTGCTTTGTAAGTTACTCCAGCAAACGATTCTTTCGACCGGCGCTGACATTTCCCTTGACAGTTTGAAACGGCTTCTTCCCCTACAAAAGCTCGTAGTCGACCAGACGATCCGCAATCCACTGTGGACGAGAACCAGCCAAACCCGCATCAAGAGTTGCCACCTTCTGAATCGCCGTTATTTTCATCAGTGGAGGCTTCTCCTACGCATGAAGAACCATCAATGTCGCTTCCCTTTCGGTCGCCAAGACCCCAGTCACCAAACGATCCAAGTTCCAGCTCTTCGTCACCTCTACGATTTCACTCTCTTCGCCAAACGATTCCCACAGGGCTGCTATCCCAATCTCCTACACCTACGCCAACTCCCACGGCGATCCGAGGCTGATTATGGATTTAGCTGGCCTTTTATGGTGGGCCACGCTTCTTCTTTCCCAGTCCTATAAAATACTACTCTTTTATGAGGGTTTTATGACACCTAATATTATGCATATTGACTTATACTTATGTTGGCCAAGCGAAACAATACGGCCTGAATATATGGGCGGGGCTGTGTGGTTACTAGGTTCTAAGGGATTAACGGCTCTAAGCTTGAGTTCTGTCAAATTCGTTGGATTTGCGAATTTTCTCGTTTTCTTTCCAAGGCTCGTTCCCGTTCTGTCGTTGTTTTTGCTGTTTGAAGGCGTTACAGGGCTAATTCGGCTTTCTGTGGTCTTGCCTTGTTATTTATGAAAGATATGCCGGAGTAACGTTATTTTTCCTTCGGGGCCTTTGATGATCTCGTTGAAATGGCTTGTCTTTTAACTGCATCAGGAATGGCGCTGAATCGGTTTGTTTTTCCCATCTTTCCTATATCTTTTGCTGGTTCTTTGCGGCGGGAAAAGTCGGTTTGAAAGTCTTGTTTCTCTGCGTTACTGGCCTTGCTTTATGGCATGAGTATATTTATATCCTTTTATGCGGCCCGACCGCAAAACGACCGAGAAAGTTCCGGGATTCAGACGGCCTTTCCTAGTCTTGCTACTGGAATTGTTTGCGGATTGAATAGCTTCTGCTGCATGGCGCGGGTTTACCGGTTTCGAGGATAGTCGCCGGAAAGGCGAGGATTAGCTATGTAATGAAACTCTTTAAGGGCTTGAAGTTGGCCTGCAACTGAGAATCCCGCAAAACATTCTACTTGCGGTGAATTAATACTAGCTTCATAGATCTGTAACAACATGCGTATGTGGCGGTGCACAGACCAGCCACTGCCAAGATGTACGGGCACCATTCCCGATCCAATTTAGCGCCGACGTCATGTGCCCCGAAGGCGGTGAGTCCAGCCAAGACTTGGCGGGGCCGAAGTGGCAGAACATCAAAGGGCAGGCACGCTAACAAAAGAACACCGCGAAATCAACGCAAAACAGCGTCTGGAATTGAGCACTTTGAAATGGCCTTTTTGCAACCTTGCCACTTAGCCCAATCACGCTCCCGAACATTCTGATTCTCGCTGCTGAAGTTCCCCAGGCCCCCGAATTGGTTTAGCGTGTCCTCTTTTTTTTTTTTTGTCAAACAGGCAAATCTCGCTGGGGATCACCCGCTGGTTGCAGAGTATTTAAACATGGTCGGCTTCCCCCCTCCTTCGCTTTCTTTTTGGTTTTCTTTTTGGTTTTTCCCTTTTCGCTTCTTTCTTGCACTCTTTAATCAACGTTTGATCCTCCATCAACATCAACGCGTTGATTTCTCATCGACAAATCATCAATACTATTATCTTAAATTACTTTTATTCATCATGTCTGGACGTAAGTAATTAATATTTGTTACCCCTTGGGTTATTTTTCTCTTGAACGTCAAGTCCTTCCGGGGGAGCGTTCCCGCAAGGGGCTACGGATGGGTCTTGGCGGGACTGTGATGCGATCCGCCACCACCCGCCTCACCAAGGCTCCGTCAGTGGAAGCGATCTGGCTGCCCTGCCCCAACCCTCATCGTCGCGTTCAATATCTAAGATATTGATCGTCGCTTCGTTGACTCTATACCACCGCCCTCATTCAATGATGCTAACCGACGCTCTCATCTAGGTGGTAAGGGCGGAAAGGGCCTCGGCAAGGGTGGTGCCAAGCGTCACCGCAAGATCTTGCGCGACAACATTCAGGGTATCACCAAGCCTGCTATCCGTCGTCTTGCTCGTCGTGGCGGAGTCAAGCGTATCTCTGCAAGTATGTTTAGCAGCTACCACCCTTCGTCTCATACATCGGAAGTAGGTGCACGTGTGACTAACCTGCCTTTCCGTTAGTGATTTATGAGGAGACCCGTGTTGTGCTCAAGTCGTTCCTCGAATCCGTCATCCGTGATGCTGTCACGTACACCGAACACGCCAAGCGTAAGACCGTCACGTCGCTTGACGTTGTCTATGCCTTGAAGCGACAGGGCCGTACTTTGTACGGTTTCGGCGGTTAAACTATTCCATCGGCTTTCCAAACCTATCTTTTCTTTGTTCGCAATATTTATGCCACGCTGCTCGTGCATGCGGTATCCAGTATAACGGGCGTGCCTTGACGGCGAACGATAGCCTAATTGGGAAGAGATGTTTATTCTCATATGAATTTTTTTTTTTTTTCTGCAATCTGCTGGCTTATTTCGAGATGGTGGAATCCTGGTATTTTGGATGGGTTTTGCTTTTGAGGGGCTAATGGGCAGCTTTGGATTGATGGATATATATCCGTCGTCGGGTATGGCAGTTTAATGGAGTATAGGCGTTCAGACCGCATTATATTTATGCGCGGTTACTATACGGCATGCCTTGTAGAATAGCTATGGATCCAATTTGACCCATTCACCCGTCAGTCTACTATATTATTACAGTGATTCGAGCCTCCTCTTTCCCGTCGTGTGGTTCTAAATAGCCACTGCGCGCTTTTCGTAGCTCTACCTACCTAGGTAACCATGCACGTGACGTCATCGTTGAAGCTCAACCATATGCGGAGACCTCGTGGAATTCGTGCTGGTCAATAGTAAAAACAATCCACTATTCCCAGGCAATCTAACCAAGTGGTGTTGAAGAGACCTATTTATTGCTTGTTGGCTTTGATAGCTGATTGACCCGTTCGCTCCCAATGGGGTTGATTGTCCATCTGGGCGCATACCCAGAACCCCCATCGCTGAAATCTTGAGCAGACGAATACGAACCTAGATAAGTCTTCGGTTCAAGGCGTACTTTGAGAATGATGGCAGACTCTTTACAGAGTGAAGCTTTGCTGGTAATCCAACGCTTTTCAGTCTTTTGTTCACTTTTCTATGGCCCCAAGCTGCTAAGTGACCGGGTCTGGATTGCAGGATATTTTCCAACACCGCTTCATCTACGACCTTCCCTCTTCGTATGTTACGACCGTGGCTACGCGGGATGGAATGATGAAGGGTCCGCCGCTGCCAGAGTTGGGACGGGGGATTGCCGGGGCGTTGTGTGCGGCAGCGTCGACGGTTGCGGTGTATCCTCTCTCGTTGATCGTCACGAGGTTGCAGCTGAAAAACCGCCCGGCGGAGGTTAGGACGCGGGGTGGAAACAAGGTAAAACTTGAGCAGCACGATGAAGATGTTCAAAGCCGGAATGTCAGTGGTTGGGTTCAGATCGTGCATGTGGCGAAGGGGATACATGCCAACGGAGGGCTGCGGGCGTTTTACGTTGGCGTCGTCGAAGCCGCTGGCAAGGCGGCTGCCGATGTTCTTCTATTCTTCCTGGTGTATAAAAGCCTCCAAAGACAACTGGAGGTACACAGATCAAAGAATGCACCGGGCTTGTCGGTGGCAGGGAAGTTGACTCTTGGACTTGCTTCTGAGGCAATCACCAAATTGGTTATTGCACCGATCGAGACCATTGTTACGAGAAAGCAAGATTCTAGAGAGCCGGTCGGAGTCAAAGACCTCGTCACGCAGGTCTTGCGTGAGCAGGGTGCCACGGGACTTTGGGCTGGATATTCGGCATCTCTACTAATGACCGTTATGCCCGCTGATTGCACTTTGGGCTGGAATGCGGAGCTATCTCGGTCTCCCGAAAGGGGATCACTTCTTGGCCAGCTCCCCCGCTCACTGCCTGCTATTCTAAGTAGGATCGTTGCTATGTCCTTCACCTACCCGCTTTCAGTGGCTCGAGTTCGCATGCAGGCGGGCTATCGGCGAGTCCAAGCTGCGGATAGTCCTCTTGCTGGAAGCCGGGAGCCCATTTTCTCGTTGAGCTTATTGCACACTCTGTCCCATTTCGCTAAAACAGAAGGCACATCCGCCATCTACGCGGGTATTACTGCGTGTATCGCCCAATCACTACTCAGCCGGGGGACAGCGACACTCACCAAAGGCCCTATTTACACCTGGACTGTTCGGGCATATTACATATATCTCCTTCTCTCGAGCCAGTATCAGGCTCTCCTCGACAGAGCGAAAAAGGAAATAGAAGGGCTTGCCGTGGCAGCGGGAGAGCAAGCCAAGTATGCCCAAGAGCTGAAGGAGAGATCGATACGTGATATGTATTCGAATGAAACGGCAGATTTGGTAGGTGATTATGTGGAGGATGAGGCGACCGAATGTAAAAGGTTTTACCATTGGTTTTTCGAGAGGGAGAAGAGAGGGAATGGGGAGTGAGTTGTCTATGGGGAAAGCAGAAGCCGTTTTAATCTGATATCACGTTAAAGCAAATGAAGAATATTGTGACTCACACGCTAGAACTGAACCAAGTTATCATACTTATAAAACCCGAGAGAGGAGGATGAAATGCAGAGGGTGGCAGCTTCTTGCAAACCCACAGGTGGACTCGAATTCAGAGACTGCATCATTATTATCTTTTGTAAAATGAGTGAAGTAAAGATGGGCGGAAATCGAGCGGGTTTTGTTTCCCCTGAATCAACTGCCTAACTAGGTATGTGGGCGATTTCCCAAAGCTTGATTGGAAGCCGCATCCCATCATGTCTAGATGATGGGCCGACTCAGTGTTGAGCATTGCTGGAAATCTGTTCTTGCTCCCCGTGGTTTATGACGGGGGATGATATTGCAGACCGGCCTTCTGGCTATAACCTCGATGATGCTCTCCTGGCAAGCCGCTGGATTCAAATTGAATGTCACGCTCCCCATATTACCTAGTTACATGGGCCTGGCAAAGTTAACTGATAAATTATCTATTAGCCATTTCACTAAGAAAAAAAAGCTCCTTGTCGGCTAAGATTATTTTCATGCAGCCACGGTAGTCAGCACGTTACCTAGTTAATCTGCCCTTTTATGACTTGTGAGTGCATCTCTTAACTCCTTGGTAATCCGCCAGTTTCCTTTCCATCTATCTTATAACACGTTCTGGCGCATCTGCTCCTCGAGCTGTGTAAGAGTGGCGAGGTTCGGCTTGTCCGGATACCTTGCGTGAAACTCCTCAACCAGCTCCTCGCAGCCGGGCACCACATTCCCAAAAGGCTCCCAGGAAGGATAATCCAAACTCCAGTCAACTTTGTATTCTAAATAGAACGTCCCATTGTTGCAATCTCTTCGGATTCGTGAGTCTAGGATCGTGTAGACCTGGAACTCTTCCTCCGTCTCTTCATCTTGCTCCATCGGGATTGGCAGCGGGGACGCTATCGAATTGTTGTCCGTAAGCGCTTCCAGTAATTAATACTTCGCCAAAGTACAGGGGATGCTGCCCAACTTACATTCCCTCGTGAATGGTGTTTCCATGAGGCGCCCACGTTTCAAGTTCTCAACCCAGTCTTCATAGTATCTTCTCCATCCCGATGCTATAGCTATGGCCTCAGTCTTAACTGACGCGGATTCTGTCAAGTCTTCAATTTCCTTCAATTTTACTGACGGGTCAGGGCGTAACAAAGCACGGGCCTCTCTCGCTCTCCCTACCTGCCGGAACGCGTCTAAATACAAACGTATCGTGTCATAACTTCCTTGAACATCTAGAAGGGGATTAATCCAAGAACTGTATGATGTCACCGAAATATCGAGCCTGATGATGTTGGAATTCTGAAGGTGCCTTGTAAAACGCTTGACATTTTTGAGATTCGCTTTATCTCTTTCAGAAACATTGAATGAAAAGTGAAAGCGCTTAAATTTTTGCCAGGAACCAGGTCGAACTGAAAGGCACTTTCTTCCCATGATGTATATATCCTTGTAAAACAATACGACTTTGCACACGAAATTTCGATAGAGGACGTAAGTTGCTTCCTCAAAAATCTGACGATTCAGGCGTGCCCTTTTCAAAAAGCTGTAATATGTGTAATATTCCGCGTATTGGCTCCGATATTCATCAAGAATCATTGAAAAAATATGTTGACGAAGCTCCGTCGGTAGATGCAGGATGTAGCAGGGCAAGGAGAAATCCTTGTGTTCGGAACAAAGCTGTATTTCAGTCAAAGGGATTTTTCGGAGGCATTTGTGATTGCCCTCGAGTACTGCCTGGCAAAAAGTGACCGTGGATCCGAGCTTTCTATGAGCCCAACAAACTGGAACTCCCCGTGGCGGCAAGATCTTCGCTCGGTTTTTGCACGCATTGTAAGAGAGTGTCATTGCCGAGCATTGAGTTTGGGAGAGCTTTGAGCGTTGTTTGCCTCGAGGCATTCTTGCACCTCCCACAATGATAGATATTGCACGATAATCGCCTTATCACAAATTTGAAGACTGTCGGCCCTGTCAAGCGTATTGAGCTGCAAGGTTATGGAGCTTGTAAAGAAGAGTCTGAGGTTTCCTGTAGAGAAATCATAAAGGAAAAGTAGGTTGATAAGTTAGATAGGACGGAGTAGGTAGCAGCCTAGACTCGCCGGATCAACAATTTTCCAAGGGTTGCCAAGACCCATGAGACGGGCCCTGGGATGATTGACCGGCAACTGTGAATGCCATCAGAGCCAGGACTTCAATATCTTGACATTTCGCTACTAGCATTACACTACAAAGAACACATCAGCGGGAAACCCTTTTCTTAATCCAGATCCTGGGAAATCTAGCTGCACTCACCCGTACTCTAGCTCACTCCGTATGATGGAGAGGTGGTGATGTCAGAGGGAACAATCCCCTCTTTTGCTAATCTACTTTCTGAACTTCAATTCTTGCCCTCCAAAAGGTGTACGCTGTTTCAGAATTACCGGCCTTATGAGCACTGAGTCTTCCATGAGCAAAAGTCGCAGATATGTCGCTCCTTCAAAACGAAGAGTAAGCTGTGATTCCTTTGCAAATGTGACTCTCGGAGTTTGGACCCTCGTTTCTGATATATAATCTGTCTAGTTTCATCATTTGGCAACTCCGTACATCCTATCTCTCTGCAATCAAAGATGGCGTTGGCGATAGGCTTATTACCCTCAATTCTTCCGCGCTTAACACCCCCGGTTTTCGAGCCGCAGGATGGACAGGATCCGCAGCTGCTACATACGCAGAGTCTCTGAAGAGAACATATTCTCCGCCCATACCGGTCGCGACGGCGGTTTCGTCGGAATACTTCCAATCGAAGAATAATGAGAACGATGCGAACCATGAACGCGAGCACCGGTCTGGCTTTGGGTTAAGTGATAACGAAGAAGGCGGAATGATAACCGGAGTAAGGGACGATACGAATACCATTGCACCTTTGCCGCACAGATCTAGCCCTGGAAAGAAAGGTCGGAGACGGAGGCAGCAGACTCAGGAGGGAGCACAACTTCCCAGACATGGCGAGGTCGAAGAGGACGATAGCAGCGACTTGAGTGATGACAGCGAGGAGGATGTTGGCGGGTCGAAGTAAGAGTGACATGGTTGTTTGCTTGCCTTTGACGATCATGTTTACTGATGTTTTTGTAGGGCTGTGCATCAGATAAAATTCACCAAGATGCCCGTAAGAGGCCGCGCTGGATCTTCTCCAATCAGGGGTTCCGCTGGTCTTGAGGGTCCCAAGGTACTCGTCACTTCACCATCTATCAGATCTGTTGTGACCCGGTTTCGCCGAAATTCATTGGGTGCGGTGGAAGCTGTCAAGGCTCGTTCTCGCGGTGACACCATCACCAGCAGTGACATGTCATCGGACAACGACGTGGATCCGGATGTTCTGAAACGACGGCAGATCCACTTTTCTGGAACCGAGGAAATAATTGAAATGCGAGACGAGACATCCAGTGAAAAATTAGAGGAAGAAGCAGAGTTAGAGGCTGCAATAGCTGGCGGCATTCATGATAACGACGATGATTCCATTGCGGAATCAGTTGGTTCTGCCCTGTCTTCTGAATTCGGCGTAACAGCAGAATCAACCACTCTGTTAGATAGAGTGGCTATCGGTGGAAGTTTACGTTCTACCTCGCGACTACCGATTGAAGCACGGGACACTTCGCCCAGGAAACCCAGGGCACTTTCACCGATTCTACAAACGATCCCTCGGCCTCGTCCAATCAGTACCATCGGGGCAACCAGTCTACTTTCCTCCATGCTCCAAGCCCGAAAACAAACACCTGCCAATCCATTAGAGAAATATGCCGCGTTTTCGGGGAAGAGTGACACCGGGACTCCACTCTATATCAAAATCTATGTTCCATCATCTTCCACACCCACCAAACCGATTGATATCCCCGCAGTCCGGGAATCAAAAGACAAAAGCCAGCCGGGACAGATTACTGTGGCACAAGCAATTGGATTAAGTCTTTGGAGATACATGGAAGAAGGCCTCAAACCAGAGCTGAAAGAGAGGAGACTCAGTGTGAACAGCTGGCATCTCCGGATGGTGGATGATGGCGAGGTTGATTATGACTTTCCACCTCTCAGTCGCGATCGACCCCTCGCGGATTTCACATCCAATAACAATCGCGCAGCCGCAGTCCGAGGGAGGTCTAGAAGTAAGCCTTACGACGAATTTGCGCTTGTCGAGGCGACAGACGCCGAGTTCAAAGTGAATGAGCAGCGTTACCCCAATTACAGCGTGGCTTCTATCCTTGAGGATGCCGATGAGTCCCAACAATTGCCAGTGCAGCCTACTTCAATCCCCGTTAACAAAGGAGTCACAAACAGTCGAGCCAACCCAATCCTTGGGCAGCCATTTCCATCAGCGTTAAATGATAGCACCCTAACGCCAGCCGATCGTCCTGCCGTACCAGTCTCACATGCTACTCCTAGGATGGGAGTTTCGAAAAATCTAAGGGTTCGATACTTCGACCTTGAGTCATCAACCCGCACCACGACCTTGCAGACGTCGACAGACAGTTATATCGCGGAAATCTTAGATTCCGTTTGCAAGAAATGGGGTTTAGACAAGGGCAATTTTCTATTGAAAGTGATGGGCTCTAATACTATCGCTCCTCTCGACCGCACGGTTGAAGCTCTCGGCAATATCTCAGACCTTGATCTTGTCCGGCGCCGTTTTGGAATTGGCCCGCTCTCGTTGACGGGATCACCAGGCAGCTCTTCGCCAAATGCACCCTTGTTGGTCGAAACCCAAAACCCCAATGTTACAACGAAGAAGGGAAAGAAAGCGAATCGTATGTTGCATCCGCTGGCTCAACAGCAAGATATCATCGGGGGCTACTATCGACGCTACCAGGTGATACGCAAACAGTCAATGTCGCTCACAGCCTCCAGCCAGCGGGTGCTTGCATTCGATCACGACTACATCCACATTCTCCCAGCTGAAACTGGGCGGACACTGTTCGAGTCGAATGCCAAATCGACATCAATCTCGTTCAATGATGTGGTGGGCTCGAAAGTCAGCAGAAGACATCCAAAGAGTTTCCGGATTGTCGTATTGAGAGGCAACGAAGCCAACGAACAGAAGCGTTATGACTTTGAAGCGAAGAATATCTTGGAAGCGGCGGAGATTGTGGAAGAAATCAAGAAGAATATGATGCATTATCGGATCTGACATTGACGTTTCCATCGTAGGGTGAGAGAAGGCTTCTTACGCCTGGAGTCTCTTGGTTTACGGGTTTGAGATTGGTGTTAGGGCCGGATCTAGGGGTTCGATCTTGGGACGGGATGTCATGTTAACTTACGATGGCGGCGGATTTTCATGCGCTTTTCTTTACGATTAATGAACATGGAACGAGGTCAACAAATGTATGTAACGCAGAGATTTCAAGGCAAAATTAGGAATGCCATCATGGGCTTCAGTCTCCATGGTCAAGACGGCCATACTCAACATCATCAGTATATTCAATTGGGGCCTGATCGGACCCGGAGTTCGTGGGATCTAATTTCGCTTCTCGCCCATTATTCCCGGGTATTTGTGAATATTACGCATCGTTGGCGGCATTTGAAGCCGGTTGTAAGCCGTCCTTTCACCACCACATCCTCCCCAGCGAGCACCAGGCAATCCGGCGTCGAAGAGAGTGATGGACACTGCCAATCAGATAGAGTGCATGATGATTCTTTGTTGTTCGAGTTTCTTTGGCGGTTGAACGAATTGCTTGGAACCAGCCTCTCTTTCGGCTGCGCGAATCCCCGGTTCAACCCAACCCGCCCGGTCAAGCTCTCAACCACTCCACCTCTGCGCTCCTCCACCCGTCCAACTTCATGTCACGGCTCTCCAGTGACGTATTCCGGCTGCTGTGCTTGACTGATTCTCAATACACAGTGTTCGAGTGCACAATTGATTCTGTTTGTCGCTGACGGGCATCCTGGACTATCGCCACTTTGTTCTAGATCCTTGCTGGGGTTCAGCCTTGAAGTTCAACTCATTGCCCTTTGAAAGTACAGTGACGTCCAAGAGTACTTTGGAGCACCCGCTCGCGCCCCGAACTCTGGACGCCAGGCCAATTCTCCCCCTTGCTTCTCTTTCTCCGACGCCTTTTGCTGCCGCAGTGCAAGTCTCCCGCCCCGGGTTGTTCCATGCCGACTTTTGGGGGCCTACTCAAGAAGCGGCGGACGAAGGAATCCAGAGGATCAAAAGACTTGCAATCAACAGCCTCCTCTGGCACTGATTCGGCATCAGACCCCTCCGCGAGCTCTCAAGTCAGTTCGCCCCAGCGCGTCCGGCCTTCGACTCCCCTCACGACTTCCACCTGCCCTCCTGCTGCTGCCCCGCCCAAGCGACCCATTGACGCCGGGACGTCCAACGCTACACAACCGGATCCTGCCCCTTTTGCAACCCCAGACGTCCGTGCGGGTGCTACGGGAGAGAGCACCTTGCGTCCCCAGATGAACTCACAACACCTTCAGCATCCCTCGTCGCCGCTCCCGGGGGCTTCCCCGCAGCCACTCTCGCCGCAACACCACCAAAATGTCGCAAGTATTAAGAACATCATAAACCCGCCGCAACACGAAGATGGGGTTCCTCACGATGGCCACTTTGTGTCTCAGCAGCCGATTCGCACGGCCCAGAGGCAATTGAAGGGAAAATACTCGCTCAACGACTTCACGTTGCGCCGCACACTGGGGACGGGCAGTTTCGGTCGAGTACATTTGGTTCAGTCAGTGCATAACCAACGGTATTATGCTATAAAGGTCTTGAAGAAGCAGCAGGTGGTGAAGATGAAGCAGGTTGAGCATACTAATGACGAGCGAAGAATGTTGGAAAGGGTGAAGCATCCGTTTCTAATTACCCTTTGGGGCACCTTTCAGGATGCCAAGAATCTCTATATGGTCATGGATTTCGTAGAGGGCGGGGAGCTCTTTAGTTTACTGCGCAAGTCGCAGGTGAGTCTATTTTCGTCTTTTGCCTTGGTTGGGCCTTGCTTTCGTCTCAACTTTGCGACGCTGCAATTGCCGGGGCTGACCGGAAAGTAGCGGTTTCCAAATCCAGTTGCGAAGTTCTACGCCGCCGAAGTTACACTTGCGCTCGAATATCTACATTCCCAGAATATCGTCTACAGAGATTTGAAGCCTGAGAATCTACTCCTCGATAGACATGGTCACCTCAAAATCACAGACTTTGGTTTCGCTAAAGAAGTCCGAGATATAACATGGACGCTCTGTGGCACACCAGACTATCTTGCACCGGAAGTGGTTTCGTCGAAGGGGTACAATAAGTCAGTGGACTGGTATGTACAACCGAATCCACCGTTTTGTTTAATCTACTCACCAAGTGCAGGTGGTCGCTTGGGATCCTCATATTTGAAATGCTTTGCGGTTTCACTCCCTTCTGGGACAGCGGGTCCCCCATGAAAATATATGAGAACATTGTCCATGGCCGAGTTAAATATCCTCCTTTTCTAGTTCCCGATGCTAGGGATCTTTTATCACAACTAATCACACCTGATCTTACGAAACGGCTGGGAAATTTGCGTGGTGGGCCTGAGGATGTCAAAAATCATGCGTGGTTCTCCGAAGTTACCTGGGATCGATTGGCAAGGAAGGATATTGACGCTCCGTATATTCCTCCGGTCAAAGCTGGACAAGGCGATGCCAGCCAATTCGATACCTATCCCGAGGAGACAGAGCAATACGGCTTGCCAGCCAACGATGAGTAAGACAAGCCTCCCATTAAGTAACATACGTTTCTAATCCGCTTTACAGGTTTGGCCACCTTTTCCAGGAGTTTTGATCAACGTCTTTGACTCTACAACGGATTTCCGAGGGTTTTAACCATAACGCATATCATACCAAATCTAGGCTCGGATGCTCTATCCTCAACAATTATATCGGAAAACATATTTTTGGTATATTTATTGGCTCTCTTATGTCTTTCAGCTGGACTGTGACTTGGGAGCTTTTGTTTGACTTTCCTTTTATCCGGGTGATTTGCTCGCTCCGGGAATGGCTGACGAATTTTTCATTCGCTGCCCTGGCAGAACCGTGAAGCCTATATATAATGTCCTGGGGTTATCTCTTCACTCTTGGTGTATTGCCTCGTTCTGTTGGAATGTTTACTTTCGATGCCTCCCTCACACCAAAGCGCCAGCAAGGCAAGACGGACATTACCCTCTTTGTCTTGGGAACCTCAAGATATGCGTCTTGAGCATTGTATTAGCCAGATGCTTCGGGGTTATAACAAAGGTGTGACATCCATCTTCTTATATACTAAATTGCTATCAGCTGGCAAGTGTTCTCTTCGCCGCGAGTCTGCTTTTCCGGTTCTGAAAACATCTATATTTATCCTCTTGACTATATTGCATCGGGAATGTTGGAATACTGCATCTTTTTCTTTTTTTTTTTTTTAGCATTCTATTCGGTTTATCTCTTTGGTGAAAACGATAAAGTATTCTATGTATCCCTGATTTTACTGATGTCTTTTTTTACGAGTTTTTTTTTTGGATATGTTCCCATTCTTTCCTTTCTGGCTGTCTCATTTCCAAGCAGCCAGTTTAATGGCGGTTTTAGGTAATGCCGGGAAATAAACTAAAAGCTGCAAATTTTACACAACTTAACTGGCCAGAGCGGCAATATGATATTCCCAATACTAGTACAGAGTAGTATCAGTTGGGTATAATTTGATTTGTTTATCCCCTTGCACTTACTAACCAGTCTATCCTAAAGACCCATGGATTTTGTAGGAATAGTATACATATCTATCTGCATCCGGTGCAAATAAAACACTTGCACAGCAAAAATGAGAAGGGGCAAGAAGCCGTGGGAAATGCAGCGCGTCCCATTGTGCCTCCATGAAAGCTCAGATTTACCGTCTGCCCCACACTACTTTCACCGTTGTCACAAATCGGAATCGGACTCCAAGCTCCCCAGAATCTCTGGTAGCATGTTTAGAGGCTGCCCTGGTTGTCAATTCCGCCGACCATCATATCGCTCCCCGCGAATCCGCCCTTCTCCCGCTCTCGACCCAGGCGCGCAACATACGCTCTACTCGTAGCGTTCCAGAGTGAGATGTACTTCTCCATGCAGGCTGTGAGACAGGTCTGGTCCTTTGACGAGAATGTGGAGCCGGGTGGTGAGGGGATGCATTTTTCGAAGCAGTTGCCGTTGATTTTCTGAATATCGGGGGATTTGTTAGTGATAAGGTGTTCCAATGAGAGATGGAAAGCTAGTTTATGCTGCGGAAGTTTTGCTTGGGGAAGGGGGTTTGATGGCTTGCCTCCATGAGTGTGCGTGCGTTGGTCATTGCCGATTCAGCTTGGAGTTGTTGCATAATGGCGGTTTTCATCTCGGAGGAAGTCGTGGACTGGCCGGATGACGAGTCCGAGGCGAAAGGGTTGGAGATGGCCATTGTCGGCGGCGGAGGTGTACGGCCGGCAGATTATAATACGGTTGATAGAATCTGAAGAATTTAGTTTGCAGCCTGGCAACCCAAGAGCTCTGTGGTTAAACAATCGAGTGTGACGACGTAAGGATGGTGGATAATAGAAGGCAGGCTGAAGATTTCCCGCTGAGCTTGCGATGTCACCGGGAGCCTCGACATGATTGGCTGGGACGGAGAGCTCTGGCGGCAGCGGATCAACATTTCTGCGATAAGCCTTACATAATCCCGCAAACCAAGCAAACAGTGCAAACATAGCTGGGAGAGCTGGATGACTAAGCAACCACCAGCTTTCGAATTGGACACCTTGAGGGATTGTCCCAAAAGGGCAACCTTCAGTGAGGGGGACAACTTGGTATGTCGTTGACTTCGCTGTGCTCATTGCCATTACTATTGTTCTCTACTTTATAAGAAGGGAAGAGAGCTACCTAGACTCGAATCTGTAGTCTGTAGCTCTCTGTATTCTTTGTTTCCTTCGCATCCGCTCCTTGATCTTCATTGTTAGCCACCGTTTTACGACAGAGGGCAGCGGTTGATACGCTGATGACTTGTTAACACGATACCCTCAAGCGCATTCATTCGATTTCCTTTGTGGTCAACGCAACTTATTTCTACGCTCTTAATATTCTTTTCTTCTCCTCTTCACATGCTTCGACGCCACATAATGCTTTCGCGGTTGTTTGCGACCCTGTTCTTATGGGCACTGGGGATCAGTGTGGTCGTTGCGAGCGATGAGCATACTGCCGACAATGGCGCTGATAGGAGGGTGCCGGTATGTGGCTGTAATCCTCTTGAACCAATTGCTTGCTGACTTTTCCTCTTGTTAGATGAAAGCATTTAGCATACAACCGGTGCGCTCGGCCTTAGATCTAGAACAATTCTCCGTGCCTATGGAACCCTGAGCGTCTAACGTGTGCCACTCGTACAGCCTTACCTAGACTCGGATATTCATCATCGCTGGTTTGACTTTGGAGGAGATGCGATCATTCGCACCGACCAGTGAGTTGTCCTCTGCACTCAACTTCGGGATTTCGAATTCCTACCCGAGGACCCTTACTTACTGATGCGAGTAGATATGTCCGTCTTACAGCTGATCGCCCATCTCAACGAGGCTGGCTTTGGTCGCGAGTGCCTTTAACTGCGACAAATTGGCAGGTACGCTGGGACTTTGCTTGGCTACTCCCGTGATTAAGTTAGCGTTTTCAGCCCAAAAGTTGACTCTTGCCCGCCTTGTACAGATTGAATTCGAATTCAAGATTCATGGCGATGGTAGCCTTCACGGAGACGGCTTTGCGCTCTGGCTTACCAAGCAGCGCGCAACTTCCGGTCCAGTCTTTGGATCGGCTGACAAGTTCGAGGGCCTGGGAATCTTTTTCGATACCTATAAGAATGGGCGAACAGGCGTTTCCTTTCCCCAGGTCATGGCCATGATGGGGGATGGCCAGACGGCCTATGATGCGGCGTATGATGGCAGAGCTAATGACATCGGTTCCTGCTCGGTAAGTTTACGGGAGGCAGTATCTCGGGGATTCGCCTGTTGACAGCAACTTTTTATTAGGCACGTGGGCTTCGAGGGGCTTCAATTCCCACAAAAGCTCGTCTTACTTACTTTCAGGACAAATATATTTCGCTGGATCTCCAATATAAGTCCGATCACACCTGGACCCCCTGTTTCAAAATTACTCCAAGCAACGAGGTATCTATTAAAATACCTTCTATTGCTTACCTAGGTTTTACGGCGGAAACCGGAGAGCTAAGCGATAACCACGATATCATAGAGATTAACACTTATTCTATGTATTCGCAACCTCAAGCTGCTCCCTCCAGTGACGGAAAGAAGGCCAAATCAAAGAGTACATTCGGAACTGGCGGGCAAGAGTCAGGAGGAAGCTGGTTTTGGACCTTGTTCAAACTTTTGATGTTCTTGGCTCTGATTGCGGGTGCCTATGTTGGTTGGACGGCATACAGAACCAGCCGACACGGCTCAAGGTTTTGAGCACGAGACCCAATTGGCAGTCTCTGCTATATGTGCCTCCTTTTGGTTTATATTCCATCTCAACTTTTGAGCGTTCCTAGACCCTTTGGTTAGGCCATCGTCCCTTTTGTATCTCCTCTTTCCCCGGTTTTTGTGAGCAATGTTAGTAGAGTGACAAGATTTTAGATGAGCGATGAATGAAAAGAAAACGTTTGAAATCTTGAATTTTAGTTCAACTGACAAAGACATAGCCCATTTACTACTGATTCCGGCGTGGTTACGCCCGATGAAACGAATAATTTTGGGAGCCGTGATCTAGTTGTCACTTTTCAGGATATAACCCATTATGCGGAGCAAGAATTTAATGCGATTGCTAGACTTGTCGTTCCTCGGTCAGTCTGTTGTTCGTATTGGATAAAACTTGATTTCGTCGCGATGCAGTGCGACTTAAGCCTCTTGAAGCAATATAAGTGCCTGTTCACGAGTGCATTCGAATTCTCATGGAACTAATTTTTGCCGAAAGGTCCCAGTTGCCGGTTCAAAACGGCCCTTTGATTATGAGGAAGATTAAAATACTGAATTATCAACACAGGGGTATCAATGGTCGCAATAAACCAAAATGACGTGCTAGGTGCGTTCGCTTCTTGAACGCTCTTCCACCCACAACTTATCCACGATCTGGAAAACCTCGGTCGCACTTTTGGTAAGCTGTTCCTCCATACCCAGGACTCCGTATCTATGTTTAATTTTATCAGGATGCCACCTCACGCGTTCGGTTTTCAGGGCTGTAAGCAGGTCGGGATACGGTGGGTTTGCAGATCCGGCGCCCTGGCTGGAGGTGCTATTGAACGGTGCATTGCGGAGAAAATATTCTACAGCCTGGGGAGTAATATCTCTCCGCTTTCCAGACTCAACTGGCCAGACGATAAGGTTTCGAAGATGCGGGGAGGGACCAGCGATCGTAGGTTCGGCGTTCTTCAAAAGCGCAGCCTCCTGTGCCATGGAGTCCAACTCTTTCCAGCTTTCCATGTATCGTCCCCATATATCAACCCACATATTAGTTTTCTTCTTCTTGTCTCGTCTCTCTCTTCCACGTCGCAAACTCTCATCCACCAATTTCTCAAATGCCTCACGATCCGTTTCTGGCCTCCTTTGTTCTCGGCTGCGCTTCCCCGATTCTTTCTCTGCTTCCCGAGCGCGCCGACGGCGCTCTCTTTCCTCAAAGACAGCCTGGTGGGTCTTTTCCCACATTCGCGCTCGAACATATGCAGCGTACTCCTCATCAGACATTCTTTCAAGCTTCCCACGCCCATCGGCCTTTTCGGGCCGTGGGTAGGTATGGATCGGCTGGCTAAACACACCTTCCCAATATGCCGCACCTTCATCATCTGCCATCGCATCGAAAAGAGATTCTCTGAACGCAGTATTGGGGGACAGCGGCGGGTCTGCGGTTTCTTCTTCAGAGCGGGAAGCCTTGTGGCGTTTGCTGCGATGACGACGGTGCCGGTCGCGGCGGGTCCGATGCCTTGAGTGCCTCTCATCACTATCTTTGTGCTTTCGAGAAGATTCGGATTTTAGCCGGATCCTACTCCCGCGGGCTGCACTGTAATCATCGTGGAGGTGCGCTGCGTTCTGGTTTCCACCGTTGGGTCCAGGTCCATCCAGCTTTTCACCGTCTAGCGAGTGCATTTTGAACCCAAAGGAGAAAATCCTCAGGATTTCCTAGCATTGTGGTGGATCTCAGTAGAAGGCTAGAAGTGAAGGTGCTGTGATTTCTGGGTTGTTAAGGACTGACAGCAACCTGCAACTTCCATTTTGTGACGTTGAGAAAGCATCCACATTAGTTAACAGATCACATGGCTAGTTAGTTAGTGTTCCTGATAAAGCTGAATTTATGTCTTATGATTGGGCAAATCACCTTAGGCTCTTACTCAGCCACTTGGTCTGCGCTGTCAGATGACCGGTCACCTGATTGTTCGTTCTGCAGCCCGTACTCCGTAAAGCCACCCAGTTTGCCATCGCTTCATAAGTCCGAGCTGCATTGCTGGGACCAACACTGATTATTAGTCGGCATATCCGCCATGGCGCTCGTCAGTTATTCGGACTCTGAAGCTTCAGACTCAGAATCTCACAAGCCGACTGTTGCGACCCCTTCGACGACGACCTCAAAGCCATTCCAACCACTGGTTGATCGAAGCAACCCACGCAAAATTCTCGTGAACCTGACAGACTCGAAACCGATTAACGATGAAGTCGAGGATTCTGCGCCATCAGAGGGCCCGGCGCGAAAGCGGGCCAGGATAGGTGGCGGTGGTTCTTTCGCCGGGTTTAATGCGATGCTTCCAGCGCCGAAACGCTCGCTTCCGGATAAGGATGGCAGGAAGCCGTCCACTGCTGCGGCGCCACGAAAGGTTTTCAGCCTCAAAACAAGCGCTACTCCAGGGTTTGCAAGGGAACCCGACATTTCTGAAGATAACGATAATGAGGATTATCCGGATGGCGATTTGCCAACGAAGAAAGTTGAACCAGTGGTGGAGAAGAAGGGCAATCCCATGATGTTTAAGCCGCTATCAGTTGCGCGAAACGCGAAGAAAAAACCAAAAGCGCCTCCGCAAAAGCTAACAAACGTTGAACTAGATGGTGACGCGTCACAAAAGGAGGCTAGGATACTAGAGCCGCCAAAACCGAAGCCCAAAGTGAACTTATTCGGGCTTTCGAGTAGCGAATCCGCTCCTCAGGCGACGGAGACTCTCTCGCAACAGGCGCAATACGAGCCACTAATATATGCACCTACCGCCGAAGCCACACTCACCCCATCCACGAATGCACTAGAGACACAGCAGCTAGGCTCGACTGCTCCCCCCGAGCAAGCCAACTCACTCGCAAACATAGCTAATGACTTGAATCTCTCTCAGTCAGAAATCCGTCAGCTCATGGGACGAAAAGGTCGCGCAGCTGCAGCCGACGCTAAGATCCTTACTTTCAATACTGACGAGGAGTATAAATCTAATTCGGCTTATCTAGCCTCGATGACTGAAGAAGAACTCGTCGCCCAGCAACGTAACCCTGTCCGCTCAATTGCCCCTGGCAAACATAGCTTGCAGCAGCTGGTAAACGCTGCAAGCAACCAGCGTGACGCATTCGAAGATAGTTTCGTTGCTGGAAAGAGGAATCGACAAGAGGCGGGCTCGAAATATGGGTGGTAGTCAGTGTGACTTTCGTTTTGAAAATGGACTATAGTTAAGAACGATACCAATACTATTACGGCGTCATGCAAGATATAACTTGGACTGTTTAGTATAAAGTGGTTTGTCCGAAGTGGATTTACATGGAATATTCGTGCCGTAGCTTTCACTTTTAGCATCGCCATTCCCTGCAAAATTACTGACCTGACAGGACAATTGCATTCAAGGGTCTTGCTAGCTCTTTTGCGCTTTCAATCCCATTTTCTTACGTTACTCCGTAAAACGGGCCATACGGAGTAATATATCGGTAGCGGAACTTCACAAGGTTGATGATCTTATCTTATCTATGCTAACGAGAATTTGTTATCTTATCTTATCTAATCTGGATGATCTTATCTGATTCAACGCAAACAACCCGATTCCAATCCTTCTATATTATACTCACAATGATACGTCCGTTCAGTAGCTTCTCTTAGATGTTTATTGGAATTCCCTCTATTACTAAAAGCTCATAAACATAGCATACGCCTTTTTAGGTATCCTATAAAACGCCATGACACAAGATCATAGAAATAGTATCGTACATGAAACCAAATTATTCGCCAACCTACATTGACACGTCGACCACCTCAGCAAACCACTGTTTCAACGCCAAAGACAAAATCGAAGGTAGCTCTTGAACATTCCTCACAATCAGATAATACGGAAATGGGAATCCTTCAAGATATCGCTTCATTCTCCACTTGCCTCCCCCAGCGCCAGACTCGTCTGCTTCAAAGGTAGCTTGGGTGAGGTTCATTATCGAACCGCTTTCCTCGTTGACTGCATCGACAATGATAAACACAATCATAATCCGCTCTTCTTGTGCTTGTCTAAGTAGCCGCCGAATATCGTCATGGTCTTCGCAGATACCATCCGAAATAATCAGCTGAAGCTGCCAGAGATCTCCGCCACTACTCGATGACCGCTTTGCTCTAGCGTCGCGGAACAGCGCCATCGATTCCTCCACGAGTCTCTTCATGTTTGTGCCGGTTTGCTTAAAACTAAATTGCTGGAACACCTGTGTGCCTGCCTCAGAAGAGAACGGCTTGCCAAACTCGTGCGCTACTCGAACGTGGTCCTCATTTCCGAAACTAACAATGCAAAGGTCACCAGCTTCAAGCATGCTAAGGCTTCTTGATACAAGCGCAAGGGTCTCGAAAGCAAGCTGACCGCTGGCGCTTTCAAGCATAGACTTACTGTCATCAACAGCCAGCATGATTTGGTAATTTCTTTTTGAGGGCACGGAGCGACGCATCCAGATTTTATCGCGTTTATACTGCGACGCGATGTACGGAATAATGCGTTTAATATTGAGGCGTTTTCCGGTTCTGAAATCCCCCCTTAACTTCGTGGCCATTGTTGGAGCAAGTATCAATCGCAATTGCTCTGTCAGAGATAGTGAAAGATCATGAGTAATTGACTCATAGTGGGACCAGAGCCTTCGTGCTTCATCCGGAGGAGTAAGAGGAGGGAGTTCAGATGTCAGGTGAATTGCCGAAAGATGGCGATCCATGTCATCTATATTTTCTTCTACCTCAAGTTCCCCGTTTTGCTCATTTAAAGCGGGCTCGTCGCGAGTATTAATTGTAGCAAGTGGCAGCGCTCCTTTCTGGTCTTGCTGGTGTGCCTGAGCAGTTATGTTGTCGAGTTGCATGAGATCTTCCAAAGCTGGGGTCTGATCCACAGTATCAACGTCACCGGCATCCAGGAGAATGTCTTCATCATCGGGATTCTCATTTGATTCGATCGCTTTACTTTGGTCGACGTTTCTCACCTGCTCTTCACTTGCCTGACCAAGTGCTTGTGCATCCGGAACATCCTCTTCATCGGCTAGATGTTCAAAATCCACTTCCTTCATGTTGATGTCGCGATCCTGATTTTCAGCATTTTGGTCCTGGGATGCTTCTTTGATTTTCTTTTGAGATCGATGCCATTGTTCTAAAATATCACCCAACTTCTTGAAGGCTTGAAGCTGAGGATCTTCAACAGCGTCCTCCGCTCGACCACCGGCCTGATTGCCAGAGCCTTCACCTTCTTCACCACCGTCTGCATTGCTGGCTTCGTTCTGATTAGCTTCCGTTTGATCTTTAGACGCTTGCTCGGTGACGGCCTCTCCGGATTGTCCCTTGTCATCGTTTTGTTCATTATCGAGACCTGCTGAAACCGCCTCACTGGGAGCTACTTCTGTCTGCCCTGGATCCTTGTCTGCCCTTTCTGCTGCCTTTACGTCTTTCTCATCATCTTCTCCAAGGGCATCAGTTGTGTCCTCTCCCTGCTCATCTTCGCGGAGAGTTTGTTGTTCCTCTGGGGAGTCATCCATGATTTCATCTTCCTGAGCCTGGTCCGGGGAGTCTGACGTATTGTCGTCCACTTCAGGTTCTTGCATGGCCATATCATCATCTGGAAAATCATCATCGAGACCATCGTCCAGATCTGAAGCGCCCTCCTTCTCTTGTTCATCAAGTTCCATATTATCTGGCAAGTCCAAAACTTCTTCTTCTTTCATGTTTGATTCAGTCACATCCATATCCTCACGGCCAATGGCCTCTGCTTCATTGTCGGGCGCCTCAGAACCTTCGTTGTCACTTGAAGCGTCCTGATCTTCCGTTTCCGCTGCATCACCATCTTTCGTCTCAGGGGCTGCTGCTTGCTCGTTTGTGTCGGATGACCCTTTGCCTTTTTCGTTTTCAGTATCTTTATGGTTGGGGTCATTTTCGCCATCCCAGAGTTTCTCATCCACTGCTTCTGTGTCCCATCCATTAACACTCCCAACTTCCTCATCCACGTCGTCGTTATCTTCCATTTCTGAACCGTCCTCGTCTTCATCGGTCTTCTCTTTCTGCTCAAAATCCTCCGTATCTGCTTCGAGCTCCTCATGATCCATGTTAACTGCATCATCTGCCGCTTCGATTTCGTCGTTTTCGCCTCTCTGCTCTGATTTCTGCTGCGCTAGGTCAGAAAGATCCTCATCATCTTGCACATCTTTACTAATGTCCTCAGCGCCTTCGCCCTCACCAAGGCCTGTCCCGCTTTCCAACTTCCCGCTCGGACCTTGTTCATTAGAAGCCTCTTGAGGGCTACAAAATCCTTCAGAAGCCACGCGTATAAATGAGCTAGAGAGAACATAACCCATTTTACAGACTTCACGGTGTAAATTTGCGTATTGGTGAACCATGTCCATACAGATAAATCGGTACTGATGCACTATTGGCAGAACAGAGCCTACAAGGGCTGCCGCTGTGTTCAAATCACTAGGCCTTTCGACTCGAACCAGTTTTACGGTATGTAATATAGACGAGATAGTATCTGTAATCTCGGCCATATGAAGTTCTTCGAGCGCTTTTGAAAGGGTACTGTCGCATTTCATCAACCAGCCCTGGTTTTCGGTAGAAGGAGGACAGGCTTGTAGACAGCTGTGAAGTCTTTGAAGCACTACAAACACCTTGTCAATGGCTGATAGAATTGAACTATCAAAGGCTTCAATGGGAACGGCAGAATTCTGGTCCTCCACCACCGTACGTTCTGATAAACTAACTTCTGTCCAAGGAAGGATTTGGTCCAAAGCGAAGGCCATGTTAGGGTGATCTTTGCTCAAGCGTACCACATCGTTTCGAACTTCTGTCAAAAGCTTCTGAGCCCGTGAGATTTGGTCGTCGTGGATACTCGAGGACAACCCTTCTGGAAGATTTAATAGGCTTTGCAGCTCAATTTGTGAGCGTTCTAGTTCACTCTTCTTCGAAGTCAACTCTTTAAGTACGTGCGACGAGTCAATCTCCGCGTATTGTGCGTGAATGCTCAAAATCGTAACACAAGTTTCGAGAAGCACCGAAAGCCATCTCAGAGCTCCTTGAAGAGCCTTGCGATCACTGGCCACTGTGATATTAACATTTAGACCCTGTTTGCCCAAGTGCCATACGCTATCCATATCTTGGACGATATTCGTGAGCGACTCAAGCGCATCGAATGCTGGATGCAAGGCTGCTCTTTGGGCTAGTGTTCGAGATAGGAGGCCTTCGACGAAGCCGGCGCTCCTTCCGGCTTCAACATTGCTCAAGTCTTCTGAGTAATCTCGAGCCGCCTGTCGTGCCTTCGGTACCAAATCCAGAAATCTATGGAAATAAGTGTTCGAGCTCTCCACTTGACTGAATCCTTCGAGAATCGGGAGATTTGGAGTGGCTGCTAGTATAGCCGGGGTCGACGTCTGCCTTTCCAATATATCAGTCCCGAGATTGGAACGAACTCCCATATGACGAAGCTCTCGTAATTTATCTGCATAGAATCTCCGTTTCTGAACTTTGAGATGTTGTACCTCATCTCTGTTTTCCTCAGTGAACACGCTAGGAGTTTTAGCCTTAAAATCTGCAATACTTTCAACAACGTCGCGCATATATGAATCCAACTCTAGTGAAATGCTAAAGTTGGAAAGAGACTTTTGGTACATGTTGCGCATGTTTTCTACAGTCGAGTCGGGATCTTTGAACCGAGTTGGCCTTGAGTTCCAGATAGAGGTGCATTCTCGACAGATGTTTAGAGCGGCTGAGAAGGCCACTTTCGGCTTATTAAGGGCAACCTTCACACCAGGTTGCGACTCGTAGGCGATTGCAGGAGTTCCGCTTGCGATGATACCATCCGAGAGTTGGGCCAAAAGCGCACGGTATTTTCGCACTACTTTGAACAATTTGCTATGAGAGCGTCGTGCGCTCTCTCGAAGCGCGGTGATATTGGTATCTTTCCAGCTTGCAAGGAGAACCTCTTGTTTCAGGTCATTTTCAAGAGTTTTGCGGCCATTCATCAGCTGCACTTCAAAAATTGGCACAAATGGTCTGTAGTGGTCGAGCAAATTCGCCAGGCTGGAAATAAGCTGACTCAAGGAAGGGAAATCGACAACATAAAGTCGTAAAAGCGAGTTGAATCTTTCCAGAAGCTGTAACCTAGAGGAGTATTGTCCAATTGGAGTTGCACAGAGGAATTGCTCTAGTGTCGATATAAGGTCGCGAATATGGTTACCCAAATCTTGACCCTCCCGCAATAACTGTAAGGGCGTCGCAACGATCACTTCATAGGCGACGAACCACCAAGCGTTGGCGTCCTGTTCACATTTTTCGGATTCAATATCCAACAAGCGAGCCCAGGTTGATAATTCAAGGCGCCTCCAGCTTATCAGCAAAGCGGTAAGCTCGTCATATAGGTCAGCTGCAGAATATTCTCTACTTGCAACTGTTTGCCATTCGTGGACATATCCATGCAGCTTTTCAGCCTTGGTCAGAAATTTAGCAACAGGTTCCTGGTGCTTGAATTGGTAAATCTCAGAGCAGCACGTAATGACATCTGCCAGAGTTGCATGCTCAGGCCAGGAGTCTTGGATTTTGAAGAATCGCCACCGGATCTTTCCAACCAGATCGGCAAGTTTCTTAGCTTCTGATAAATTAGGGTCCATATAGAAGTTGTAAGATCCAATAGGCGATGCATGGCTTTCCGTCTGGAGTGATAGCAAGACTGCGGGAAGCTGATATTGTGGTTCCGCGAAAGGCGCCGGTATGGCTTCGGGCAGAAGAGACGCTATCAGCTCGGTAGCATCCATAAGAAGTTCCCTAAGTTTCATTTCTTTAGTTTCCTGGCTGAAAAGACTCTTGAAGAGGTTGGATAGCTTTGACGCCACGCCTTTGTTATCAAATGTGGGTTGCGATTGTCTGCAATTTTCAGCTTCCGCATCAAACGTAGGGAACATGTGGAGCATTTCTTCCGCTTCCATCTCATCTTGAGCTTCAAGCGATCCTCGATAACGAAACAAAGCAGACTGTTCAGCTTCTTTTTCTTGGTTTTTATTCAACAATTCTTTCCATTGCATGTAGAGCTTTTGCAAAAGGGTTCGTAGGAGATCTCGATAATTAGAATCCTCGAGGGTTTCAGGATCCGTGTTTTGCGAAGCACCGATTAGTGACAAACAAAACAAATCTGTCTGTGTATTGTACTGCGTATTATGGTAAGATCCGATTGCTTGAAGCCCGGAATGTGTGATACGCGAATTTCCTAACAATGGGGTGACTCGACTAATATCCCGGATGAGCTTTTGTTGATCAGTCATCGACACCTGGCTATATCGAGAAAGGCTTATCCCCAAATCAAGCAATTGAAGAAAGCGGACAGCTAGTATGGTGATATCGTCGTATGCGCGATAGTTTCTGGTGAGTCGCGCGCATAATTGTCGGATATTCAACTGGATCAAATGAGGGTTTGCAGGCTCGATAGATTCTTGGCAGGAAGCGAAAATATCATCTGGATGTTTGCTGAGAATAGAAGTTATAATGTTCATGAATTCTCCTTGTAAAGCACTCAGTTGAGATGGCTTGGGCCGAGAAACCGGGGGCTGGGGTGGCTCCTGTCCCAGTCGCCGTATCTCGTCTTCCGCGGCCCGGATCCTTAGGCTCGTGCTTTGCCCGGAAAATCTAGTTTCAAAGGCTTTCATGCCTTTGATCTTCTGCCTTTTCTCCTGGATCCGCTGCTGATATCGTTCACATTCGACGGCAACCGCTAATGACGGATCAAAAGGCCGATCGGGAATGAAACTCCTAAGCAATGCTATTGCCACCCTTATCAATGCTTTTCCGTATGTCAGGTAAGGGTTCAATCCCTCATCTTCCATAACTGAATCTATGAAAAGATGAAGTATTGAGTTTGGCTCGGAACGCATCGCCTGTTTACAAGCCGCTTGTCCGTAAATCTGTAGTTCAATTGTGTTGATTTCCATATTGCTCGTAGCCTTCATTTTGGCGAAATTGTCAAGGGCGCCGATTGCCGCTTGAAAGGATTCATCTTTGAAATTGGCGCGGTGACAAATCAAATATTCCTTAACCAATTCCTTTAAGTGGCTTCTGAGCAAAGTGAATTGATCCTGCGCGATTTGGACGGTGCTTGAGCTCAAGGCTTTGGCAAGGATTCCCAACTCGGACTGAAGAAACTCCATTTGACCGAGGGATACATCTCCGATACGTTTCAGTTTTCGGATAAGTGAAAGGGATACGGTACCCTTCAATGCAAGGGCGTCATTGAGGGTTTGAAATCCGGAAAAGCGTGAAATATCCGAGAGGAGCCTTGGGACCGCGTTTCCAAATGGCGAGATATCATCCGACTTCGAGGGTCGGCCCGCGAGTAATCGGAGAGTTCCGTGGATAGGATCTTTAGTCCTTAACGTAGACCAGCCGGCTAAGTCAATATATTGACAAAGTGCTTCATATTCACTGGAAAAGTAGGGACTCCCTCGAGTGCCAACGTTGAGATTTCGGTCAGTCAGCTCATTTATGGCATGTGAAAGATCCTACAGGCTTGTGGTCAGCTAGAAGACCGCAAAGTTCCGAAGAAGTTAACATACTTTCACCAATTGACTACCGTCAGCACCAAGCAATAAAGAAGTTTGTGCCTGTGTAAGGGAATCACTTAGCTGGCTGAGCTCAGCAAACCCGGTTTTTGTCAGCCGAACGACTTCATCAAAGCGTGAGCAAAGATGTTCTAGCTCTATCATCTTCTGCAGATGACCAGGATCTGATGCTGTTGCTGGTCTCCACTCCTCCCATATTCTTTGCATGCTTTGCCCTGTATTAAGACGCCAGTTTGCTTGGAATGAGCTCAACAATTGAGACCAGTACTCAATTATGTATCGTGAGGCGGATTCATATTCGTCGGAAATAGACTGTCCAATTTTTATATAGGTCAAGAATACCGCGTCCTCGAAATTTGTTTGCGAACCAAGCCGAAAAATGTCATAGCAAAACTCAAGAATCGAAGTTGCAGCCCCAACAATATCGTCGTCTAAAAGGGTCACTTTCGTATCTCGGATCAGATTCGCAAGTGCTTGGCAAGAGTCGTTTAAGAAGACCGCAAGAAGTGACGTAGAATCCTTTCTATGAGAAGCTATTGCGCTAGTGGTCATCGAGCGCTCTAGGCGGTTCATTTCAGATGACTTCTTGCTATGCGCGAAGTTCTTCACGCGACATAACTCTTGGTATAAACGAGCAGTATCTAGTTGGATTTCCTGGAGTTTAGCAAGTCGCAAAAGTAGAGAGTAGTCTTCGGGGCTTAGAGGTGAGTGAAATCGACGTGGTTCGTTTATCAAGGGGTGAAGAGGCTATTGCGATGCCATTAGCTTAGGATATAACATATCAGGACGAAGGCATACCTCGATAACCTGTTGGTGTTTAAGAAATTGGTTACCATCCCCCAACCCCTTCAGGAGAATGTTTTCCGGCCAACCAATCAAAGAATTATTGGCGATTAGAGAATGATAACGAGCAAGCGCAGAAGGAATGGCTTCCATGGAATCTGTCCCCTGACCAGTCCATAATTGCATGAAGGCTCTCGGCGAATTATTGACTGACATGATATCTGCTGGTGACAGATGGTCCAATGCGGTTTTGAAAACAGTATCATTCACATCGCTACCCAACTTATGGCAATTCCTAAGGCGATATACGGCAGAGTCACAGGAATAGTTGACCAAGTGGGGCTCGGCTGGAGTCAACTCATCTTGTTGCAGGAAGAAGATTTCAACGGATCTATTTCGCATTGCGCGAGAAAGTTCGCCGTATCTGGGATCCATCGTGAGGAACAATCGAAATTGTGGGTGCGGTTTTACAACTTGAATTGTCCCGTCACCTGTTCGCTGTTCATTGATGATGAGATATCCATCCGGTTCCATGAGAGAGTTCAGCCTATCAAGAACTGTCGCATTGCAAAGGTTTGCGTTGTCTAGCACAACCCAATCACCCCGTTGTATCGCATGAATTAAAAGGCCTTCTGTCCATTCGAACCCGATATGATCGCTGTTATTTTCGGATACGAGCTGCTTACATCGGTCGTAAAGCTGCTTAAACCGTGAGTCCTGGTGGCTATTGGAGATGCTATATAGCGAACTAGCAACCTGTTCGGTTCGGAAGGAACTACCGCTGATAAGCTTGTAGAGCATCAATAGCTCAGGCGTGAGCCCACTAGACTCGCTCCTAGAATATGCCTGAAGTATATTATATTGAAGGAGGTTTGCTAGTTCGTCGAGAAAAATGGATAATTGACGATGATCATCCCGTTGTTCAAAGCCACCGATAAGATCCATGGCATCAGTATCAGCATTCAATGCCAGCTCAACGAGTTTGGCGCCGTTAAGCGCTGCAAGCTTTTGCAGGATTGCGGATTTACCGCAGCCAGAGGGACCAACGAGGACACTAGGCCACCGATTCTCCACGCATAGCATAAGCGACTCGAGGATAGGAAGGTCTCTCGGTATAATGGCCATATGTTCACCGTAAGTACGTTGCAATAACATATCACGTTGAAGCCTCCCAACCCCAATACAATAAGTATCTGCACTTAAGTTGTGAAAATAGCTCTTGGGCTCAGGAGCTAGACCAAACACCTTCTCATATAGCTTTGAGACTGAGCGTCTGTCCTCCAATGTTCGAAAGCGTTGGTTGAAGAGTATGTCGAGAAACTGAGACGGGTGGATCCGTAAATCGGATTGTTCCAATAATCTTAGCCATCGAGAAAGGTCCCGAAGGTTCACTTCCCAAGGGCCTCCAATCACTCCCAAACGGCGGTCACTGAGTAGCTGAATATTCAAGGCTGAAACAAATTCAACCATTAGACCCGCCTGCTCGGGGGGGACTTTAGGGGATAGACTTTTGCAAATAAGCTCCAAGTCGCTCTTCGTAAACGAGTCGGCGTAAACAACTGTAAACCGATTAACAAAAGATGCAGGGAGCCCCTTTCTGCCACCACCCTGATGATGAGGGTTTTGTGTTGCAAAGAGGACAAAATCCGAGTGCCGCTTAAACGTCTGGTCAAGCTCTGCGACATACACCTGCTGGCGGTGGTCCAGACAGGAGTTCAACCCCTCAAGAACAGACTGAGAAGCAAGGTTCATTTCATCCAGGAGGACCCAGCCGCCTTGCTGTAAGGCTTGTAAGAACGGTGCGTCGCTCCAAGCAAAATTCCCAATCCCGGCGCCTTCAACAGGCACATCAGATCCGAATAAGTCGGTCAGGTCGGTTTGTTCCGAAAGGTTGATCCGAGTTAGCGGCTTCCCCAGGACTCCGGCTAATGCTGCAACAAGTGTCGTTTTTCCTACACCAGGGCTTCCTTCAAGGAGAATTGGCTTGTTCGATTGAAGTCCTCTGGCAATCCTAAGAGTGTTAGACAACGTAGTAGGGGCGTTTAATGCAAAGCTAGGATCCGGTTGAGAACAAAAACTGATCTCGAGCGAGAATGGCCCTATCTTCAGTTGCTTTTCGTCAATAAATAGTTCAGTTTTCCGAAAATAAACCGAAACAGCGTCAAACGAAAACAGTTCTCCAAGCTTCTCTAAGCATCGCCGACGGTCCTTGTCAAGATCTCCAGACGCAACAGCGAGTATTGCGGAAGGATTGGCACCCAACGAATCAATATACACTAGGCATGCGCCGTGTACCATTGCCGAGACTGGTCCAAGGTCTTTGCAATCATTCACAAAGTTTACCCAAGCAAGCAGGTCACGAACTGAGATCGAAGCTGAAATTGAGCCCTGATACTGCTCTTTAAACCACTTTGCAAATTCCATCATTGGCATTGCTGCGCCGTAGAAACATTCGCGAAGTTTCACCTTTAATATAGGGAGAATATCATCTGCTTCCGACAATTGCGGAACCCATATTTCGGTAAGTCGGTTTCTCAAGGCGGCTGATAATTCTCTTTTGCCGTAATCACCACCAGGGTTCATTGTGGCCAGAAACTGAAACCCAGGGGCAGCAACCACGAGGGAGTCCACGGGGCCTTTTTCAGCAAGTAACAACGATCTGTGCGGTTCAAGTACACTATTTAAGCGTTCCAGAACTGAATCATCTGCAAGAGACAACTCATCAAGCAGGAAATGTTGTCCGTTTTTCATAGCTGAGACGAGGCTTCCATCGGACCATTCAAAGAGAGCGTTAATCCTGGTGGAATTACAACGTATCCGACTCAGAAGATTTTGGTCGCACTTCTCGAGTTGAACGGGAGATAAAGAAGTCAAGGCTGTGTTTAAATCCTCTAACGATGGTTCAATGAGATTTGGCATTGCGCTTAGACTTTGCAGAACTGAGGACATATCGGTAACAAGTTGCTCTCGGATCAAACCTCGATTCCTCAGAGGACGTTGTGCACCGATGAGATCCCCAGTTTCGAGATTAACGTGCGCATTGAGTATCGAAAGCTCTTTTCCACAAGCTTCTGCTATAGCTTGGCAAAGCTGCGTTTTGCCGCAGCCCGTTTCTCCCACAAGTAAGACGGGTTCATTGTGTTGGATCGCATTTGCAACAAGAAGGAAGAGTCTCCTCATTGCGCGCGTCCACACAATTCCGCTTGGAGGGTTCGCCGACAATTGGCGGAAACGGGTTTCCAAACTAGCGATGCTATATATAGACTCCTCGTCAATCTGAACGCCCATAACCTTTTCGATTACCTTCTTAACAGCGTGACGTTCATGCGAATTCCTAACGCGCTCAGCAAGGAGCATAAATCCATTGATAGCAAGTTGTTCACGATCGTCTGCACTTCTCGACGCCCACCTAAAAAGGTCGCGCAATGTAGCAAAACTATTTCGTTGTTCAAATAGCCTACTCGATTGTCGCAATATCGACAGCTGGCGATAAACAGATACTATCCTCGTGCAAAATGATGGCGCAATCTGCGACCGTTCCTTTAGAATAAATTCAAGTTCTTCTTCCGGAATGTCGTCAAAATGAAGTTCGAGGAATCGATTACGGAAAGCACGGGAAAGAATCTTTCTACCACCGTAAAGGCCAGCTGGATTCTGGGTAGCAAACAGCATGAAGTTGGGGTGCGGGCGCACAACCTCCTGGGTCTCCGGTAGAAAGAGTTCGCGATTGTCATCAAGAAGCCGATTCAGTGCCTCTAGAACGTCAGTCGGGGCAAGATTAAGCTCGTCAAGCACAATCCAATAACCATTTCTTAAGGCTTCCACAAGGACACCCTCCTGATATCGCAAAGAGCCGTCTTCTCCCGAAACGTATGAGCCCAAGTATTCCTGAAGATCAGTGTGTTCGTGGTTGTTAATTCTGACGAATTTATTTCCTGATATTTTCGCTAAGTATTCGACCATACTCGTTTTGCCGGACGACGTAGGACCCTGCAAGAGAACCGGAAATCGTCTTGTGGAGCCAGCTCTAACTAAATTCATCAGGTTCCTTTCGATGAATGGCGTAATTATATAATGTTGCTGTAGCTCGGGTTCGAAATTGCCTCTGCGCATCCAGTAATGCTTGAACTGGACATATCGCGACCCATCCCCTGGTTCCTTGGGAGTCTGGGAAAGCATAGATCTAGAATTACCATGTTTCCCAAAAAGATTTTTATCTATGCACGGCGCAACAACACGTTCAGATTCTTTTCCCAGTAAGGTTAAGAAACTCATGCAGAATCCTTCGTAAATGGCACGGCGAACGCCATAAATATGTGCCTGGTCAACGACATATAATAGTGTGCGCACCAAAGTTCGAATGCTAAAATGTGGTTTTTGGCCTGCCCCGTCGGTCAATTTGTTCTCGGCGTTTAGTTTCTTGATGTCAAGATAGAGGCTGGCTAGAGCTGCTGCGGCTGTCTGGTCTCGGTGCAGTAATGGGCCCAAGTACGTTTTGATTAGGGTCAAGAGGTCGTCCAAATCGCCATCAGGGGACTGGACATATAGCTCTGTAAACCTTGACCTCAGGCCCGGTGCGAGATCGCGCTTCCCAGCATCGGTGGCTGGGTTCATCGCGCCAAAAAGACGAAAATCAGGGTGTCCCGGAACGGAATCAACTTCACCAGCCTCAGAAAGCAGCACTGAAGGTTTTCCATCGCGGCCATGATTTAGCAAACTTGAAATGCTTTCCAGGGTTTCGGGTGAAGCAAGGTTAATTTCGTCTAGGAGAACCCATTCGCCGTCCCTCAAGGCTTTTACGATTTTCCCTTGTACGAAAGCGAAGGAGACTTTGGCGTCCCCGCGCGCAACATGCATCTCGAATTCACCGAGATCATTCGCAAAAGACTGCCATCTTGTTTTCAGAGTATCATACTTCGAGAAATCCAGTTTCCTTTTTTTGGCTGGCTGCTGCGAACCGGTTGCATCGCCTTCTGCAAGTGTCTCCTTGGGTTGTTGAAACAAATTAGATGCCATTTTCACAGCTTCGTTTAAAATGTTAAGTAAACGGGTCCAGTTCCCTGCAGTGACACTCTTTGCGACGGACAGTAGAAACTTCTGGTTCTTTTTGGCAGAAAAGGTAGCATCAAATAATGAGCGAAATTCGTCAACGAGTGGGATAGCAATAGAACGAATATTAACGGGTTTATATCCGCCGAGTAAGTCGGTAGTTTCACTTTGCTGGGAAAGATTGACGACAGTAAGGCGCTGATTTAGCAAAGTTGCTAGTCGTTGTATCACTGCAGTCTTTCCGATTCCGGTCTCGCCAACTAACAATACTGGCTCTGACATCTGTAGCGCCCCAGCAACTTGTTCCATCGTCCTTAACGAAGCCTTCGTTGATGCAAAGGCAGAGCCTTTCCCTGCAAATTGTTTCGATTTCTTGCCTGTTATCATCTTCAAGGAGGGACACAATTCTCGACCAATCAAGATTCCATCCTGTTCTTCTGAATATGCGGGAATGCGCTCGAACAAGCAAAATTGCATACGCTGGGGAGATATACGCAATTCTTCGGCAATCCCACTCGTCACTTTCGTCTTAAGAGACTCACTGGGTATGTACGATGCGAAACAATCAACAGCATCCAAATATATTTCATCATCCATCCGTTCAGGGATTGCCTCTCTGCCCGTAAGGATTCCTATTTTGCCGAGTCGTCGCTCAATCCGCCAACAAAATTTTAATAGATCACGCAAGCCCACATACCGCCCTTGGAGACTTCGAGAAACCGCCGAAGCCCGGAATATGCCAGTTATCCGATGATATAAACTGAGAAATGTATCAACGTATTGTGCTGTTGTCAGCAGCGGAAATTCATCTTCTATTATTTGCCTAACTTCCGCGGAAGGTAAGGCTTCAACTTGAACGCGGCGCCATAATCTGCTTCCAAGCATGGATCCCGATGGTGTCACTTCAGCTCCTTTTGCATTGATAGTCGACCTCATTGTAGCAATGACCCTAAAATCCTCCGCACAACGTATCCGTTCTTTCCTGCTTGGTATGACAAGCTCGCGATTTTTTATCAAGGGCAAGATAACGCTTAAAACTTCTGAAGGGGCTCGGTCCAAATCTTCAATCAACACCCATCTTCCCTCCTTTGCAGCTCGTGTCAGAGCGCCAGGTTGCCAGGCGAAACCGCCGGTTCTCGTCGATGTGGAGTATACACCGAGCAAACTTTTCAAGTCAGTTTGTTCATTCAAGTGTAAGGTAATCATAGTAGATTCTTGCGCCATCAGATCTGCGGCCTCGGTCACAAGAGATGTTTTCCCAACTCCCGGTTGGCCCACGAGTAGTAAGGGCTCAGGAGATAGAAGTGAAAGACCAACATTCCGAAGATTTTGCATAACCGTTGGAGTCTTTACCAGCACATGGCGGCTCGTGCGGCCACCTTGTCGTGTCTTTGGCACCAGAACACCACCGATGTTTGCGATATTGTTTGAACCTGGCAGACGTTGAATCCAGGCATCGAATATTGACTGATCACTCGTTTTCCTTTGGGTTTTCAGCTGGTCGTAAAGACCCTTCCATCTTTCCTCTTCCCAAAGGCTCAAAAATTTAAAATCGATGGTCTGACCTTCCCAGGGCCCATGAAGCGACTCCATCCCACAAAACCTTTTGAGCATCTCTTGCATGGCAGCATCGGCAGCATGCATATACAAGCAGAAACATCGGATACTTAAGTATCTCACAACCTTGTGAGGGTGAGAAAACAGCGCTTCTAGTTGAATCGGGGAGACAACCAAAGAAAACGTCTCCCTGTCGAAACTCAGCAAACGGAATAGGGATAAAAGTAATGTGATTGACATTTCATCGCTCATAGAAGGGGGGGCAAAATGCCGCGAAAGGGAGATTAGGGGCAATCTTCCATCCTGCCGCTGGAAGATAAAGCGCACGAGAGGCCGCAAATATTGCGCTAGCGGTAGAATTCTTGAAAATGCGGCGATGACCTGCACGGAGGAAATATGCGAGTCCAGATAAAGCCATTTAGCGGCAACGCTCACAAAGATGGGCTCGAATATAGTGAACAGTTTTGTCGTATAAGTCGGATTTAGGGATATATGTGATAGTTCATCAAGCGGATCTGATCCCGGAGTGGTGCGAAGTATTTGGACCAGCTCGTCCGGAAGTTGCTGCAAGATCCGTGGATCAGATAGAATTGTGGATTGTACAGTTTCCCCCTCCATCTTGTCAAAAGAGCGCCGTCAGCACGGCAACCTCACCTCCGTAATTGCAGAGTCGCAAGAATGTTCGATGCGCTCAGAATTTGGTCCTCAAAAATTTCCCTTTTGGGTTTAATTTCTGCCACTCCCGTCAAAGCTTATTCTGTGGCGGTGCCTCCAAGCTCCCGTTCACCGCCCTCACTAGCCACATCCATCACATCCCAAAAACGACACGCTACTCGAGTGATGTGCTCGATACTAAAAGATTTGGGCGTTTCCCCAGCTCCTGATGGCCAGTTGCATTGGTAGCCATAGCCCTGTCCGTAGTGGACAATGTCGATAAATGCGCCTGCATTCGGTGACCAGCCAGACCTCCCTGATGCGCAAGCAGCAGACCACGCGGAAAATGAACATGCTTCCAGGCATTCTCGACACAGTTCTAATGCTCTAGCGGAGCCGCTGAGTGAACCGTTCGTGTTTCCCGACAAAGCACCATTTCCCATTTGATATCTGACCTGTAATTGTAGGATCTCATTTAAGCGCAAGCAGAAAGCTCCAGTTCGGTTTGCCTTGTACAATCCCTTTTCCAGGGGTAACACCGCCGTCGATCAGACCCCTTCACGGCCAGAGTCGAGTCAAGGTGCCAGCGATGAAGTACTGCATGACATTCCTACAGCCAGCCCTCCTGGCTCCAAACACAACGGCGCGGAGCGAGTCAAAGCCGGGGGTCCACTGGACTGGTACGTTGAAGGCCCGGGCCGACGAGTAGGGTACGACAACCTTACAGCAATCGACTGGATCTTCGAATACACAAAGGAGCGCCAGCGAATACGGCATCTTCGCTCAAGCAGTAAAGGCATCCTTGGCCATGTGCGGCAGCTTCTAGATGCTAGTCATGTGTGGGCAGTCTTAATCGCCACTGGAGTGGTGGTAGGCGTTCTGGCAGCTTGTATAGACATTGCAAGCAACTGGCTTGGCGACATTAAGGTAGGCTACTGCAAAAGCGGGGAAGAAGGAGGCCGATTTTACCTGAACAAAAGCTTCTGCTGCTGGGGTTACGAAGGTTAGCCCGCGGAAATCATACTGGGACCAGCGGTTTGCCTGCATGCTGACATCGGACCAGATTTATCACAATGCAAGCATTGGATCCCTTGGGACAAAGCATTGCGCTTGAGCTCTCAGGGAGGAGGTTACGTTGTCGAATATATCTTTTTCATACTATATTCCGTGAGGCAACTCCACGCCCATGCTTTGACAGTGGACTAACAGTTGGCGAAGATACTATTCGCAGGAGTCGCAAGCTTCCTAGTTACATCTTATGCAATCCACGCAAAACATAGTGGAATTCCGGAGATTAAAACCGTACTCGGTGGTTTTGTCATCAAGCGCTTCATGGGGGTCTGGACTTTGATGATCAAGTCCCTAGGCCTAGTATGTAGCTACGCATTTGAATTGACTAAGACTTTCTAATGTGAGCGGTCTAGTGTCTCTCGGTTGCTTCTGGAATGTGGCTCGGAAAAGAAGGCCCATTGGTACATGTCGCGTGCTGCTGTGCGAACATCATCATGAAACCGCTGGATAGCCTGAACTTAAATGAGGGTAATCATATCCATCGGTGGTACACAAACCTATGCTGATTCAATTTGCAGCGAGAAAACGCGAGATCCTTTCCGCCGCCGCCGCGGCCGGAATTTCGGTGGCATTTGGGTCCCCCATCGGAGGAGTCTTGTTTAGTTTAGAGGTAGTTCGCGCACTCTTGGATCTACTTGCTATTACTAAACTGTTATTATAGCAACTTTCATACTATTTTCCGGACAAAACTATGTGGCAAAGTTTTGTTTGCGCCATGGTGGCCGCGGTAACCCTTCACGCTTTGGATCCCTTCCGAACGGGGAAGATAGTTCTTTACCAAGTCAAGCACTCTCAAGGCTTTCATCGCTTCGAGATATTCCCGTTTATCTTTCTTGGGATACTAGGTGGTCTTTATGGAGGCCTTTTCATTAAGTTGAACATGAAGGTAGCCAGATGGCGTAAGTCCCGCCGGGTCACATTCCCTGTGTTAGAGGTTCTTATCGTTGCGTTGATCACCGCAATTGTTAATTTCCCAAACATTTTCATGCGGATGCAATTATCGGAACTGGTCTACTACCTTTTCGTGGAGTGCAAGGAGATATCGGATAACCAACTTGGCCTTTGCAAATCCGGAGCGTCTTCCTTTGGTGTTGTAGGATTACTGCTGGCAGCCGCTGCCCTCGGGTTTCTCCTTGCCTCTATCACGTTTGGTCTTGACATCCCCGCCGGGATCATTCTTCCATCTCTGGCAATCGGCGCGCTCTATGGGCGTGCGATTGGGATTGTCTTTGACGTTTGGCAAAAATCACACCCGACGTTCTTCCTCTTCTCAAAATGTGAACCGGATGTACCGTGTATCACTCCTGGGATGTATGCAATCATCGGTGCAGCATCTGCGCTGGGCGGCGCCACGAGGATGACAGTTTCCATAGTTGTCATCATGTTCGAATTGACGGGCGCGCTTAACTATGTGATCCCCATTATGATAGCAGTCATGCTGTCAAAATGGTGCGGCGACACATTTGGCAAACGAGGGATTTATGAATCTTGGATACACCTAAACGAGTATCCATTCCTTGATCAAAAAGACGACACTCCTCCGCCGGATGTCCCCGTCAGCCAAGTAATGACCAACGTGAACGATTTGACCTTGATTACAGCCGTGGGGCATACCATTGAATCACTCACGAATCTTCTCAAAACCACATCATATCGCGGGTTCCCTGTTGTTTCAGACACTATTCGCCCTGTTCTGCTTGGCTATATCTCTCGTAACGAACTTTCTTATGCCTTGAAAACGGTCACATCACGAAACTCGCATAGTTTTACCCCTGAAACACAGGCATACTTCTCGCACCAACCGTTTGCCGACCCTCTTGAAACACTTGACCTCCGACCTTGGATGGATCAAACGCCGATTACTATGAGCAGTCGTGCCACTTTTCAAATTGTATTAGATATGTTTCAAAGACTGGGTTTACGATACGTTTTGTTCGTGAACAGGGGGGTTCTGGAAGGATTCTTAACGAAAAAGGATATATGGTATATCCTTGAGGGGGTTAGAAACAGGAGGAATGAGGGGCTGGGGGATGGTGTTTTACGGGAAGGCCATTCAGAAGAGGAACAGGGTTTGTTGGGGCCTTCTGATGACCAAGGAAGCGATTTCGGTCATTTTGAGAGACGGCCCTCGTTGTAGATTTTCTGTTTTACATGACGGTTTATGATTCCCATAGAATATTGTATTCTAGGTCGGTTCTAACGTTCGAATGTATCTCTACGTTCTGCACTTGATAATGTAGAGGGAATAGGTAGATTATGTAGCAAAGGATATACATTTTCGGGTATTGACAGAAACTCCTAAAATTCGTTGTCCCACGTTCTATAAGGTACAGATATGTCAACCCATTTCACCCAACTGAATTGAGTTGTAACACCGTTCATTTTGTCCCATTAACGCCTTGCGTCTTCACCTGTCCCAGCTGACTTGCAATAACCGTAGCTTGCCTAACGGCCTTGGAAATTTTACCTCTGACACCGTCTTCTTCAAGCACCATCAAGCCACCGATCGTACATCCACCAGGGGTGCTAACTTTCTCTCGGATGAGGGCAGGATGCTCTCCATGTTGAACCATGCTGGCTGTTCCACGTAAAACTTGTGCAGCCATCGCCTGAGCCTCTGCGCGCGGAAGTCCCATCGCCACGCCACCATCGGCGATGGCCTCAAGGACCAAAGCCGCAAACGCAGGACCGGAACCAGCGACGGAGGTGCTGGCGTCCATTTTAGCGGCGGGAAGGGTCACGACGCGGCCGATGCGTGAGAAGATCCAATTTACCAGGGATTCCCAGTGGGGAGGAAGGGGAGGGTTGCTCTCGCCGATAACAGTCATTGACTCTCGGACCATGGCGGCAGTGTTTGGCATGGCGCGTACAACGCGGCACTTATCGACGTCTGGAATGTCGGTGTCTTTGTAGAGGGTATCTTCAATCTGCTCAGCAGTGACTCCTGCAAGAATACTGACGAGCAATTTGCCCTTGAGGGCTTCTCGCATTCCAGGAACGCTCAGGACATCTTTGAGCATGAATGGTTTGCAGCCGAGGATGATGACATCGGCCTCCTGCACGCCACGGATATTCTCATTTTGCAAGATCGTGAGAGGGTAAGAGTATTGTCTGAGGGTCTTTTGAATACGAAGCGCAGATTCGGGGCGTCTCACGCACGCAATGAATCGAGAGGGAATTTGGTGTGGAGAGACTTCCTCAGGAGGCGTCGCAGTGCCACATCCAGGGAAAAAGCGTGAGTCAGTCCGTTTCGCCTCGGCCAGCGATGCGAACACGCCTGAGAGAATAGCAACTCCGAGAGTTCCTTATCAATCAAATACCAAGCATCAGTAGATTGTGATTCATGTTGCTCTGGTGTGCAATCGTCAATTGAACAGCAAACGCACCACATCCAAGAACAGTCAGAGTTGTTCCCGACCTCGGCGGAAGCCCGAGGCCTTCGATGTTGCTCGCCGCAGACATAATTGTCCGACGCGGGAGGGAGAGGGCGCTGGAAGTCGAAGATCTAATCAAGGCTGTCGGCCGTAAAGAAATGAATACGACAAGGGGCTAAGGAATAAGCATGGGTGAGAAGTGAAGTTGCTTTTTTTTTTTTTTGGTTGCAAGGGATGAAGGTTTTCCGAGCCTTTTAAGGATGAAAAAGGGAGCTTGCTATTTATGTCTCTTGAACGTCAAAACACATGCCCCGCAGTTCCACCTTTGCAATCAACATGCTTCTCAGATAAGTATCAGGATAATGAATATATTGCTCCTGCGAAACAGTCTACGATATTCTCGCTTCCAATTTTCATGATGGCGGACCCGTTTGAGGTCCGTATGCGTTTCACCTCCATGTTGCAACACATGAGTGCCGCCTTTACTTCATCGCAGAAGGCAGCCCATTATGCTCTCAAATATCGCGACATGGGGGAAGATCTACATTCCTGCATATTGGAACAGTTAGAAAAAGTGCATTCCCAATAGTCCTATATGACCGTTGCTTGACTAATGTTCCCAGTAGAATAATATGAACTGTCGAGCGAATATAATATACTTTGTCGAGCATCTCTGCGACATGGCTACTAAAGAAAATCACCTTGAATTCGTTCGGATGATACAGCGCGATATACTGCGAATCGTCGACGCCGTTGCGCCGGCAGACGGCTCCGGCGCTGCGAATGTCAAGCACGTTCGACGGGTGTTGAACGGGCTACAGTCGAAGGAAATTCTCGCTACGGAGACCGTGTCGGAAATAGATGCCTGCCTTCGCGAACGAGAAAGCTACCCGGCGCATTTCCTTGATTTAGAAATGGCGGAAGGCGATTCAGGTTTAGGGGATATAACGAAGCCAGAAGGAATATCTGTCGACAAGAGGCAGATTGAGCAGAGGATCGAAGAGGATCGAGAAAGAAATAAGCGACTACGTGAGAATATGTGGGCTGTTCCACCCAGTGATATGAAAGAGTTTGAGATGATGTGGGAAGATGTGAGCGATATTGGCGAAGACGATTATCTCCAAGCTGCCGAGGAGGCCGAGGAAAGAAGGAGGGCAGGGGAAGCTTCAGGTCTTGTGGATTAGCGGCCGACCTAGACAGTGCATTTCAGCGGCGTTTTCATCTGGGATACACGGTTCATTCATTGATGAGTTTTTGGCAATGGCAAACGGGGCTCCTTCGTGTAGGTTGGAGCAGGCGTTAGTTGGCGCCGCATTGGGGGAATAGAATGGTTTTGTTAACTAGGGATCTAGACATACATATAAGCACACCGGATCTACTACGTTTACAGCATCCAGGCGCTCACAAAAAGAAGATATCATTATCCCTTGCATCCTCTTCCCTCAATTGCAAGTACACGATCAGATAAGATAAGATCCGGCGCGCAACAACGATTATCCGCAACAGCCCGACTGGTCTCTATGTCGTTCCGTAGCCGCCAAACCTTATTTTAGCAGCAGAAAAAAAGGAAAGGGCGGTGGAGCTGCTCCTGCCCAAAGAGTCCAGTCCGAAAGTGGAGATAATTTTCATCGGTGGTCGCTGCTTCCCTATGTTTTCCCATCTGGTCACAGCTGCGCGGGGCCTCTTCACCAGTTCGACTTCATCGCAGCGTTCCAGTGAGCAGAACATAGAAGCACCCAATTCAGACCCGGAAATAATGGTTACCGCGACCAGACGCTCCATTCTCTCGCAGCCGGAAGACACTCCATCCAGGAATGGCTCGCCAGTCGCCAATGGGAAGAGGAAAAACAGTCTAGCGGCGACAGAGGCAGTCTTCGAGCCCACGCCGAAGCGACGGAGAGGCCCAAGCAAAGAGGACTCGGATTCTCAAGCAAGCACACCGCAGCCCGACGGAGTGCCCAAGAAACGGTATCAAGTGCTCAAGGCCGTGGAAATCAGAACTACAAGCCGCTCAGGAACCAGAGAATCGTCGATTGCCACACCTAGAGAGCCGGTAAATCCTGAAGAAATATCCCTCGCTTCGAGGCCGAAACCGAAAACCGCCCATTTACGCTTTGATAGCGAAGAACCGCAACCGGAACCTGTTGAAGGGCAGGAACCTGATCTGAAGCAAAAAGACGCGGAGCCTCAACAACAGATAGATGAAGATAGCGATGATGATGAAGCACCAGAGGCCGTGAGCAATACAAAGCAGCTGCAAGAATTGAAAGAGGCCGAACGTAAGAGAGAGGAAGCGACGCAAAGGTATAACGGAGCTCTTACTTCTTATTCGTGCTAAGATGCTAATATTTAAATCGGCAGACAAGAGCAGCTCAAAAAAGAAAAGCGACGAGAGCATGAAAAGCGCCTTAAACTCCAAGCAAAACCGAAACCCACTCCCCTTGTTCACCCGAGCAAACCAACCACCACCCCGAAACAGGAAGATATCCTTTCAGAAAGCTCAGCTACGCTTCAAGGTTCCGAAATCAGGGCACCTGACTATTCGTCTATCCTTCCCGCATCCCTTCCCAAATTTCTTCCTGATGAAATTCTACTTGCTGAGCCCTCTATCCGTCCGCCCACACCACCGAGAGAAACCGAAAAGCAACCTGCTGCGTTAAGACCATCAGGAAATAAACTTCGATTCTTAGACACAATTGAAAAGAAACCGAAGGATGTGAAACTTGGCTCAATGTCCGTCCGCGTCCTTGATGGCACCGGAAGCGCAGCCAGCAAAAACAGTTTTCATAACGCTCTTGCTCCCAAAGCGTCAAAAAATAGCCGCATTGTTCGGGAAAATTGGATGGCTGGCAATCGGAAAGGAAGCGCGGCCGTCAGTGGGAGCTTAAGGAGGACCACAGGGGGTTCATCGGGCTTCTTGAGGAAATAAAAGCTATCGACTCGATATCCCAGTTATAATCATTGCTGTATTACACGGTCCCTGTAGCTCCAGAGTTTTTGTGGAGAGTATACTTGCGATACAGCCTATATTCAACCTCATGATAGCTGGAAAATTAGGATTGTGGAAGGTGTTAATCCTTGCTGTTAGATATCTCGCAGATTCTGAGATGAATGCCAAATTCAAATTAGTTACCAAACCAAAGTCCTATTGTATCAGCGAAACGTCTGATTCTCCAGGCCATCCATCTGATATCATCTCATATCATCTTCATTTGGGACGTTGAATGCCAAGACCAGACCAGCTGCTTAGTCATTTCAAGTATTGTACCTAGTCCCGAAGAGGACTAGTGGCTGCAGATACGGCGCACGTGCGAAGCTTAAAGCTCCTGTGGAGACTCGCATTCTCACCCGGTCTGCAGGCAAAAGAAAGCCATCTTGGTTTTGGCCCAGAGAGCTTCGACATCCCATATCATATTCCCGACGCACCGCAGACTCATGACTACGATACAACGCCTGTTTGCGCATTCGACTTCCATACAATCGCCACCATGACTTCCATTCCCTCAGAAACCTCCCCTCTGCTCCAACATGGCCATCCGGGGTTCCAACATACGTCAGAGAACGAACTACGGCCCAGCAAGACGGTCACGTTTGGCCCGACTCCCAGATCCAGCCCGTCAACAAGCAATTCAACTCGAGCGAACATACTACGGCCCTTGCATTCCGCTACTCCGTCAATACAAAGCAGCTCAGGGCAGCCAGTCCTCGCAGCACTCAACAGCAAACTTCGCCGAAGACACAGCCAGGGTCCATCATCCAGCTTGACGCTGAACCCAGCCCCCAAAATCGGACCCCAGCGGACGACAAAAACCACCCAGAAACTCAAGCTTCTGCCGAATCCCGTTACGGGAGAGGAGGACGAAGGTATCGACGACGCAGTTCCGAGGGATGTGTACTCGCAGATAAAACGGATAAAGGAACCAACCGCAAGACGAGATGCGGCAAGACTAGGCAAAGCAGATCGAGATCGCCTGCCGCGAGTGACGGCGTATTGCACGGCCAATTCGTATAGGTTGGAAAGTGTCATGAAGTTTCTAAAATCGCGGGCCTCGACTAGGGGAACGAATCCCAAACTTTTCGACGAATGTGTCTATTCCCCGTTCAACTATGACCATGAAGCGAAAATGAAATATATTCAAGACCAGTCCAGCATGCAGGAGCCCATACAACAATTACCGTTGCTGTCCGATCCTACCCAGCGACGATTTTCCGACAGCGAACTCGAGGTTGAAGGCCACAGAGAAGAGCAACGGGAGCAACTTCTCAGTATGGAGCATAACGACACCAACGGCCGATTGTCGCCGCCTCGTCTTTCCGAAGAGCATCACGCCCAGTCATCACCCCAGCTCCTCGTCGCTACCTCATCAGACCACGAGCCCCCTGACCTGAACACCACAATTCGCAGCCCGGAAGTTTTTCTCTTCGACTACGGCACCGTCGTGATCTGGGGCATGACCCCGAGCCAGGAAACCCGTTTTCTGAACGAAGTAGCCAAATTCGCCGAATCCGTTCTCAGCGCTGAGGACACCCAGGTCGAGAATTTCAATTTTTATTACACACGCGACTATCAAGCCCGTATATATAACGACTTCATATCGCTCCGTGACTCCCGAAGCTATATGACCAAGCTTGCCATTTCCCACGCCCTCTCTCAGTCCGTAAAAACGTCGCTTTTTGAGGACCTTGTTTCCGAGACCATCGCCGCGACGTCTCCCCTTCCCGCTCAGATCGCTCAGACCGGGAGTGTGAACCTCACTCGCCGTCAGATAAACATGCAGATCGGAGAGCTTTTCATTCTGCGAATAAATATTCACCTCCAGGGGTCGGTACTGGACAGCCCGGAGCTTATGTGGGCGGAGCCGCAGCTGGATCCGATTTACCAAGCCGTGCGGAGTTATCTGGAGATGGATCCACGGGTTGAGTTGTTGACTGAGCGTTTGGACGTCATTGCTGACCTGCTTGCCGTCCTGAAAGACCAGTTGAGTCATCGGCACGGGGAGTATCTGGAGTGGATTGGTGAGTAGAAAAAAAATCCAGAATCAATTGCTATTTTCTTACTTTCAAAAAGACTCTCTTGTATTGACGCTTGACGGGTTTTAGTTATCGTTTTAATTGCGGCAGAGATCGTCATCGCTGGGATCAACATCGTCGTTGACCTTTACGCCGGCATCGATTAGGACTCTTCGGCAGTCCTTGAAACGAGTGTTTCATGGAATTGTTAATAGTCTGGCCTTTTTGTCTTGCAATGCATTTCATCGAAATTCCCTTTTTTTCTCAAGGTACCTAGCATCTAGTCCTACTTCTCGCTTGTATTTTGCAATGCATGTCGGTGCCGAGGATGGAGTCTGAATGTTAGCCTTTTGTGTCGAATTGTGATCTTTCAGCATGAGCGTGCCAGGGTACCTTGATCTTTTTTTCGAGTCTGGATATATAATTAGCCCTAGGTGCAATGGGATGGAAGACAGATAGCGCCGGATTGCGACTATAGAGCTCTCATTCGAATGGAGCTTTTTAACTTTTTCATAATTGTTCTGAAAATAACTGCAGTCCCTCGACGAGCTATTCCTGTCAAGGTCAAAGATGAGGCGGGGATAGAAAAAAAAAAGGGTTAAGTGCACGGGTACTCCGTAGTTGCCGTAGTGTTCCACGGATTTAATATTGAGGTCTCGATGTGAAACTTCTGTGCTAAGCGACATGAAATACTCGAAACAAGAACATAATCAAGGCCCAGCCGACGGCCACCGCTTTCACTTTAGAACGGAGTTAAAACCGCCAATGTATCAGATCAAGGATTCGAACATGATGCGCAAGGAATGCAGCAATGCGAGAAAGAACTGAAAGTTGGGGATTATTACAAAGCCATATTGTGGGAATAAACAGTGAAGAAAACACGACAATCATCCCGGGTTAAAAGTACAATTCCTTTCGTAAACATTCATATCGATGCTGGAGCTTTGGTGAAACACAAAAAACTCGATTCCGCGATTGATCTATTCCATGCAACCGAACCCCGGCCCGAAGACGCTCAACGTACTCCCTAGTGAATATAGAATTGGGGAGGAAATAGACGTGAAGAAAGGGCAACGGCGGACAATATCGTGGCAACGTGATAGACGGCGTGAAGAATACACGTTAACGGGCAAAACCAAGTCGAGGAGGAATCGTCACAAGCCAGTTCTTTTTCCGAGACGGTCACCGTATTCACGTTTCTCTTCAGGATTCAAATCTTCCCAGTGTTCGATAACAGCGCGATCAATATCTTCGTCGGTCACTTGAGGCCCGCGCATGCGGTAAACGACGCTAGCTATCTTGCTTCTGTTTCGATTAGTGAAATCCTCAAATGCGGAAACATAACGATGCTGCTCCTGGGCCGATGCAATTGGAGTAGAACTGCTGCCAATATAGTGGTTGCGCGAATCGCTAGCCGAATCAAGGGGTGAAGTAGCAAGTCCAGCTGATCGATCCACGTCCATGGCCGTTGAAGCAACCGGGTTGGAGGTAATATGAGTCAAAAAAGGGTTCTGTGAGGAGAGTCCGGGCTGGTGATATGCAGTCGCAGGGGTGTGTGGCACAGGAGCAGGCATAAGGGTGGGAAGGGAAGAGCTAACAGAGTCGGCATTGTTGTCCTCCGCTCCATGAGTCTTAGCATGGTCTTCAGTCTTGCGATTCTTCTTGCTGCGAACGGGACGATCCTCAGGCTAAGAAAATCAAGAAAATGTGAGAAAGCGATGTGCCAACGGCGCGGGGGATTGGGGCCGTAACATACAGTCGGAGGTTTATCATCTTCACTCCCAACACTTTCGTCATCCAGATATTCGTCTTCATCATGGACGCGCTTCGAGCCCGAAGGGCGTTCCAATAGACCCTCATCATGATCGTCAAGAACAGAACCAGCCTGGTCCATAGCAGCCATCGCACGAGCACGCATTTCAGGGTTAGGCCCGTTCTCATCTATCATTCCAGTAAGAAGGCCCAAGCGTTCAAGAAGAATACAACTCTCGAGTCGCATCTTTTGCACATATCTACGGCCCCGTTCGTTTCTAATTCGCAACATGTCATTGTGGGCCTCGATTTCCTGAAGTCGCTTCTTCAGGTCGATGCATTTCTGCTTGTAAGCGGCCTCAATGCTTGGTGGGTTTGGCGGCAGGGCGCTCGAAGTGTTGTTGGGCTCCTGCGGCGGAGCATCGCGCTCGGGAGCCTCCATATCGCTGGCTTCCTGGAGGGATGTGTTAGTGCTTAAAATATGGAATTGACGCCCACATAAGCCAATAAACAAGAATTGATAAGGTGTTTACCTGGCCTTGGGAGTTGTGTTGATTTTGGCCTAGATGGAGGGGCACACAATCAACAGTTAGCACCTTAGGAAAGGCCAAGTGAGAGATCTCACAGCAAGCCAGAAGAGCCCAGATGCTGCTCTAAGGGTAAGGTCTGCTTGGGTTTCCATATTCACACTTACCAGGTGCTTTAGAGAAGAAATATCGGTTCCAAAGATGTGCTGGGAACTTTAGGGAGATCTTTGGACGCGTTGAGGATTGAGGATGCTGTTCAGCTTTCTCCGAGCTTGGGCGTTTGGCCATTCTGCCGGCCTGAGCAACAACTTATGTAAGATCGTGAAGAACGGAACAACAATGTACCGAAGGCGGTGAGAATATGTAACAGGTCTTGGCATTTAGTCACGTGATTTATTGCTCGTCGCTTATATAAGACACAGCCACAAGCTACCAGCCACAAGCGGCATCAAGGACAAGCATCATGCATGCTCCCTTACGCATCCCTAAGCGATGCTCCATCTCGTTTCCCAATACTTTACTCCGTACATGGAATATGACTCGCTGAAATATGTGTGGCTTACAACTATATACCAGTCATCCTAGATACATCTCCAGCGGCAAATCGTGGTAGATCTGGTAATCCAGTTCATTACTCCACTCCAGAATGAAGCATTTGACCAGAGCAGCAACATCCATCGGGCTGAGAGCAGGAGAATCCTGCCCCGGTTGAGACCTCCAGAAAGTGGTTTCATCCAGTGCTGCAGTCGCTCCATTCCACAGGGCCGTCGCTATATCTGTCACGATTCTCGTAATGTCCCCCGCATTTCCGCTGCCCGCCCTGACAGCACTAGCAGCCATGTCTGCCATTGGACCTCGAACAAACTGATCGTCCCATCCCCGAGCAGCCAGTCTCTCGGGCCAGGTAGCGACCGTATACCGAAGTGATTCCGCCAACCGATCTCGATTCCGATCCATCCGCTCCTTGGCAAACGCAACGAGGATATCACGGAGCCCACGATGGATGGACCACGAAAGAGGAGACCATGGGAGGCAATCCAGAGCTTTGTCGAGAGCGGCTGCTTCCGTCTCAGGGACATATAAAATAACGTCGGGGTTACCGCTTTCCTTGCTTGGTAGGCGAAGTACGACCATGTCTTCTGATCCCTCAGGTTCGTTCTCCAGCCGTTTCATGAACAGAAAGTCTATGTCGTGTACTTCACCGCCCATAATATGGTAAAGGTGCCTGCTGCCATGTGCACCGCCATATCCCCGAACGTGGTATTGCAGAATCCAAATACCGGCCGCTTTCCGCCCAGGAAATGCGCATTTAAAAAAGGTAGGGGCCGGAGCGTCCACCACGCCAGCCAGCATTTGTATGCATTTATCTACCCTTCTCTCAAATGTCGGAGGGTATACATCTTTGGAAAGCCCATGCGAATCGTGGGGAGCAAAGTGCACGACTGCGGCATCCCCAAGTGGCCAATCCACGTGCCATTGCCCGCAATAGGATGCGTATGCGGCTCGGAAACCAGCAGCACCACTATGTCGGAATACCGGCCGAGCATTGGTGATGCAAAATGCGGCGATCAGGGTCCTGCGCGAGATGTTCACGCAGGTGTGCAATTTGTGTTTTATCAAAGGACGAAGGGGGAGATCGTTCCATGGATCGTTGGAAATAGCCGCCGGCGACTCGCTTTTGATTGTCACTATTTGGCCACGTTTTTCAGCGTCCTCAGTGAAGGGCGTGCTCAAAAGTGGCTTCGTTTGCTGGCCAGGAATAATCGGAGACGGGAGAATGACCGCCAGTAGTACAGCCCACGCAGCCTTACCGCTTGGTTGTCTGCGTGGAAGACGAGTGACATATACTACCTTCCTGCCACAGAATCCCTGTGGGAAACTTGCGGCGACAATAGGGCCCACGGGCGGTGGTTTTATAATCCGATACCAGGGGATATGGGACTGTCGTAACATCCATCTGCCCAACTGCCGCTCGTCTCGCAAGGAATGGAAAGGGTCTGTCTCATCGATGAATGATCCGAATTGGGTTACGATGGAACCCAAACCGATCACTGTGGCAGCTAGTGAAAGCCAGCTCGCGACGGTCTGGGAAATATCCATTTTGTAAAGTCGTTTTCCTGTTCGAAAAATGATAGAAGGAAGTCGATGGGTGTTGCAGCCAGGCGAACAGCCCGCTAACCAGCCGCCCAATCGTTGGGTTGGCGGGTGTGCCAGGAAGGTCTTGAGTCTCGCAAATAAGTTACAGAGGAGGTTTTGCAAAATGATTGCGTTTTCTTTAGCGGCACAAAGTAAAAGATTATCATAGCTTAGCATCTGTTCTACTCCGTATTTGGAATCTGTTGGGCAACAGATTGGCACAGAAAGCCATCATGCATGTTGGCAAGCAAATCGAATCCGTTGGCCAACAGCCTCAACGTCTCTCGTGAACTACCCAGCCAGGATCTTGCTAAACACAAACACCAAAAACGCAAAGCCTCCCGCCACGAGAATCAGCTGAACCGTGAACATCACTGGTGATTCCGCCCAATTTGCTCGCTGAGTTTCGCCACCCGGTTCATACACCGGGGCGTGGAATGTCTGATAATGAGCCTGCTCGTGGCCCCATGGGAGGCCGCACGGATCGAGGCCGGTTGGCGGGTCATGGATGGGGGCCGGGTCCTGAGCGGGAGACCAAAAGTTAGAAAAAGTGCCTGAGCGAGCGCGGGAATTGGGGGGGCCGGGCGAGGATCATTTTTGGGGAACGGGCCGGGATTTCAACGGGCAATCTTCATAGGCAGGCTTTGGGTTCGACCAAGCACCGGCAAGGCTGCTGGAGAGATTCTTCACTTACATGTGCGCCATCTGTCATGGTGCTGAGGGGAGGAAGTTTCCCGGCGCCCTTGGTTCAGGTTTGCGCGCGGCCGTCGTTGGGTCCAGGTTTCTTTTGGTCGGGGTGTCGTCCGGGTTGTATCCAGCCTCATGCATGCGGATGCTTCTTGAAGGATCCCCGTTTCGATAGGCTCGTTAATAAGGTGTTGAGCAGGGTCGGTTGACCCTTCGCCGGATTTCCTGTGTAGAACTGCTGATTCGACAACACACGGCCCAGCCACCCTGTAAATATATATGTCTTTTGGTCACGCCCAGAGACGCTGGACGAGCTTGCGAGGTTCCCCGTCCATCCATAACAATCTACACGAACCGACAAACTCGATGGTTGGCTGCTTATCCCTGCACTTACAATTGGCGTGTTCTGTCAATAAATCATCAGGAAAAATCCTGTTCAGCCCTGGTGGTCTAAGCGGGGAAGAGAAATGAAACTTGGTATTATTGTGATTGAAAAGGAAGAATAGCGTCTGCAACTATATACATGAATCGCATACTATAGTATTATCTAGATAGTAGGGTGGAAACATAGATGTAGAAGCTCTCGCGCCAGTTCCGAAAACATACGTTCGAAATCCCGTAGCTCACCAGTCAACAATGGGTATAAAATCGAATCACTCGCTATATGTTGCCGGCGATTAAGCTTGCTAACCTGCTGACTTTCAAAATTGACATACTAACAAAAGAATCAAAGCGCCCTGTGCTTATCGATTACTTTCGTTGCTTATGTCTTGCATTTCCAGGTCGTGAAGTTCGTAGGATATCGGGGAAGAGACAGTTCCTACATTGCTGCTGGTCGCGTCAACGGTGGTGATTGTGGAATGGGCAGCCGAGAAACTACTCTGTCCTAGTGTTGAAGTCGGGCTCACAGAGCCCGTGTGATACGTTTCGGCATAATCATCCTCTGGCGGAGAAAATGACCAGACCTGGATCATCTTGTTAAAAGGGTGCAAATGAAAGTGAAAGTGGGCCGAATGCATTCGAACTCACCTCCATAAGCGTTCGCCCATCACGAGTTGCGAGAATGACTGCTTTTTCCTCCTCAAAAGCTACCCGCCAAACGGCTTCGGCGGGTTGGCTAAGCTCACGTACCAATTGACCACTCGCAAGATCCCAGATCTTCACGCGGCCATCGCTTCCACCACTTACGACCCGGTTAGCATCAAATTGCAAGCTGGTAATGCTGTTATCATGTGCAGCTAGGCGATGAATGGCCGTCATGCGCTGCAGAGACCAGATGCGGATAGATCCGTCAGAGCCACCGGTCACCAGCGTATCCCCTCGCATTTGTAGTTGACCGACCAGGGACGTATGGCCTTGTAAAACTGCATGGCACTGTCCAGAGTGAGGATCCCAAATTCTCACACTAGTATCCAAGCTGCCGGTGGCGACCCGTTGCCCATCAAAAGCAACAGCATAAATTTGGCTGAAATGTCCGCTTAGCGTTCTTAGGCAGCGAGCTTCCGATATGCTCCAGACTTTTGCAGTAGTGTCGTAACTACCTGACACCACTAGATCTCCGTGGATCTCTAGACATCTAACACTGGCCTGATGGCCAATCAAGACATTTTTACATACTCCCGCCGCTAAATCCCATATTCGCAATGTGGTGTCTCGGGAACCGGATATGGCTGTATCTCGATCCGACATTTTTAGGCACCGTACGGTCGATGTGTGACCGCGAAGCTTATGTATGCTTGCACTATAGTAATGAAATGTATTAGCGAAGTAGACACTGCAACGGGGTCGTTGACATATTACCCGGTAGACATATCCCATACACGAACATCTCGATCGCAGCCACCACTGACCAGCAGATCATCCCATGGCACCATGGCCCAAACTCCCATAACATGACCGTTCAAAGTTTTTTGATGCTCGCCCTCGGTGTCGAAAATATGAATTTTTGCATTGTCCAGCGCAACGACAATATATTTCGGTGTCATATGAAGACTAGTGACTACTCCCTGATCTGGAGTGATGTACTTCGTTTTAAGGTGGCCGCCTTTCTTCCAGGCTGCCTCCACCATATATCGCTGCTTGAAGTGGGAACGGTACGAGGTGGTTTTGGTGCGTAGTCTTCGGATTCGCGGCCTGTCATAGGTATCAATCGACGACGCCACGACTGAAGTATTGCCGCTTAACGGGTCGTGCACCGATCCATAGGCACTTTGTAACTCTTGTAAGTCTCTATTAAAATTAGAATTAAATCCAAAGGTTGAGGAGGAGGGCGAGTATTGTTCAAATGGTGCTTCGTAGTCTTCCGATATTCGTCTATAGGAATGTTTATCGCATAGGATCTTCCAGGTCAGATCATCGTTCAACAGATCGTACCATCGCCTCGAAACTTGAGATGCCCTTGCAAGCGTCTTGGGATCATCGATGAACGCGAGAATCTACGCATGTTCAGATTAACCACATTACAAAATAGGCAGAGTCACCAAGACTTGCTTACCCTCAAACACAGCTCGTTTGGGAGCATCTCGAAAGGGTCCTTCCTCAACTTTGGGCCAACAAGCTGGTGCACAAACCCAAGCAGCTGCTTATCACATAGGTTCAGAAGCTCTGTTAAGAACCGCTGCCGCTCCGACCGCCCCAATAAGCTAAAATGCGATATCGCCTCGCGGAAGGATATGTCTTCATCTTCTAATGCGGTCTCCCAGCTTGGGGCCCGTTGCTGGGGCGTTGGGCTTGGTGCCGGGGTGGGCGGGGATGTCGGGGCGGAGGGAAGGAGGTTGTGGAGGAGCGGGAGGGATTTGGTCGGCGTGGAGTGGTGTTTCGAGCGGCACGAGGAGCGCATGATGGCGGGAAAGTCGCTGGGACGCGGCTGGTGCGATCGGGGGATGGGACTGCGCCTGTCTTCAAGGGCGTCTATGGCGGAATTCGTACGTCGATGACCCGAACTCGGTCGGGCTCGACCAGGACCATGTGATTCAGAATATGCGTATCGTTGAACCTCTGTCGCGACAAAGCATTTGGATACTTTGTTCCAAGTCTTGATGGGATTTATAGATATTTATCTTCAGCTCGGGGCGGTGTTGAGAAAACGACGGTGGGCACAGTAGTGACTGTCGGTGACTGGGGGCCCTATTTCGCCTCCTGATCAATCAGCTGGTTGAGCTTTGGTCAAAGAGGGCTGTTTGGCCGTTCAAACGACCAATCCTTCCAACGACTGTGGTATGCAGGCCGATATTGGATGAAGCTGGATGAGAGACTGCTGGATTTCTTGTGGGAAAGGGTTTTTTCAACGCAGAGAATGGCCACACAGGGCTTGGTGGTGCATGGGCCAGCTGCAATTGGGAGGCGACCTGCTGCAGCACCACGATTGGGGAGGGGGTGAGTTTAGCAGTAAAACATCAAACAGCCGGCCAGACGGCTAGAATATCAAGTCGAAAATGTTGTTCACAATGCGACCAGTTCCTGCAAAGGACGGCTGTATTTTTGTGATCTGCAGAAACAGGTCACTTGACGGCGGATTGTATGTCTCATGATGCGCAAATTCCTCAAGACGTCCCTTTGTGTGTAACACTGTTTGAGCTTCAAGGGACTTTGTAAGAGAACTATTGATACCTTCTTGGTTCATCCTCGCGAAGCCCCGAAGATCCCAACAAGAGCTGATATACAGACCAACGGAGGCTGAATTTTTATGCAATACTATTCATATACAGGGTTACCTAGTTAACGCAGCTATGATGCAATGGAGGACGGTTCCGACAAAGCTTCAACACCTGAAGATTCCTAAGGAACAGATAAGATCATCAATATCCACAACTTCTGTCGATTCTAAGGAGTAACCCTTTTTTTCTCCTACGCCCTTTGGTACTATACAATGTCTAGAGAGGCAAAAACTCCTGGGCTGGCACCGCCATAGTTGAGCTGCGGGCCGCGACCTTGATGATATTCAATCATGCATGGCCGATCTGCAAGAACAGAGGGATGATCATTCCAATGATGGACGCAACTAGGTCTCGAATGGATCTTTTGGGATGTGATGATTCTCTCCCTTCATTGTACCCATTTACTGGGCCCTCCCGTCTTGATCCCTCCGTGATATTCTCCTGCATAGTGTGCATGGCAACATATCTGACGATAACCATTAGCATTGGCTGTTAAAAATGGGCTGTACATCTCGCTGAGCCTTCACTTACAGAAACGTGCCTGCAGAAAACAGGAGTAGCATCCCGGTCCTCCACCGGGTAGCCTGTTCGTCGCTCTCATGGCCTGCCAGAATGGTATGGGCAACGAGCCATGTTACAATGGCTCCAGCAGGTGCAGCCAGGCTAAAGACCAATAGATGACCCCTGGCCGCTCGAACAGATAATCCTTGCTTCAACAGAACAGAAGTCAAGCCAAAAGACGCCGGCGCCTTGTGAACCATAATAGCGAGGAAAATGATGAAGCTAAGACTCGTATTTGACGACGAAGCGCCGAGGGCGATTCCATCGGTTGCTGCGTGTATTACCAGCCCTGTGGTGGTTGCGAAGCTCTGGGATTGCCTTGCTCCGTTCCCAAAATCGAATATTCCTCCCCCACTGCCCACTCCTCCTCCTCGAGACGGAGAGGCTGCTCGGCCAAGGCCGGATCCAAGGTTGTCCAAAGATATGTGGTACGGGCGGTTTTGCTGTTTAGACGATGATGCCGCGTACTGGGGCAATTGGTCCACCAGGTACATCAAGAGAAAACCGCTTATCAGCCCCACACCAATCCAAGCATGGGGAGAGCTTTCTTCCTTTTTCTCCTTGGGCGCTTGCTCAGTGGTTCTTTCGTGTTCGTGCTCGTTTTTATCTCCATCTGAACCCTGTTTTCCTGTGTCACTGGGCTTATCGTTGGGTTCTTTCACTGCGGGAGGAGGTCCTGGCACCGCATGGCTACCATCTACTTCGGCACGGGGTAGTAATTGTGGCAGAGGTGAGTGATTCCACCGTACATCGATTGCGTGCGTGATGGCATCTCTTCGATGAACGTGACTATGCGAAGCTCCACTTGAGCTATACAGCGTTTCTACGCCCTCCGGTACAATGACAATGAGAGACGTGCCGACCAAAACGCCCATTCCAAGCGCCGATATCAGTCGGAGCTGTGAAGAGGAGAGCGTAAAGGAAAGTGGGAGCGAGCCGACCACGAAGGACCTGCAAACACAGTCATACGGCCACGATTAGTACCAGTGCAAAACGACGGAAATGAGACCAGGCTCAGAAGCACTAACGCGACTGCCATTAGGGTGCTCAAGACGAGCAATGTAAAGAGACCACCCATGATTCGCGGTGTTGCTTTGGATCCGTAACTGTCAAATGCCAAACTGCGGTCATTCCATCGCGAGGCTTCTTGGTACGTCGCGCGGGCCCCGTTCGTCTGTTAGGTCAGCCGGCATGAAGACGCTCGTGTGGGTTTCTCCTCTCGGATCGAAGACAGCAGTCGTCGTGCTCTCGCCGGCGTTCGATGCGAGACTGTGAGGACCTTTGCGGAATCCCTAAAATGGCCTTTCCAGTGCCAAGCCTTGGCCCGTTCGTTTTAGGTTTGGCCCGCCAAAGCTAGGGCCACGTGATGGCCATCCCTGAATTGGAAAGACCGTGACATGAACTTCAATTCTCATAGCTATATCCTACTCGACGTGCATCCAGAAGAACAAGACATTTACATATGCAATTACAGAACAATCAAAACCGAAGCAGAGTACGGAGTATATACCCAGTTCACGCAACCTTCAGAGCTTCCACATGGACAATGTCGTCCTTGAACTGGGATCCACTATCGCACGCTTCACGGTATTCGCGGATGAGGACGTCTGCAGGCGCTGCGTTGGCAACATAGTCCTGAATTGCTCGCACCGGGAAGAGGAAGTGCAAGCCACAGTAGACCGAAGCACTAATTGCAAATCCAGCCAGGAAGCAAATCTGGTACAGATGGACGAGGCCTTCTGGCACCGTGATGTTCTCATTGACTCCAGCAATAAATCCCGGAAGAGACGGCACGGTGCCGCAAACCCACTGGGATCACGGAATGGTCAGATAGACGGTCCCCAAGGCTGTTTTCCAGGAAATAAGAGTCAACTTACAGCGATCACAGCACGCCAATCGACCCCCAGTGTGCACCAATAAATGCTGCTGCTATTCCCAACAAAGAGGTCTTCAATTTTGATTTTGCGCTTATTGACAACGAACCACGAAGAGATCATCAAGCCAGTCATCGGCCCTAGGAACACTGCGTAACTGCTGAGGACGCTAAGGAAAATAGTGGCAGTCGACACCAATTTCCACGGGTTACAGGCGACGGACAAGGCAACGGTCAGGTACGCGCCACGGCGAATATTGATGTACTTTGGGAACGTTGCCGCCAAGTCGAATCCTGCAGCGCAACAAAAAAAGCGGATTAGTAGGTGCTACAGAATAGCCATGTGAGGAAAGCCTTTTACCTCCTGAGAGCGCGTTGCCGGGCACGTTCACACCCATTTGAGATATAATAAGCGCTAGACCAGAAAAGAATGCGGCCGCCCGGGAACGGGGACCTCCGTGCTCGATGATAGCGAGGAACAAGTCCGGAAGATTCCACAAAGGTTCGCCGTAACGATTCTGCGTGGCAGCAGTAACCAAAATACCGATGACGGAGCATACGATCGCGCAAATTGGAAAACTGAATGTTTGGCCGATAATGGCATGTCTAGGGCGGCAAGCAAACCTAGCATAGTCATTTTGATTAAGGATACCCGCAGCAATGCCACCGATTGTGCTAATAATCCCAAAAGCAACGGTCCAGCCCATTTGACCCCCTTCAACATTTGGGCCGCTCGTAATTGTGCTTCCGAATCCGTCGGGTCCCATGGTGGCTAGAGCCCAGATCAGGAGGACAAACTCGAAGACGAGGATAACGGAAGACGAGAGGTGGAAAAAGAGCCGTAGCTTGTGTGGTCGAATGTAAACGACCGGAAGCGAGAGCACCATGAAGATAATATATGATGCAAACTGCGCAGTGGTGATGCCGGTGGACGCCGCCATGGTGTTGGGGATACGGTCTTCAAGAGAAGGCCAAATCGCAGTGAGGCAGACATACACGCACTGGCCCCCAACATAGGCTTGGAATCCGAACCTAGGGTACAGTCATTCTTAGAACTCACGATTGAATCAAAACGGGCAGACTTCTTACCAGACTAGAATTTATGCGAGTTAGAACAAGCGTATATATACAGGGCGGAAAAGAATGACTGGGACTCACCAAGAGACAATAGAATTCTATTCCAGATGACAAACTGGCTCCCATACAACCCCCAGACATAGCGGTTCACCACGGGAAAGCCGATATGATAATATGCGCCCGGGAGGGAATTCAAAACGACAAAGGCTGTAGCTAAACCGTTGCCGACAACGATTGCAATGATGGCTTGCCACCATGACAAACCGAGAGCAACAAGAGAGCTTCCCGTCATATACGTGGAAATGTTGGAGTTGACCAAGATCCAGTAGTTCGTAAAGGTCCAGGTCGTCCATGTTCGCCTTTCGGCCTCAATGGGCTTGATGTCGTTGTTGACCCATCGGTTCGGGAGGGTGCCTCCTTCATGGTCAACTTCAAGCTTCTTCAGGAGAGCTGCGGCCATCATGCCTCGGCTTTGCAAATGGGAAATTAGCAAGAATGAATGACTTTCGAAAACAGTTCGTCAGGGAGCGAGGCATTGCAGTTTATATGTACTCCGTACTGGAGCTCGACTGATCAGCCACCCCGTTGCGCTTAGGGATCGGTTTATACCGGGGGTGGCTTCCGAGGCGTCTTTCCCCCAGCCTGAATTGAATGCCCGGTCTTCCACACTAAACCTGAGTTGTCTGGCGCTGTTCTTGCGAATATTCCAAATTGGGCCAGACGCCGGGAGACCCTTGCTGCGCTGCAAGCGACCTGCCGTTTCCCGTGGCCATGGCGCAGAAAAAGCACTTATATCCGTCCCGAAATGCTCAGGACGGCAAATTCCCTTTTGTCTTTTGCGGAGGTCGCTAGTCTGAACGTTAAGCTTATCGCGACCATGGATGGAGCGCGTTTCGACGCCGCAAGCACCAACAGCTCGTTCGCCGCTCTGAGCCTTGGAACACGAAATCCCTGCCAGCTGATTTTGCTCTGTGGGGGAGCACCGGGTCCTGTCGGGCTTGTCGACCGCCCATTGGCGCCCACAGCATGACACTTGCTGCCCACGCGAGAAAAGGGGAAACAAGACATGAATTGTGGACGAACGTGACTGACTCCAGCTGTTGCCACCACTCGCTTGGGTCAACGGACCTCGTGGGACTGGGAGACTCGAAGAGCTTGATTCGGCCTTTGGATCATTCCGATGGGCCAGCATGGCCGACGAACGCAGAGGGAAGAAATGAGGACCCATCGCTCGAATCCGACGCTGGACCCCTCCCAGTCAACTATATATAATTGCGCAAAACCACGTCAGAGGCCAAGGAATGCGTTCTCACCGGACCTTTGCTGTGGTGGACTTTATTGAGATCTTTTCTGGAAACGGACTTGAACAGAGTAAGTGAACAAGGGCCCTGGTTTCCACCGACGCGGGGTTTGGATGATCCTAACATTCTTATATAGTCTGTTCTTGAATTCCGGTTGTGCTATTTGTTTTGAGGCGCCTGCACTAGCATATTATTGAGGATTACTTCAATCGAAGATGTACCGTATTGGCGTTGACGTTGGTGGCACGAACACCGATGCAGCCATCTTGGATATCACAGCATCCGAGAAGCAGTCTCGGGGTGTTTTGGCGTCTAGTAAAACTTCCACCACGCCAGATGTCACAAGCGGTATCAAATCCGTGATAGAGAATGTTCTGCAAAAGTCTGCGGTTGACACCAAGGATATCCTCAGCGTTGCGATTGGTACTACGCACTTTGTCAATGCAGTGGTCGAAGCAGACGCACGGAGGCTCAGCAAAGTTGCCGTGATCAGATTATGCGGGCCATTCACTCGCCAGGTAATTCGAGGTTTTAGCTTCTTAGTATGACTTTACAACGTTGGCTAACTGATTGTTAGATCCCTCCATTTACTGATTTTCCGCCCGCATTAACAAAGATCATGCGTGGCCCTATATTCTACTTGGATGGCGGTAGGTAACTCCGCCTCTAGTTCTAAAAAAGCCGTGTATTGACGAAATACCCTTCTACTTAGGCCTCGAGATTGACGGGCGTCAAATTAAGCCTTTGAACCCGGAGCAAATCAAGCAAGCCGTAGCTAGCATCCGTGAAGCGGGTATTACCATGGTCGCAATTGTCGGGGTATTCTCCCCACTAGATCATAGCGGCATTCATGAGGAAACGTGCAAGAAAATGATGCTCGAACTGGACCCTTCACTTTCTATTGTCTGTTCGCATTCAATTGGCGGCGTCGGTCTTCTGGAACGCGAAAACGCTACGATATTGAATGCTTCCATTCTCAACCTAGCCAAAAAGACAGTCCGTGCCTTTTGCAAAGCTATGTCTGATCTTCACCTCTCATGTGAGCTGTATCTTACGCAAAACGATGGCACATTAACCGATGCGGTGACTGCGTCTGAATTCCCTATCAAGACCTTTGCCAGTGGTCCTACCAATAGTATGACCGGCGCAGCTTTCTTGGCTGGACTCGATAGGCAAGAGACTAAGACATCTAATGAGCGTCAAGTCCTCGTCATTGATGTTGGAGGCACCACCTCCGATGTTTGCGCACTGCTTCCATCAGGATTTCCCCGCCAAGCATCGAACTTTGTTGAAGTTGGTGGAGTAAGGACAGCATTCTCGATGCCAGAAGTACTGTCTGTTGGGCTCGGTGGAGGCAGCATCATTCGGCATGACAAGAATACAGGCCATGTGAGTGTTGGACCGGATTCGGTGGGCCACTATCTTACAAGCAAAGCACTGGTATTCGGAGGCGATGTCATGACAACAACCGACATTGTGGTTGCAACAGGGTCCCACAGCATTGGCGATTCGTCTAAAGCTGCGACAATCCCCAAAGCAATTGTGGACGAAGCCCGAAAAGGCATCAAGAAAATCTTGGAGCGTGCAGTTGATGGCATGAAGGTGTCTGCGCTTCCTGTTACTGTCCTCCTCGTTGGCGGCGGCTCAATCATCTACATGGATACACTTGAGGGGGTTGAGGAGTGCATTATCCCCCCTCATCACGACTCCGCAAATGCAGTTGGCGCTGCGATCGCAAAAGTTGCAGGAACCGTTGATTTAATTGAAATCTTGGCGGATCGCAGTGAGAAGGAGGTGGTGAAGAAGGCCGAACAGGCCGCAATAGATGCGGCGGTTGCACGAGGTGCTGACCGGAGCGACGTTAAGATTGCTGAAGTCGAGAAACTTCCTCTTCAATATGTGTCAAACAAGGCTACAAGAATTTTGGTTAAGGCGGTTGGAAAACTTAGGATTCCAGACCCAACGGCAGTAAATAAGGGTAACTTGAACCTTTTTGCAAACGAAGACATTGAAGTCAGCGAGGAACAACCGAAAGCCGCAGCCGCGGAAGATACAGCCGTCTCTGCGGTGAAGCATTCCATACATATTGATATCCCATCCTATAAACCCGATGTTCGGAACGGTGTTTGGTATGTCAGTCCTGTTGACCTCGAGTTCATTGCGTCTGGAACCGGCGTGTTGGGCACAGGCGGTGGTGGCCCTTCTTATCTTCAATATCTTGTTGCGCTTGAGACGCTGAAAGGAAGTCCCCCTGGCAAGATGCGCGTGATCTCACCCAAGAAGTTAGCCGACTCCGATGTATGTGTTTTTGCATCTTGGTATGGAGCTCCAAGCGTATCTGGGGAGCGTATCCCTGCCGGATCAGAGTTACCGAAAGCCGTTGAGATGTCTGTCAAAGTGTCGGGTCACACACATTTCGAGGCTATCATCGCAGACGAAATTGGCGGTGGGAATGGCATGACGCCCTTCCCGACTGGAGTGCATTATGATATCCCAGTGCTCGATGGTGATTTGATGGGGCGTGCTTATCCCACCATGGAACACGGTACGTCGGGATGCCGACCCTTTGACATTTCCAACTGCTAACAGTATTCTTTAAGGAACTCCTTATGTGTATGGCAACAGTATCACCCCATGCATATTGGCTGACGCGCAAGGAAACGTCTCTGTCATTATGGTGAGAGGCATGTCGGGATAGAAGCTGGTCATTTGCTAACAGGTATTTCTTTACAGGATGCCGTCAGCAATGCTAAGGTTGAGAATATGCTGCGAGCTGTCTGCATCGAATTGGGTCTCAACACTGCCGTTGCTGCAACCCCACTGCCTGGCCCTGCAATCAAGAAATACGCAGTGCCAAACACGGTCTCTCAAGCATGGTACTTGGGCAGAGCGGTTCATATGGCTCGCCGTTCAAAGTCGAGTGTGACCAAGGCAATCGTAAGTTGACAAACGATATCAGTAGCGATTCAACTTTAAACTCACTCTTTGATCGTTAGTTTGATACGACGCCCGGAAAGCTGCTTTACGTTGGAAAAATCATTGATGTTCGCCGAGACGTCAGCCGCGGGTATACCATGGGCCACTGCGTCATCGCGCCGCTCTCCAGGGATGAAATAGAACAGCAACCTTCGAACGATGCCGCAAACTCACCGTCAGTGGCCGACGACCGGGAAATCATTTTACCGTTCCAGAATGAATTCCTATACGCTGCCTACGTGAATGATCCAGAGAACCCTGAAGACCTAGCCAAACAGGAGGTCATCTGCACAGTTCCAGATTTGATTTCAGTCCTCGGCCAAGATGGAGAAGCGATTGGATCACAAGAGTTGCGGTATGGGCTGAAGGTTAGCGTGATTGCTATGCCTGCGCATCCGCTATGGACTAGTGATGAGCGTGGGCTCCGTGTTGGAGGACCTGCGGGCTTTGGCTTGGACATGGAATGGAAGACTGTCGGGCAATATGAGGAGCCGCGGAGTGTGATTGACGATTATAATGTTGATGTCTAATAGACAGCTCACCCGTGAGCAAAATATCTAGAACCGCCATAGAACGCGAAGCATGCAAGAAGCGTGCAATCGACATAGATTAGCATTGTTTAACCGCTACCTAGTTATATAGGAAACAAAATGGGAAATTAGGTAATGGGTCTAGGTTTTGCGCTAAACCACACCAGGCTAGCTGCAGTCTGAAAACACACCAAACCCGAAGCAGTCTAGCGTCATGGAGCTTATCTGAACGCCATCTGCGACGTGATTTGAAGTCGCGCTGGAGGAGCATTCAAGTCAACTGCGAGCACAAGTGAGCCTGGCTATCAATTCACAGCTATCAGATAAAGCAACGCAACCGGCTGCAATGGACGATCAAGCTTCGTGTAAGTGCTCCTAAGCGACTATTCACTGAGGAATTTCCTGACAATAGCAATCAGGGACTTGTAGCTCCAATGACGCCGTTCAAGTCTCGATCGTCCAGCCGAACAATGACGGCAAGCTCAGCACGCTTTCGACATTCTACCCCGAGTTCACGTACCCGATTTTTGGCGACAATGAAACGGTATTCGGGTACAAAGGATTGATGATCCAAATTCGATTTGCGGCGCATGATTTGAGATCGAATGTTCGCATTTCATATGACGAGAAGTTCAAGCCGGTTAAAGATGTCGCAGCGGTGGATCTGAATAAGACATTGAAACCATTTCTGCCTGAAGGTATGATAGTTGATTGTACACAATCGACACCAAAGAGTACCTGCGATTCAAAAAGCTAAGCGCGTCATCTAAACAGAATCATTTACTCCGCTCAAAGACTTTGAGCGATCTTTGGTAAATGACGAATCCGCAAAAGATTTTAAACCGCCAGGGAAACTTGTTCATAGCTACACCAGGGGCAATCGAAACTATGAGGTATGGGCGGGCTCACTGGTAGATCCAGACATCCAGGAGCTACTAGAGCGAATCCAGATCTTCGTGTCTCTTTTCATCGAAGGCGGGACTCTGATCGAGACTAATGATTTTGAATGGACGTTGCAAAGATGGACAGTTTATTTTGTGTTAGTTCTTACAGACGACAATTCTGGATGTTGTTGCACCTGGAAGCTAACTGCATTGTTAGATATGAAAAATTGTCTGAACCCCCCGCGCCAGATGCCTCCGTCTACTCGTTCGTAGGATATGCCACAACATACAGGTGGTATTTCTTCAACAAAACTAGCGAAAAACACCAGGTTTCCAGCGGACCTTTCCCCTATCCAACCACACTGAATATGGCCGAACTACCGTCACGGCTTCGCATTTCCCAATTTCTCATCCTCAAACCCCACCAATTATCGGGCCATGGCACGCAACTTTATCAAACGATCCATCGCGCAGCTCGTGAAGACCCTACAGTCTATGAACTTACAGTCGAAGACCCGAATGAGGCCTTTGATGCCCTCCGTGACACCAATGACTACCATCTGCTCGAACCCATTTTCGGACAACACAATATCACAATCAACCCAGATCCAATACCTGCAAAACAAGGCCGTCCTCGTCACCCCCGCTCCGTCCCAACGTCCCTGCTTATCCCAACGGATACATTGCGCAAGTTGCGCATCGAGTACAAGATTGCGCCCACCCAGTTCGCCCACTTAGTAGAAATGTACCTCCTCAGCCTTATCCCCATGTCTCACCGTGGCTCTCACAACGTGAACTTGGCACGACTCCGTATCCAAAAGTCTCGTGCTTCGAACGAGCACGACCGACGATACTACTGGTGGCGCATGCTTGTTAAGCAGCGGCTGTACAAGCGTCATCGCGACATGCTGATTCAAGTTGAGCCGGCCGAACGTGTGGAAAAACTGGAAGAGACACTGCATAACGTGGAAGAGGGATATGAAAATTTACTCAAAGCTTTCGAGATGAAAGTGCCCCGGGATGACACGGAAGGCGCGACGCCTATTGTGGATCAGCAACAGATTCAAGTTGAAGACCGAGAGACACGTGTAGGGGATTCCCTCGTCAAAGAGAGAACAAAGAGAAAGTTGGTGGTCATGGAGGATGAGGATGGGGACGACGACCCTTCAGCCGCTGCTAATAGTGCAGAAGGCGGGGGTGAAGGGGATGCCAATGCCCCCTTCAAAAAGACCAAGGTGTAATTGTGCCAAAGGATGTGTACGCTGCTTGAGCCTATAGCACTAGGGATGTTACAATATGAATTCTGATTATTCCCTTAAGATGGAGAACTGTTCACGAGCTCAAAACTCGCGCAAGGGGAAGCCTTGAGCCGAGTCTAGCTAAGAGGCGACCTAAATTGCTACAAACTCGGGACAAGAATGCCATGATTACATGCTGAGGTTATACAGGACCCTCACCACGCAGGTCAGTGTAGGGTATTATTTGTCGACAAAGTCTCACGGGCTGCCGGGCGCACGGGTCGTTTTCTAATAGAGCAAACATGCGCAATAGTCAGTGAGCCGTGCCAAGTCAGTCACCCTGAAGAACGCCACCAGAAACTCCCCAGCAGTCGGAGCTCCGAAGCTGCAAGGGACGCGCAAGGGGGTTTTACAGGGGGACACATCGCGAGACGAGGTCCAGAGAAAGCTCGGATGGCTTCTGTGAGATTTTGGCTCTGAAAGTTATGTTCATATAACCTTGCTCTTGCAAGCGTCATTATAAATACAAAAAAACTGTTTAAATTAATTTCGACAAGTTGAAGATGGGTATGTGAATCCTGGGGAAATCAAAAAAAGGAAAGAAAGAAAAAAAAAAGGAAATAAGGACGCTGGATGTATCAAAAAGATAATCTTCCTCCCCTCTGTTTCCGTTTGATCATCACTCATACCGGGAAAAGCTCCCCGGACGTCTTTTCATCCCCTACGTGGTAAAGCCTACCCGAGACCTTTTGCGGAGGGTCACTGGTAATAAGGTGGTTGCGGCTTTGGCGCCGAAGCCTCCATCTCAATGGGCGCAGCCACTTCAGCATCGGCGAGCTCATGATGTCCAGAGCTCTGCGGACTAGATCCTTTCGCCTCGTAATACCCGTGGCCTGACGCAATCACTGGCCGACTATCTTCCAGCGGCATGTGAGCTGGGGACCGGTTGCGGCGACGGCCGATCCAGAACCCTAGCGCGCCGATGAGTGCGCATGCAGCGATGGGGCCAACCACAGCTCCGGCAATCCAGGCCTTGTTTGAGTCATCATCTGCGTCGGGTTCAGATGGAGGAGGCGTAGCGGTGGCGGAGGGAAGGGATGTCACTGTGGCGCCGGAGGTGGCCGTGGGAAGAGATTCTGCGACTAGGTTGCAATGAGTTCTGTCAGCTTCCGGGGAGCATCGATTTAAAAAGCAGGGTAAGAGGCCTCACCTGTTGAAGAGGTGGCAGTTGTGGCAGGCACTTTCTCAAATATTGTAAATGCGGTCCACCCGTTCCAGCAAAACAGATCCCTCACAAAAGGCGCGTTCGGGCTGAAAGTCTGATAGATGGTCATGGTCACGCAGGTCTGGCCCTCAGCGCTACCATCAGTCAGTCCGCGGCTTCGACGAGGCGAGCAAGTAAGATCATCCATGGGAACTCGGGGCTCACCATTTCTGTGTTCTGTCTCTATCGAAAGACATCACATCGCTGGAACAACGTGTGACATATTCGCAATTGGAAGAAACATTGCTGCAGCATCTGACAAAGCCATCCGACGTCGTGTATGTCTCTCCCGGTTCGCAGGTTATTGGATTCCCTACATTGACATTAGGACAAGCCACCACTTTCAAAGAAAGAGGACTTATACATGAAGCGCCTTTTGATTCCCATCCCATAAACTCTTCTGAAGCGTAACTGGTTATGGCGGGATCAGCACAAGCTGTCCAAGGCAGGGAAACGGCGGCTATGAGCAAGAACACTAGCCGAAGAATCACATCAGCAATAGGCTTAAAAGCCCAGGACATTTGAGAGAGGGAGACGTACGTGTTCTTGATAATAATATTGCCATGGCTATGCAGTTGCGCAGGCCAGGTCCGTGAAATGCAGATCAGGGAAACAGGAGGTTGCGAAGCGTTCAAGATCTACTCCGTACCTTGTGCACAACCGATCGTCTCCCGTCGCAGAGGTTGGGAAAATCAACCCATAATTTTAGAAAGAGAGCAGAGGCACAATATGAAATTCCACTCGGAGGGATGCCCGAGCCGCCGGGTTGCTCTGGGGCTAGTAGGGGGCATTGTGTCGCATCCTTGTTGACGCTGAGCGCACAAATCTGCAGCGAACGAAGAGCGAATGAACGGAGAGCTTTGTGGGTGATATGATTGCCCAGCCCGGGTGATTCGGGGGCTAGTTTCAATCAATAATATCGGCGTAAACAAGGGGAACGCTGTCGGCTGCGAACAGTCATTCTTGAGTGATTTCTCTGCGCTCGCTAACCGAGAGTTGAATCTTGAAGCGGTCCACTATTCCAGAACCTCATCTTCAATAGTAGCCGCCCGTCAAGTATTCGAGGACGGCATACGGAGTACATCAAGCGAAGATTCTCTGGTGAAACGCGTTGGACGATGTTCCGCACGGCCCGAGAATACGAGCTGAAGGATCGTCTCTTCTTAATCAATGCCACACAGCCTCAATCATGTTCAACCAGCTGGAGGGACTTTGGGATCCTGCAGTGGCCCTGGTGATCCCAGTTGAAATCTGTAATGATGCTGAGACGCTCTCCGGAGATTATGGGAGGCCAGGTCTGTACTGGACAGAGTATTTCATTTTTAAAAAATGCAGTGTCTTGAAATTGTACGCTTTCTGCTCCGATCAGATGAAGAGACAGAACAAAGTCATAGAATATTGGACAAACATGGTGCTCTCGACAGGGTCTGAAGAGCAAACTCGGTCGTTGTATGTGGGCGCAGCGCAGATGTGCCAACTGAGTGTGAAGATGAATTGAAAATTCTTCACATCTCAGCAAAATGCTGCGTCATGGAAGCGGAAGAACAATAATGTGAGCACCTACATATATACATTCCGTCCCCCGCTATAAAGAGCATATAGGGATCCAGTCTGTAGCACAACTTCGATTATCTGGGGACTTCTTTCAATACAAGAGAGGATGGCTATTCTGGTTAGATGCCCCTGACATGTGCTTGCTTAACAAGTCAAGCGTCATGCCCTGAAATGAGAAGTGGCCCTTAATATGACAGTTGCCCGGGATGACAACATGATTCAAAAGGGAAAAGACAAGAAAGTTGCACAGATACGTTTATAAAGCCTGAAAACACACAAAATTAACCCTGCACCGCTTCATCCGCTTAACATAGTTGCAGTCTCCAGATCAATGCTTTCAATCGTCCCAGAATCGTCGGTCTCGTCATAGCTAAACACCGTGCTAGTCCTTGGAGAACCAATCGTCGGCAACGGAGCAACAGAGGAAATTACTGTTGGTGGACCCGCTGGCCCTCTCCTAACATTTATATCTGCGATGTCGCCAGAATCCTCCTGCCCGTTTGAATTATTGACATGAACGAGCTGCCCAACATATTCAAGCGCTCGTCGGAATCCTATAATTTCATTGCGCATCGTACTCTCACTTGGCTGGCCTGGTCGTCTTGCGCCCGTAAACGTATTAGGGTCGCTGTTTGGGTCATGATATCGAACGTGGGTTGGAGACGGCCGAGTATTCGGAATTCCAAGTAAGGAACTCCGAAGCCCGGACCACCATAGCCTCATTTTATAGCGGCAAGCTGCAGCTCGATATGCATGGCGGGTACGCCTTTCTTCTCGTCTTGCAGCCAAGTCAACACGACGACGTCGACATGAGAGGGAATTGCATTTCTTTAGAAGCACCGTAATAATGACGATAAGGAGGCCCATCACCGCAACATCTCCAATCATGTGCCTCATCGGCCGCGGTTTGAATGGTCGACTTAGGGCCGGTGTATTCGGCAGCCGCTGTATGGTGAGTCCTGGCTTGTTTCCAATAGTGACTCGGCTGCTGTTTGAGGGAGTGTAGGGCGGGTCGAGGTTGGTAGTTGAGGTTTGGTTCGCCCACTCCCGCACAAGCGGGCGACATGGGATGCCGGCTAAGGTAGATGGCAGCGTACCGAAACGATACTTCATAAGCTGGAAAATGCCTGGCACGAACTTGAACGAAGCTTCAACGAAACATTTAAGATTCTTGCAACTTTTGAGCCTCGAGGATAGGCACATGCAATTATGAAGAAGATGCGTTCGGATCTTCTCGTCCTTGTCTTTGATGAGGTTCTGTAACTTCTGGGCCTCTTGCTTCAATTTGTGCAGTTGCTGTAGCTCTTCCTCCAAGTCATCGATCTGGCCAGCTTCGCTCATGCCGCCATTTTGCACTTGGAACTGATCAGAGCCGGAAGAATCCAACCACGATTCGAAGGACTCATCCTGCGCGGAGTAGGAAACCGGAGACGTAACCAGGCGAAATACCTCAGGCTTCCCTACGGAGTTGAATGAAAATGCAAACCCAGAGGTGTCATTGTCTTCATTGACCCGGCCGGCCGGGTAGAAAGTGACGGCAAGTATTTGGGCAGCATAGTCCTCAGTAGAGTTTTCCCGGCTAGCAATACAGAGAGCTCTGGAATTCAGCAAGAAATCTGCTTTCTCTTTTCCGTTGGAAAGTTTGGCCGTAAGACTGGTTTCACCGGCAGCGGTAATACCGTCCCAGGTCAGGTTCAATACCCGGCCATTGAGACGGATGCTGCTCTCCCCACAAACCGACTTTGTGCTCAATATGTCCAGATTGAATACCTATTGCAATGGTTAAAAAAAACAAAAAGATCTCAAGACCACCGTCGTGATACGACCTACGACTTCCGAATCTGCGCCATCAAAACACCCATTGCACACGGCTCTAAATGCTATGGGCAGATGGGTTTCATCTACAAGAAGTAAGCGGCTTAGAGCGGTAGAAGCATACAAAGTGGGAGACCAGGCCTACCTCGCCTTGATACTACGTTGGCCGCGGGAATTGGGTCTCGCGGCAGAGCAATGGAGGAGACGATGGCAGGGAGAGTCAGGAGAACGAGCGTAGAGGTCTTGGCGAGCCAAACCATACTGAGGTTCCAGCGTGCCTTAGCCGAACATGGTCATTCACGTTGTCTGCTGAAGGATGGAAAAGGGAGGGAGGGCGTCCCCGAAGCAAAGCAAAGCTATCGATATGAACGAGAGAACGGCATCTCCCATCGCCAGTGCAGCACCGCGCTGTTTGGTCTGAAGCAGCAGGGCTGAGTGCTGGCTGTGGCTCGTATTGCAAGCAACTAGCCAGGCACGTGCCGAGAAGGCGCGCTAGGCCGTTTGTGGCGCACGGAGCACGGATTATTTAATTCCCGGTTGGCCGCGGATTATCGTTGATCCTGATGGCATCAAGCTGAAGAGTCGCAGGACGCAGGATATCAAAGAAGGACAGGCGTCCGCAGCTGGCTATGCGCACATGAACTGACCGGGATCTTATTGCTTTAAGCCTGCTTTTCCGGAATCTAGCAACTAGCCTAGCCGTGTTCTAGCCATTATGGTATACGCTTCTTGATCGCCCAATCTGAACGAACCCAATTCTAACAACCGGCAAGCTTCCACTAGGCCTTCTCAACGCGGCCCAAGGCCACCCCATGCTCGTCGAGCTCAAGAATGGGGAAACTTTGAACGGCCATCTTGTCAACTGCGACAGCTGGATGAACCTAACACTCAAAGAAGTCGTTCAAACCAGCCCCGAAGGAGACCGGTTCTTTAGACTCCCCGAGGTTTATGTCAGAGGAAACAATGTTCGTTCAGGCCGCTTCTTCCCCGCTCGTGATGCTACTTGACAAAAGCTAACGGGCTGCTATCTTGTCTAGATCAAATTCCTCAGAGTTCCAGAAGAAGTCGTCGAGATAGCCAGGGATCAGCAACAACAGAACCAGTCTTCGAACCGTGGACGTGGCGGTGCGCAACAGTCCCGTGGTGATACGGGGCGTGCAGAACGCGGTAGAGGTGGCGGCCGTGGTGGCAGGGGACGAGGGCGAGGGAGAGGCGGAGGGTGATTCCCGCACAGGTTGTCAGGTCGTTTTTTTAAAGCAAGCACGCTGTTATGAATAATGTCTATTTCTGAGCATGAGACTAGGGCTTGAAGCGAGGATACTTTAGCCGCAAGGCTCCCTCCGAGATATCTATTCCTCCAATGCCACTATTCTTGGGTGTGCCATCGGGGTGCCATACATAGGCCGGGCAACGGTATACCTCCTGTTCCTCAACGGATAAAAGGTTACAGTGGCTCGACAAATGCCAAAGGGCTACTTGAAGGGCAAAATATCTACACCAACGAATCAATAGATATATTGTCCTCATGTACAAACGCATGTTGCAATTGAAAATACCCTCAGGACCTTTTGAGTCGTGCGGTTCTGCCCACAAGAGGCAGCCAGAATCCAAAACCCATCCGCTTTTCTACATATCTTCTGCCCGCTCTTCATGATACGTTGCTTTCTTTTGCTTCTGGTTCCCACTATTGCCGGATCCAATATTCCCCCGGGCATTCACCAAGCTGACTCCAGCTGTCGCAGAGCTCTGCCGACGAAGACCTAACTTCTTTGCGGCCGCGGATAGTGGTCCTCGTTTCGATAGCAATGAAGCATCACGCTTAATCAGGGACTGCGGCTGCTCGCTGCGTGCTCGCTGTGCAGGGGGATATTCCTCTCTACTAGAATTCTGAGAAGCAAGGTCCCCTTCTGACTCTGACGAAGCCTGCCCACCAGGCTCCTTTTTATTTTCTTCAATCGCATCCTCCCCACGCCAATTGGCGGCTTGTCCCTCGGGGACTGCTTCGCCGGGACCTGGCTCCTCAATGATCTTGCCAGCAAGCGGTGCACCGCCGGGGATGTTTTCACGTTCTTCGCCAGGGGCAGATGGCACATATCTCCAAACGACCTTGAGCTTATCAAAGGCTCTGGTACCTTTACTATAAGTTCCCTTAATTCCATCTAGGCCTTCCCAGTCTTGTTCAAATACGGACGAATCGTGCTCGTATCCACCTTCGAAATAAGCGTTGAACCAAACGTGAGCTACGGATGTAACCATCGTCCAACCCGTGTATGCCGCTGTGGCTCGTCTCTCGAAATCTATATTAATGTCTGAAGTGGGGATGATAAGTGGTTTATGGGGGCGAAGAACCACAGAGGAGAACGCTGCACTGGGAGGAGATGTTTTGGAGAAGAAGGTGACATTCTCAGCCGTCTTGGAGATCGGTTCTGGCGTCGTGATGGCTTGGAAAGGCACAGTATTTGCTGCCGCCACTGGAGGGTCAGAAATAGATTCATCCTTTTCATCTTTGGTCAAAAGAGCAGTTCCGTTCAATTTGGACTTATCCTCCTTTCCCTGTGATTCGGTGTCCATGATAGTGCGTTCGCTGCGATGAAATCGGTGAAAACACTTGATCTTTCGCCCCTCGTTCACAAAGCCTTCCACTTGCACCTTCAACCCATGCCGTAGGCCCCAAATGTGGATCTCGACGATTTCCACCGGGCGCTCAATGTACTTTTTATGATACTGATTCGCCCAACGATCGACGTAGCCAACATATCGGAGCTGGCTTGGTATGCTGACACCGGGACCAAACCCAACTCTCATCCGTCGCTCAGTAAATTGTCTCAGCGCATCTTCAGCCTTCCAGCCTTGTTCGCTGATCAAATAGCTACAAGCGGCGGTGCCACTTCTCCCTTTCCCAGCCTTGCAATGCACAACGACAACTCGCTTTCCTTTGTGTTTGCCGTTCAGCCAGTTGCGCATACTGGCCATCATCGGAGGGATGAGCGCGAACGGTGGAGGGTGGTGGTCCGGCCATGGAAAGTGATGGATGCGGCCGTAAACCTCTTCGTCAGGATACCCAGTACCTTCGGCACGGAATTCCCAGATCGACCAGTTCTTGCCATGTTTTAAGTCGAGAAAACGGACCAGAGCGTCCGTCGGGTTTCGATAGGCGCGCTTGGGATACGTCGAGGACGGGCCGGAGGTTGCTATTACTGCGTAGAAGAAAGAGATGCGTTAATTATCTGAGTGCAAGCGACGGCATTGGAGTACATACTTTCGTCTGTCACATAACACAAATCGAGGCGGGCCTCTGGGTGTCGAAGACGTGGACCAGCCACGATCTGTCGAAGGATTGATGCCTAGGAGCACCGCAGTGAGTGAGAGAGCACCAGAGCACAATGAGCTGAATCCCCGCAATGCCAACAGACCGCGGTACAGCGCCTACAAACCATTGAAAGACCCCTGATTTCATGTTCTGGCCCATTAAAAAGCCAGGGTCGCACAACATGCAGCCAGCGTCCGAAGCTGGTAGAGATTGGGCCCAAGAAAATAGCAATATTTAACAATACAAAATCCCTGTCTTTCTCATATAAAGATAATATCCAACATAATCATGTCGTCCATGCTCAAGAGGCTTGCTTGTTCTCCCAAATTCGCTCTGGATGTTCAAGATGGGACCTCATGGTTCACAGGTTTGACGTCATGAAGTTAAACCCCTGAACTTCAAGCTTGTTTGACGATAGCCAACGATTGGTTGCGTTGATATCAAGCACTGAAAATGAGAAAAACGAAGAACTGGATTGCGGTGGGTTGCATATGCAGCATGTTACTATTATACACAGCTTCACGGGGTATATTTCAAAGTCATTCCTTCTTTATCGTTTCCATCTCCAACGCCTGACCTCGTCTATTTCCATTGAGCTTTGTTAGTTACTTCTGGTGGTGGCTCCAGCGCTCATTGGCTTAAGGCCTCTTGATATTGGCTTCCTCACAGCGGCATCATATTGCAGATAGAGTGCAGAATCGTCATCTGATTTGGCGCATATCTTCCTGACCTGTCTCTTCGCAACATCCGTCAAAGCAAACCCTGACTGTGTCATCTCCAGCAGATATTTACGCGCTTCTTCGAAGTAATTCGATTCTACGCATAGAAGTACGAGTCTCTCATAGATTGACTGGGTTGGCAGAATCTTGAGCAACTGCATTTCTTGAAGGAAAAAGCTGGCCATGTCCGGCCTTTGCGTTTGGCGGCAAACATCGAAAAGAAGGCTGAAAGTCGATGAGTTCGGGCTGGAGGAACAGACGTTGTGTATTTCACGGTATATACCCATCGCTCCATCTATGTCACTTCTGTGGGCGCAAATCTCGATCGCAAGGTCCGCAGCTGCAAGGGGAATACTCTGATTCTCTTCTGTCTGGAAACGTTTGAGGGTCCGCCAGGTGTGCTCGGTCTCCGCGTCTGATAAGAGGATAGAAGATAGAAGAGAACGAGTTGAGTTTTCGCTAACATCAACGTTGGTGTTCTCCATCGTGCATAGCACCCGGAGAGCGGAATCGATGTCTCCGGCCGTCAAATAAGTTTCAATGAGAGATTCGTAGTCGTTTAGTGTGAAAGCACCGCGGCGTTGGCCCAGAGTATCGAACACAGAAACGGCCATCTCGACATCCCCAGTGCGAGCACAAATTGCTAGAACATTATTACAAACTCCGTAGGAAGGTATCATATATCCACGAAGTACTTGTTGTCTCCAGATAAAGCTCGTTAATCCCGCATGCATCGCAGCACTCGCCTGGTCAAGCATATGGAACCAAAGATTCGCTGAAAACTGTAACCCCATCGCTACACGGGGTTTCATTAGATGCAAAACCTCGTCGAATTCCCCGGCGTCCGCGAGATTATAAGCAACAAGTGAATACAGCCACGGCTTAACAACTATGCCTTGCACTTCCATCCGTTCAAGCTTATCCAATGCTAGCTCGTATTGTCTCTCACGAAGCAACCCGGTAACAAGATTATGCCATCCAGCAGGGCTTAGTGCCAGCCATCGATCTCGGATGCTGTGGAGGACTTCTTGACGCAACAAGTAATCCGGATGGATCGCGAGGACCTAGAACCCAAGTTTAGAAGTCAATTGAAGCCCAGCATTACCAGCTAGCGTAGCTTAACAGATACAGAATACTTACTCTTAACGCTGCATGCAGCACACCTGAAGTAAGCGGTATCTCAAGAGCTTCCATCTCCTCCAAAATGTGCTTTGCGTGTAGAGCCGACCCATTCCTCGAATCGGCATTCGCTAACATCATCGCCTGATAATGCCGTGATTGCGGTTCAACGTGGCGGTTCCCGATCAATTCACGAATGATCCGTAAAGCAGCTTGGTGGTTCGGTCTCTCTCCGACCACCTTGAGCAGCTTGTACTCGAGGTACGCTGAATCCATCTTCTTGAGTTCTTCAGCCGGCGCAAACCTTTTGGGTCTCATTCGCATCCTCGCCTCATACACTTCTTCAGGTTCCGATTCCACCCTTTCCACAGTCTTTTTGGGCCGGGTCACATTGTGCTCCGGAAATTCTTTAGGAAATACGGGGACATTGGAATCCGCGTCCCAACTTGGTATCGATGCCTCTCCTTCCTCTCCCTCCAAACCGAAAGCCCCATCTTTCCACAATAACCGCGGCTCCTCCGGTGGCTGATCTTGGGATCCCGTCACGGATGAGACCGGTCTCTTGAACGTTGCGATCGGGAATGATGCGCGTGACTTCTTCGGAAACGACTGTGTGGCCCGTGTTCGAATAAGTGGACTAAAGGATGGGCGGAAACAAAGCCACAGCCCATCAACAAGTAATTTTGCCGGCATCGTCAAGATTGGCGTTCATGGAAGGATTCAGCTGCGTACGGAGTATTTTGCCTGATAGTGAATTGCTTTCCCATACCAGAAAAATGGATTTTTTGATTACCATAATATTACAGTAATATAACCATACATCCAATCATATGCATCATAGCTTATGTTACCATAACCCTATGATAATGGAATCCCACTACATTGCCATTGCCTGTTCAGAATCCCAATGTAGTCACCAGATTGTTGTATGTTGATCTATGTAGCATGATAAGAAGAAGTTCTGAATGTAAGATTACTTTATTGAGACTTCTATCTAATATGACTATCTAGCTATCTAGCTATCTTGCTATCTTTAAGTTCCTGAGCTGCCAGCCAGCTCCAAATCATAACAACAACATCTTCCAGATGCAGTGGAGAAATGTACTCAGTAAGTGAGAATCCAACACAAGTTTCTCAGTGTCAGTACTGACTGATATTGCATGCAAGCTAGATCTGTGAATTGCTGAAAGATCTATCAGATTGGACTTCTTTCTTCTCATCTGCAGAACTGATAAGTTCAATACTGCATTATGCTTGATTTTATGAATCTGAGTTATTGTGAAGAATATAAGATGCTGCTCCTCTCAGCAATGTGTAAAAATATCTATAATTTATTCTATTTTAATATTCAATATGTGGATATATTCAATAATATTATCAAGAGCTATTGTTGTTTGATGAGTGTCATCATGAAATTTAAATATAGTCTTCTTAAAAAACTAAATTGAAATGAATTCAAATTTATTTATATTGAATATATACCAGTCTTTTCTGTATGATTTCTGCAGTTGCTGGAGAAATGAGTCAAGAATTGACAGTTTTGACAGATGTGTTATTGAGATTCTGAGTGCTTGAATATCTTCATCTGACTGCAACTGAAAAAAAATATTAGATGTGATATATATATCTGTTAGTTTGTATTGTGACTCTGAAATATCAGAATCTTTATCATCATTCTGATTATGTGTATTCAGTTGCAGCAGTTCAGTTATCAGTGTGAGATATTCATGATGAAGAATCTGAAGATGATCTGTAGTAAGAGACTTTAAATTAATAAAAAAATCAGTTAATAACAGAGACAGAATGTGTTTGAAATTTTTCTGTATAAGTAATATCTTTTTAACATCTTATTTATTGATTTTCTGTACTAGATTCTTGTATTTGTGATGCTTATTCTCTTCAATCAACATGTTGCAGTTGTTTGCAATCTCATATTTTTGTGTCTGATCAGTATAATATATTCTAATGTGCATATTGAGATGATTCTTTAATGCATTCAAGACTTTTTCTGTTTTTGATGTGGTGCTACTTAACTGTTCAGTTGAATTCTCTATTTATAATGTCTGATTTGATATGAAGATCTGCTGGAATTGTAAAATCATAAGTACTTGATCTTTTGATTGTAACAGCTTAGTGACTGTTGCAGCAGTATCTATTATTTTCTGTAGCAGAGAGTAATCTTCTGTTATAATAATCTGAAGCTTTACTGACTCAATTGATGTTTATAATATTAATACAGAGTTGCTCTGAGCAACAGCACTGAATGCTTTAGCAAGAAGCATACATGAAGCTCTTAATTTAAGTATTGTATTATTAAAGAAATTGCATAATGCCTGCTGTACTACTGATTGAATTCAGTCTGAGATCATGATATATTGAAGAATAATTAAAATTATAATAAATGCTCAAGTATGCTTCTGAATCTGATAGAAGTTTAAATAAATTATTAAAGATTATATTTAACTGTTTTATCTTACAAATAAAAACTGCTGTAATATCTAACAGTATTTCTTCTGACTGTTTGCTGTGAGAATATATGTTATTAATAATAAATGCATTATTTTGAAAATATCACTTAGTTCACTATGACAGAGATCTGAAAGAAAGAAGATCATCAAATTCAGACATGAGCAGATTTCAAATATTAAAGACTGATTCTTTATCATTTCATGCTTCTTTCACAGCTTGTCTTTTATGATAGTGATAGATGCTGCATTAATCTGATTCTGTATATGAAGTTGCTGGTAGTGATATTGACTGTTGATTACTGTGTCAAATGATATATTATATCTCTGATGTTTAGTGACAGTATAACTCTGACATGATTGAATAGCTGAGAGTCTTTTAATTGCTGCATTGTTGTTCTGCTGTGTGGTTCCAGCACTGTCTATTGTATAGCATTGTATATTTCTTTTCTAGTCTAGTTTCTATCAGACATAGACCTCACCTATAAAGCCTGATGATTCCTGATGCCTACTGACATCAGGCCCACTGTTGTACATATATATAAATAATCTAGTTCCTCTTCAGTAGAAGAACCAATCCACCTTTAATTCTCATATCACATCTGGTAGCATGTCAAGTCCTCCCCATCAGAAGTGAAGCCTCTTTAGTGAAGTGAACATCTCTGATGAGACAGCCAAAAGATTCTGTCTTATGATTTGAGAATCTGCTTTTGCTACTCAACTTGGAGACTTCAAAAGATTGCTGATGAGGCTTCTTTTCATGAGACTGCCTCAACAAGTTGGAATCTTAACAGAGTTTTTTCCTTTAATGATAAATACCTCACTCTTTTTGATCAAATTCATGCAGCATGACTGCAAGATAACTGTTTATTATATCTCACAATAACTATCAACTCTCAATATCTATCATCACACCTATGTCAGATGATATTAAAATGACTTTCAGTTTTGAAGTTCTGACTGGCTCTGAAGTCCCAACCCCTATCTCAAGTCACTTTGCTGAACCAAACCCCCTGAATCACCCAGCAATTTGTGATGCATTGATAGCCTTATGAAAATGTATGACCAATGATAAAGTGTCTGCTGCAGTGGGTAGGCAACTGGAAGCAGCTTTATGCTTGTTCAGAGCAGAAGCATGGCATATTGAACAATAAGAGAAAAAGACCCAAGCTGACAGAATTTGAGGTGACATGGAAAATGAAATCCAACACATGAGAGAAGAGATGATTGAGTGATTGAATAACTTGAAGAGACAGCAATCTGTCTTCATCAAGCAATTGAACAGACAGGCACAGCCTACACCACCCTCTAATACTTCAACTGCTGGTGTACTGGTTGTGAACATACCAATCATCAATGCACCAATTACTAATGAAAAGACACCAACCCAAAAAGCCTCTGAACTTGAAAAATCAAAAGAATATAACAGAAAGATAATCAACAACACAGTCAACAAGTGACTTTTCAAATGCTGATTGTACTGAAATTGAGAGAAAATCTTCACTGAAAGAGAAGTGACCAACTCTCAGAAAGTCACTCTAGCCTCAACCTGATTTACTGAAGATGCAGCTTGACAATGGGCAGCTGAAGAAGATCTAGCAGACTGAGATCTGAACAATCACACAATATTAATGACATGGCAAGAATTTGAAAAATGAATCATGACATGATACTCCAAACTCAATGCTGACAACTACTGATGAAAGTGTCTTGTGAACATCAAGCAAAAAGAAGATGTCCAATTCTTCTTGATTGAACTTGATCAGACATATATCAAACTTGGATACTCTCTACTGAAACCTGTCTATATTCAGTTACTATTGAATGAACTGAAATCTGATGTTCTAGCAGAATGAAAATGAGAACATCAAAAGCTGACAACAAGAGATACTATTGTGAAAGTATTGAAAGACATAGAAGAAGTCATGGAAATGGTGAGAGATCAACCAGCTCAAAGAAATCATGCTGAGGCTTCCAACTCCAATGCAATGAATCTGAGTGTGATGAACATGACTCTTGATGATATGGAGATAGATGAAATCAATGCAATGCTTCAAAAACCAAATCCTCTGAAGAAGAACTCATGGGTGTGATGACTGTGGTGCTGTAGAAACAAAGCTTGTTATATTTGTGATCTGAGAAGCCACAGTGCGGGCACATGTCCAGATAAAAAGAATTTGAATAAGAAGCATCTGAGAAAAAAGAGAAAGAAAAAGAACAATGCAAAACCTGAATCAGAAAATGAGAGAAGTCAGTAAACACAGAGGCACTTGCTGATGTCCTTTATGAAGTCTCTTGAATTGATGAGATTCCTGATCTTCTCAACCTGCTGAACCCAGCAGAAGTCCTTAAGTTGAAATCCTCCAATACTGAAATAATTCCAACAGATGCTGAACACCTCAATGCTGCAGGATCAGGATTGATGCTTTACCAAGAAAAGATAGTAATACTGGATTCTGATAGGGCTGAAATGGTTTGAGTCTTATTGGATTTGAGAGCATCAACTGAGTTTGTCAGTCAAGACCTAGCAGCAAGAATAGAAGTGAAGCTCATTTTCTTGAGAAAAGCCATTCAATTACTGAATGAAAGATGTATGTGGTTCAATTATTGGATCTATCTCTATCTTAAACTTGACTTGTTCAAATGCTGAATTGCTGCAAGAGTTCTTGACAACTTTAAATATGACCTGATTCTTGAAAAGATGTGGCTGCAGCATTGAGATCCACACATAAGCTGGAAATTGTTGACAATGTCAATCACTGATTGAAGAAAGCAGTGCCACACAATACTGTCTTGTGACATGTGATGATATGTGCTAGCTGAAGCTGAAAGACTTAATCTAATAATGACTCATCAGTTAGCATGCACACTTTAAAAGCCTATGATGGAGTGTTTTCTATATGTGCTCAAGAAAAAGAAAGAGAAAGAGAAGAAGAATACTCCTACTGAGAATTCTAAATTGAAAAAGTTGCTTGATGACTATAGTGATGTTTTCCAGAAGAATTTACCACTGAAATTTCCACCAGATCAACCATTTAAAATGGATATTGACATGAGGAATTTGAATCTGATAAATATCTGCATCTATTTTCTATTGCAAGTGCTTCTGAAAGAACAGAAGTGGCAAATTAATGATCTTTTAAAATGAGGACTGGCCCAACCATCAGCTAGCTCTTGAAGTTTTTCTGTTCTATTTGTGAAGAAGACAGAAGAAGCATGATGAATGTGTGTTGACTATTGAGCTCTCAATAAAATCATCAAGAAAAATAAGTATCTGTTGTCTAGAATACAGAAATTGCTGAACACTATCAGAACTGCAAAGATCTTGTTGAAAGTTGACTTAGTGATGAGTTTCTGACAAGTTCAAATAAGTGAACTATTAATAGAAAAGACAGTCTTCAATATCCAATGGGGGAAGTATGAGTTTCTAGTAATGCCTTTTGGACTCACAAACACTCCACTCTTATTTCAAACAATGATGAATGTTATTCTAGTGAAGTATACCAGTATCTTTTACCTGATGTATCTTGACAATATTATTGTCTTTTTGAAATCTGAGGAAGAACATCTTGAGCACTTGAAGAAAGTATTTGACAAGCTTTGTGTGCACAAGTTGTATGCTAAGATGTTCAAGTGCATCTTTTTGAAGAATGAGCTTGAGTACTGTGATCACATTGTCAGAAAGAAGATCATCTGATTACTATTGACAAAGATGGATGTGATTGTGAATTGATCTGTGCTGAAGAATGTGCATGAAGTTCAGCAGTTCTTAGATCTTGTCATATTTTATCAGCAGTTCATAAAGAACTTTGTGAGAATTGCTGCATTTCTATTAAATCTTTTGAAGAAGTTGAATGAGAAATTGAGAAAGAAGAAGTTTTGCCTGATAATTTGAAATGTGTCTTGTCAGATGTCATTTCTGAAATTGCATGAGGTGATAATGAAGAATCCTGTCATGATTCAACTGGATAGAAACAAAGCTTACATGATTGAGATGGACACATTGAAATGAACCATTGGCTGTGCTCTTTATCAGATGAGAGATGACAATCTTCTTCATTCTGTTGTGTTTGATGATAAGAAGCTTTTGGGAGCTGAACTGAACTATTCAGTTCACAAAAAGAAGCTTTTAGTGATAAAGCATGTGTTGAAGATGTTCAATTGATATATTGATAATGGAATGCAGATTACTATAATCACTGACTATGAGAGTCTGCAGTATCTTCAGACAATGTGTAAGCTATTGAAATGTCTTACTTGTTGGGTTGCTGATTTCCAGAAATATAATCTGTTAATTAAATATCACTCAGATAAGAAAGCTATTGTTCCTGATGTTATTAGTAGATGTCTCAATTTTCTTGATCAAGAACCAGTCAATATTGCTCAAGAAGAGTCTCTTGCTGCTCTCTATAAGTATGTGAAGAAGAAGTGGTATGAGACAATGATGATCTATCTTTAATTGAAACAACTGTCTGACAACTCAACACTTCATCAATCAGTTGAGAAGATGAGTTATATGTTCTGGTATGGGAAATTGAATCTGAGTGATAGACATGATGAGATGCTTGTTTGAATTGTCAATGAAAATATGAAAGTGCTGTATATTGAAAAGCCTTTTTGAAGTGACTTGATTTAATGAATACACAATGAATTTGATCATCTCAAATGTCTGAGACTTCTAGAAGTTGTCTGATTCTGCAGCTACTGGTCCAACATGGAGATGCAGATCCAGAATGAGATCAAGCAATGTCTGAATTGTCAAGTTGTGAAAGAATTGAGAAAGAGTTTAGAATGTGAAGAAGCTCAACACATAATAGATGTGAGTATAAAGTCTTTTGAGAGATGAGTCATTAATCTTATAGAAATCTTGTTCACAACACCCAATGAAAATTGATGAATTATAATGACTGTCAATTATACAACTGGTTGACCAATAGCCAAACCTCTCAAGAAAGTGACAGATGAAGAGATTGTGAAGTTCATTCACAATGAGATATTTGTTAACTTTGGTGCACTGTGTGAGTTGTTGTTGAATAATGATGTCAATCTCCTGTTGGGAGCCATTCAACACTATATGACAATATTAAAAATAAAGCATCACATGACAACATCTTACCATCCACAAATGAACAGGAAGGTTGAGAATCTAAACAGTCTTATTAATAGAATGTTAACAAAATATCTTCTCAGCAAGTCAACTAGACTTTGGGATGAGTACCTGTTGCAAGCTTTATTCACCACATGTGTATGTTTACATGTGACAAATAAGCTGAGTCTCTTCTATCTTCTATATAATGTGCATTCACATATTCTGTCTGATGATAACAAACTGATTCCAGATGATGTTCCTGTTGAGAATGTGGATGAGCAAATTCAGAATATCATCCATGCATGATTGTTAGCAAATGAACTCCTCCTCAACCAAGCTATCAAATTGAAGTGTATATGAGATGATGTAGTCTGTGAAATGGGTTTTGAAGTTGGAACATGAGTCCTCATTTAAAATGAGAATTCAGAAAAGTTTCAACCACAGTGATTTGATCTCTATCAAGTGATCAAATCACACCTGCTCAGAACATATGTGTTGGAAGAACTGAGCAGTCAGATTCTAAAGAATCTTATTAATAGTTCAAGATTGATAAAGACAGAGATAGAGAATCCAGAAGAATTATGATCTTTATCAGTAATAACTCATGCTCTAAAGAAGAAGAGTCTGTCAGTTGAAAGATCTATAGAGGTACAACACATTGTGAATGCATACAAAGATGAAGTTACTTTCTATCAGAAACTATTAATAATTATCAAATGTGAGTGGAAGAAACTCAAAGATGGTTTAGAGAACAATTCAGTTACTGATAGAGAGAAGAGAGTGATTATGTGTAGTATCATTAGAAAAAAAGATTGACAGAAAGATGATACTGCCTCAAGAAGTAATCAGCTCTCTTGCAGATTGAGCAGTAAGCACAAAACTTAATTCCACACAGAAAATCAAGATGAGTTGAAATGTTCATCAGAATCAGAACAGAAGAAATCCAGTGATGAACAAGAAGACATCTCTGATGGTGATGTGTTAGATAGAGTAGAGAGAAGAGCTCAATCTGTTACTGATTTGTTTGATGAACTCTTTGCTGTTGTGATTTAGTTAAGATTTATGATTATAGATTGTTAAGTGATCATTCTAGCTATGATGAAGTTGAGAAGAATGAAAGACATTAATGAATGATTTCTTGAATTTTCTATCAACTATTTTATTCTATCTAGGAAAACAAATGAAGTGCTCAAAAACATACAATCCAGACCAGAGAAGAGTCTATCAACTGTAATTGAATTCTGATGATTCCACAGACTCTTCCTCCTCCACAACCTCCTCCAATTCCTCAATATGATTGAGAATCTTATTGTAAACAAAAATAATGACTGCACCAGCAGTGCAGAGTTGTTTGATGTCATCAGTAGAATTCTTTAAAGAGCTCACAAAAGACTGCAAATCAGAATATGACTTCAAGAAAACACACTTGAGTGTCTTATCAGTGTGAGCAGGCTTGATCTTTTCTTTAATTGAAGTAGACTTGTTCTTTGATGACTTAGCCTTTGAGAAACACAACAGATGGGAAGGTTTTGGATTGAAATCACTATCAGAAGAAGAGTTGATCTTGAAGTCTGAATGAAGAGAGCAGAGATGTGAAGAATTTAATCCGGATACAAGAGGCACAGATCTCTTTACTGATCTTCTTATCTGTCAGACTTGTGACAGTGATGCAAAGCTGAAAAGAACTGTGCTGCAGAGCATAAAAGACAAGATTCCTTATTGATCTTTCTGTAAGTGTATATGACAACCAGCATTTGTTTGCAGGCCC